TTGTCTGTACCAGTAAAAAGCTGTTAGCGCAATCTCTGTGGGATTAAAATGTGAAACACGATAAAGCTCTTTTTCTGGAATCCGTCTACCACGGTCTGTGGAGCTTCTCTGTCGTGGTCTGTAGAGGCCATCACGGACCGTTACGGAGAGATTAGAAACCATCACAGACCGTGACCGATAAATTAATCAATTAATTAACCAGCTAACTAATTAATTAATTTCTCTGTCCCAGTCTGTGGGGAGGGGGATGGGCCCAAATTTCTACCCTATATACTTCAACACTCCTTTCAGATCGTGTTTCACAACAAAATAATTGTGCTACAGGAATACATGTTAACTGTTCAAATAAATAGATTATGGTGACAGTAATACATGAAAATCGGAATTTCGAGAAATGACATTCGTTACTTTTGAATAGTAGACTAATGAATTTTCAAAATGCGTGAGTCATTTCTTATCCGTTCGATTTCGAATGATATTGTGATATCTTAGGAATAGAATTAGAAATTCACTGTTTTTTCATCTTATTTATTTTGTAATGTAATCTAGGATAATCGGTTTATATACAACGTTTGTGGTTGTCGTTGCACGATTATTGCGTACAGTGTTGCAAACAAGTAGAACGATAATGTTCTATGAATTACCAAGTGTTGAACGTTTATGGCATCTTTTACGTAATATTTATTTAGTTAGAGAAAATGGAATGTTACGTATTGAAGAAGAGCTTTTTGCAAAACTTATATTTTTATATCGGTCACCGAAAACATTAATACTTTTTACGAAACCAAAGTCAAAATAAAACCATATATTATTAGCGAATAACGGATGGAAATCGATTTCTATTAGTGAATCAGACACATCTTTGTTGTTGTTGTTGTTGTTGTTGTTTTTTTTTTGTGATACGCACTGTGAGTTTTTCCTTTATTTTTTGTCTATTGCTCAACACTGAAGACGCTCAATGTATTTGTTCACTAAACTTATCAATTGATGATTATTATGCTTCAATTTAATGCTTCGAACTGTTATTTTTTATCTAACCAAAAGTGAAATAAACTATAGCGTGTGTGTGTGTAAAATTCTGGTTCTTATTAATCAAGTCCTCATACTTAAGTTGACTACGATTCCAGCAGAGAAGTAGAGATCAATTAGCTTTATCGAAATTGATCTCATTATGTCTATTTGATTTTGAGATAAATATTACGATTTATAATAAAATATCCGAAAAAGGTAGTTGAACAATAATAAATATTATATTGAATTCGATTAGCACAACTTTGATGTATTATTAAAAGAAAAAAGTGTTTTATTCAGAGAATTACTACTCGGTTGATGAGCATTTGAGAAAGAATATTTCAATTATAGAATTATCAAGACAATCATTCTTATAATAGTTTCTCTGTTGAAATATGCTTTGTGATGTTTGCATATTTTGCTGGTTGTTGATGGATCATACTTCATTTTGTAACAGTACTCTATCTTTCGATCATTAAAAGCAGTTTTAACTTGTTGGGAGTGTTAACAACGCGATGCACTTTTGTTTAATATAGATTATAATGAAACAAAAAAAGACACTTTCAAGTGTCCGCTTGCTTTTCCGCTGAGATTATATGCATTGCATAGGTTGTAAAACGCTATAAATATGCTTAGAAGAATTTTTGCCTCTAGCTAATTGTTACTGAATGATTATGTTTGACAAAGTGCATTCTAATTCTACACTGTTACCTCTTTGAAGTGCACATAAATATGTCACAAATTAAATGTCCCCCATGTCCGCATAGTTTAAAAAATATAGAGAGAGTGAATTTATCATGCGGAGATAAAAAGTACAAAATTTATTTTTCTCAGATATATTCAATGAATCATTGAGTGTCTCCATTCATCAGAAAAGATGGAAAAATCAATTTTATTCATTGAAAATAAGTTGTTGTTAGTTTAACCAAATTTTATAACGTTCACACACGCCCGTGAACTGAATATGATGGCTGATATAAAAACGCACGATAAAAAAATGCAAGGAATAATTGTTAATATAGAAATTTCTAAAGTTAGATCTCAACGAAAATTCTATAAAAAAAACTCAGCTATATTCCAAACTCGCCTGCCACATTATACAAAGGATGCAGTTGAAAATTCATATTTCAAAAATGAAGTGTTCCAGGTCTGTATCAAATAGGCAACAGTATTGAACTAGGAAAATGTGTTTAAAAAGTAATAACTCAATAACAATAAGAAAGAGACATCAGCTCTTTTCATACTGTTCATAACTCGTTAGAGCCTATACAATTCGACTAGTTCGAACTGCAAAGTGAATTATTACTTAAGCACATTATCACAAAAGATATCTAAATCTTCGCAAAATCTATTGGCGAATCAGTTTGATTACATCTTGGAAATCGATGAATACAATAAAAGTAATGAAGTCCTTTATTTCCACAACTGATCAATTATTTAAACGGGTGTTCTATAGAAATATTTGTTATTTTATTCTGTGAATGAAAAGCATAGACTATTCTCTTTGAATACAACGCATAGAGTATAGACTTCACTGTGCGATTAATATTCTAACAGTTTCACAGATTTTCGAGCACCGTACATCATAATTATTTGATTGGTTACCATCAACTAAGATCGGTAGGCGCATGCGTTTTATGAATTAATTGCTTTTGCTCTCTTGCTACTCTTGAACGTTTACTGTTTATTATATTGATAATTCAAAGAACACATTAACCGGTTCAGTACCAACAAAGTTTTTTTGCGAAGTTCAATGGAATAGAACTAATTTTTATTGTCATAAAATGTCAATTACTGTTTGATAAAGTCAATGTGATAGTGTCACGTTAATTAGCCGATGTTGTTCTTCATTATAAGTAAAATCAAATTATCACGATGTCTTTTGACAATCAACGAACTGCTGACAACAACAATTCTTTCCTAGAGCAAATAAAAACTAGCTACCCGTTCATGAAAAGTAATCAAAACATTTTCCCTCTCCCTAAAATATCTCAATGATCATCACTAAGAAACATAAACCAATCGATTTGTTTCAAAATACAATTACTTTTCATATGCAGCACATTCATTAGAGATAATCCAGTACTGCATGCTTAATATCCAGGAAGTCAATAATGATGAATCACTGCCTGTAAGTTCTACAAAGGAAGTAATTTACCGGGGTCAAAGAAAATAGTTCTCTGCGTTCTGCTGGAGTTCATGTGATTCAACATTTGTTATTACTAGAAGCAAATTCTTCTAAATAAATAATCAAATAATCTAACCGCGTGAACAGTAATAACTTTTTTTCTTTTTACAAACGAATTACTTTCCTATATAAAATATCTGACGTTAGTTAATCTATTCGTGTCATGGAATGTTTTGTACGCAATACCAATAAAACTATTTCAGATCGTTTTCAATGTGTTCATTGAACTTTATATTTTACGTAATTACGCTAGAACTCGAACAGTTGAAGAATTAAGCAGGATATATATGATTTCATTACGAAGAATCCTTTAAGGCATTAAAATAATTTATTTAGTGTTGAATGATCGGCAATATACTGCATACACTTAAGATAGTTATCGCATTCTGAGAATACTTCTCTTCGAATGATTTCTAAGTAACGATAGTCTACTCGCAAAGATCAAACTTTTTCTCTAGAGAATTTTCACTTGACTCGCAGAGAGAAACAGACCGACAGAAAAAACAGCTCATTTCTACTTGTTACCACAAGAAAACAAAAATTAGTTCTTTTGACAAGAATCTAATTTCTATTAATTGACACTAGCCTCTTTCAAACCTTTGAAAATGATCCTCATCAAGGAAAATATAATAAATTTTGCCTGAAGACCCGTTTTCCATAGAAGAATGAGAGAATCTATCCATCAAAAAGAAGAAGAAAAAGAAAAATCGCTTTTTTCGCAGTAGAGAAAATACTTCATTTTCTCACAAAAAAAATATCATAAATCACGCTTGACTTCTTTTTTTTGTATTCGTATACATATAGAACTATTATTTAAAAATATAATCAATCTCAGAACGGAAAATCAATACATGGAGTATGTTAAATAGAAAAAAACTCTATCAGAGAAACGATTATAATAAATATTTGGTTTCTATATGCTTGACGATAAGATTTTTCCTAATGAGAATTGTGTTGTTCTATATTTTATTTGAGCATTGCAAATTTTAATCTGACAACACACTGTTTCAACCCGCCATTATTAATTTGTCATAATAATGGGACTGGCTCCATTGAATCGATTTTGCTCTTGCTATATAATTTAAGGCAAGAAAGAAATTGACGATAGTTTCTGTCTATCAACTATTGTGCGACTAGAAAGTGTAGAGAATAATCAAAAGTAACAGTTCTAATCATATCTGTGCTGCCGATATGCGCGTCCCATTAATTTCCCTGGATATATCTATATGCTTCTCTTCTTGTTGTTGTTGTCGTTCATTTTCAATATTTTTCTCTTCTTTTTTTTTTACATTAGAAATAGCTCATTACTACTTTTGTCCTTGAAATGTGAAGTGCAATGCGGAATGACAGACACGCAAATAAAAGATTGCTAGATGATGTCACCAATAGCGTACATTAAAAAAAAATCAATTTATTCGTTTCAAGAATATCTTAAGCTAGGTGCCAGCCAGCCAGACTAACGCAAAAAGACAATTTATTAAAAGTTCATCTCTTTGGTGTTTATTATAAAAGAACTTGTTTGCTGAATTTTTTCTTCTTCTTCTTGTCGCTTTGTCTTCTTTTTTTTTTAACGATCGATCGTTTTTGTTTACTCAATTATTTGACGTGCTACGGAAAAAAACTAGAGAGCAAAAAAGAAAACGAGTTCTTGTCACACTTATCTAATAAGCAATAATTGAGAAGTAAAAGAGGAAAATTGGAGTGACATGTTCATCGTTTGTTTTAGTTTTTAACTATGTTTCTTTCTTGTTTCATCTAGGCTGCTCATTTGAACTTATCTACTCGATGTGCACACGTGCGTATGGCGGATAATCACAACCACCCGTTTAATAGCGATGTTATTGCTCATGATCGAATCAGACAACTTGAACTGCATTTATCAATTCAAGGAAAAGAAGATATTTCAGAATATCGTCATCAAAAAAATCTTGATGAACTTTTGTTTTTAAAAGATCGAAATAGCTATTTTTCAAGTTCAACTGATTCAACTCCTAGCATAGCATTGCATTCGATATCGGATGACGATTTTAATCGCCTAAAATATTTATTACGTTCAGTGGTATGGCCAATTGATCATCATATACGCGAACAATTATGGATAAATATATTAACATTGTATCGAATTAGTTCAATAAATCAAAATAATCATGTAACTCAAACATCACAAACAGTTTTATCATCATCGGCAATGATTGATACTAATTTTGGTTCTCTTTCATTAAAATACGAGCATTGGCCAAACTTTGTCGATACAACAAATCTATGTTTTTATTATTTAACTGAACGGAGAGGTCAATCACTTGTACATGGCATTCTTTTAACATTTTCTTCCTATCATCCCGATGTAACCTACAGTCCAATCCTACAACCAGTTGCAGCGTTACTTTTACATTATCATAATGAATATGAAGTTTTATATTTACTCAATCGTTTATTAATTAAAAATTGGCTATGTGGAGAAACACGTTTACAATGGGAAGCTCATTGTAATGTTTTTAGGAAGCTATTAAAAAAATATTACGTATGTTCAATTCAATAAAAACTGATATTATCTTTCTTTTTTCCTATTTAGAAATCAGCAGCTGATGTTATTAACTCGCGCTATAAAAATGTCAACGGTTTCTATCACGATTGGTTATGGTGGATTTTTCATTATTTACCATTTTCTTATCTCGTACAATTTATTATTTCTATAGGATTTCATATCATCGTTTTTTGGTATTTCAATTTTAGGTAAAAATCATGGACTGTTTTCTTCTTGAAGGTACGAAAGTTTTATTTCGAATCAGTTTAGCTCTGGCTCATGTATTTACAAAAAGTATGTTACACAATTCGAGGAGATCTGCTTGTCTACTTGCCCATATCATGCATATTTGTAGATATTCGACGCGAATCAGATGAAACTATTCATAATATCACCGATTTCTGTCGACATATTCCAATATCAATTGGTCGTCTGTTAAACGTAAGTTGTCGAATACGATGAAACTAAACCATCAGATTGCATTTAGCCAATTGATTGCTTGATAATATAAATTTAATTCGATATTTTTTCTTTTTCATTGCTATTCTCATCTAGATTGCATTTCATATACGAAATTTAAAACGACGTACAATTGAACAATTAATTGAGCACGAAGAAAAACTTTTACGAAGCACTCGCCATCAATTACATATTGATAATGCCAATGAAAATCATCATGTTAGTACTAATCATGAAATGACTTCTAATCGACCACCACCATCCATTACACCTCAACATCTTACACAAATACCACAAGAGTCAACGCTTAGTCAACAGCAAGTATGTCATCGTGTATTTTTAAAACAGTAAAAATCGAAAGAATGACTTTGATTTTCTAGTTTCTGACATTATGGAATTGGCTACCGGCACGTCTTAGTCTATCGCAGCCCATGGTAGTTTTTACGACTGATGAACATGGCTTTCGCTTGCAAACTTTACTAAATAAAGTTGATGAATTAGAATATTCAATTTTGGTAGTAAAAACCACGAATGGCGAGGTAATCATTGTTTAATTACAGTGAAAAAAAATAACATCGAGTAGTAAAGGAAAGAAAGAAAAACCTAAACGGAAGGAACATTTATTTCAGATATCGGAAACGGAACAAGAAATGAATTTTTCCTATACGATTTTTCTATTCATGTAAGTAACAAAATAAGTTTTAAGTATTCTTTGAATAGATCTTTGGTGCATTTTGTGCTGGCCTTTGGTCTGATCGTCGCAATAGAGCATATTTCGGTTGTGGTGAATCATTTTTATTTACACTGATACCAAAACAGAAAAAATACGTATGGGTAGGCCAACAACAGCCTGCAAATAATCGACAAAATCAAGTTAAACGTGAAATGTTTTTATTTGTTGATAAGGACAAATTAATTATTGGTGGAGGGTAAAGGAAAACAATCGTTTGGCTGTTTTTATTTACTTCTCTGTTTTTGTTTTGTTTTTGTAGAAATGGTGATGGTTTATGTATTGATCAATCACTGTGTGAAGGCCAAACAGCCCATTGTGAAACATTCGATAATGAACCGCTTTGTTCTCAATCTTTTTTCTCCATCTCAGTTTTAGAAATGATTACTTTTGATTATTCTGCATCCTAACTATCGTGGTACAGTTTTCGTTGTGAGACAATCAAATGAATTAGAGAGTATTCTCTTTTTTTCTGTGTGTGCATGTTTTGTAAAAAGAAAATAATACATTTTAATGGTGGTTTTAGTTGTATTGTGCTATCATAGTTGAATCAATCGGCTGATTTCATTGGCTATGCCGAAAAGAGATACACAGTTCTACAGAAGAGTGCTAGAACTGTTAACTTGCAAAAAGCAAAAGTCGTAGAAATCTATTTTGTTTTTCGATTAGCAATCGTGATTCATAATTTGAGGAAAAGGATTCTTCCATGAAGAAACGAATGACTATCATTTACCACAAATAGAAATCCACAGACACATCTATACATCATATCCACACTTGTGGTGAATAAAACAAATATGATCCATTCTGGTGATCAAATAGGGATTTTTGATTTAGGGATTTTTCAATTTAGGGATTTTTTTTTATACAATATCTTGTTCAAGTCACAACCGAACAAGGTCCCAGTTGGAGGTTCATCAGTACCAGTATACTGGGTACTGGTANGTTCCCGGCCAAGAACTGTTCGGGTCGACACAGTTCCCGGGTAGGAACTGTTCGGAGGATCTGGTTCCTGGGCAGGAACTGTTCTGGGGATCTGGGTTCCTGACGGAGAACTGTGCATTCACTACAGTTCCTCGAAAAGATTCGGTTCAAAGAACCGAGAGCTGTCGTAGGTCTAATCATTACCATGACTCCATGTTTTTACTAAGGAATAATTCGAAAGCTTTAGGCGTAAATTGATCAGCCACAGGAGACTTAGATGTCGCAGTTGTACGAGTACTCTGTACATCAGAACGATTCCACGCAAATACTTATTGTGAATAGATTGTGTCATCAACAGTGACGTATTTAGATGGAGGATTGATCGCCGGGTCAAAAAAACTCGTATTAATGATTTGTAAAGTCAAAACGAATGACTATCATTTACCACAAATAGAAATCCACAGACACATCTATACATCATATCCACACTTGTGGTGAGTAAAACAAATATGACCCATTCTGGTGACCAAATAGGAATTTTGATTTAGCGATTTTTCAATTTAGGGATTTTTTTATACAATATCTTGTTCAAGTCACAACCGAACAAGGTCCCTGTTAAGGGTTCATCAGTACCAGTATACTGGGTACTGGTAACACTGGTGACCAGAATCATCTCTCCGAGTTTCTGATAAGAAGAATTACGTTTCGAAATGATTCTAATGAATATTGAATATGTATGATTCTGGTAACCACAATCAGCTCTAAGAGTTTCTGATAAGTAGAATCACGTTTCGAAAGGAGATTCTAGTAACCAGAATCATACATATTTGATATCTATTAGAATCATTTCGAAAAGTAATTTCGCTTATCAGAAATTCTTAGTGCAGAATCTGGTTACCAGAATCATACATATTCAATATTCATTAGAATCATTTCGAAAAGTAATTTCGCTTATAAGAAACTCAGAGAGTCGATTTTGGTCACCAGTATTACCAGTATCCAGTATACTGGTACTGATGAACCCTTAACAGGGACCCTGTTCGGTTGTGGCTTGAACAGCATATAGTATATAAAAAAAAAACCTAAATTGAAAAATCCCTATTTGGTCACCAGAATGGATCATATTTGTTTTATTCACCACAAGTGTGGATATGATGTGTAGATGTGTCTGTGGATTTCTATTTGTGGTAAATGATAACCAACCGATGATGACTGCCGAGAAGTTGGAAGAAAAGAGGCGAATGACAAGTTGATGACGAAATACCTTGGGAGCAAGCGTTTTAGTAAACATTTTTCATTTTGTGTAAATTTCGTTTGCAATTCATTTGTTTGCTTTTAGAGTGCCAGTGTCTACATCGCAAAAATCAACGTGTTCTAATTTCAAGATATAAGATAAAAGTTCTGAGTTCAATACATTATAAAGAAGAATACAATAGTGATGGCCAACATCAACATTTATTTTTCGCACCACGATGGAAATATAGTGGCAGCCACTTTACCTGAGAATTTCAATCGCGAAGATTTTATTCGGATCTTGTGTGAACGTTTTAGTGATTGGTCCAGCTTTAGATTTATCGTGCGTGGACATAACATAGCCCTAGATGACAATGCACGATTTAATGCAAGAAAGCATGAAATTACTAATGGGTGCCAAATATATGTGTTCAAACGGATGACAGGCGGTTGCTTTCTTCCTCATACTTTGGTACTAATGGCTGATGGTACTTCAAGATCTATAGATGCCATTCGTGTAGGCGACGAGCTGTTGGCATTCACCAACACAGACAAAATTGTTTCGTCAATGGTTCAACAGAAGTTCGTGCACACAGTAACAGAATATGTTGAATTATTCGTTGGTGATGAATCAACCACTCCTGTTTGTGTGACTCACGACCATCCGTTTTACGTTGGTAAAGGACAGTTCGTTCCGTTGAAACATATAAATGGCAAAAACGACACCCTATTTACATGCGAACTCAATGAGGATGGTAAAAGTGTTTTAACAAAGAAGCCCATAATTGGGCGTAAGAATGTCACGGTCCCATCAGCATGTGTCTACAATCTTAGTACAGATTATCCGAACACGTTTTTCGCCAATGGTATTGCGGTTCACAATAAACTGGGAGATTTAGGGGCTGCTTTCGTTGATGTAAGTAACACGAGTGGTCTGAAACGCATCCAATGGAGTCATACAGCTCCTAGTTGGCGCATAGCTAAACCAGGTATTTGTCTGGAGGGTAAATGCAATAACACGAACTGTGTTGCTGTGGGTCGACAGGTGATCATGAATATTGGTTTGCGAAGTTTTGATTACCTCGGCGATGTGAATGAGACCACAGCGATGTGTCCATGTTGTTCGAAATATGTCGAGCCAATCACATGTGCATTCAATCGATGTATGTGGCGTTGGTCAGGCATCAAGCAACCAGCACCAGGAGAACCACCGAGACAAATTTCCGCCGATTGGAAAGACGCTGACAATGCCTACCATTGCTTTGACGAACAAATCAGTGGCACCGTAATATGGCGCAAGCTTGTTCTAGAAGCGAAAGCTCGCTAGTATTTTGGACTTGATTGTTATGATACTGAATGCTCCAATTCGTAATAAAAAATTTTCGTTAGCTTTCAAATATTTCAATAGAAATAATATAATCTTTTTATTGGAACCTATCACGATCCCAGAAATATTCTTCATAGCGCAACATACCATGAGTATTGGCGTCACTAGAGACTACTGAGCATGGATTGTGTGAAAAAATAGATGTAGGCTTAAATTTTTGTGTCTGGCTGCATAGTTCTTTAGTGACCAAAGTATGCGTCGATCGTTTTGTCTTCCCGTTGTAACTGTCATGAATAGTCTTACCCAGCACTATCACGAGACATTCGTGAAAAGTGAGAGCAAATGACAGATGGAATGGGTTAAAAAAAGGAAGCTCTTGAGGGTGTGGGTACACACCCACACCCACACAACCCTCAAGGACAAAGTTCATTAGCGTTGACAACAATATATTAAATGTAATACTTTATATGAAATATGCTATTCATCAACATAGCACTTATTGCTAGTTTGGGATTTTTTTCTACTGTCTCTCGACTTATGTTGATAATTATGAAGATACATGCTATGACTATAAGTCAACGATGACTTGAACTTAAAAGAACAAATTTTCTATTGGAATATGATACTTTCTTGATGCTTTCACATCAATAATCTTCGAGTGGAGAGTATTTGAATTCATAATCATTAGCGTGGATATCCAAGTTCAACCATTGTGACGTACACTTTTACTAGCATACGTTTTTTACAAAGGGAGTTAATTCATAAAAAAGACTTTCTCAAGTGTTTTTTTTACCGTTGTTCGCTGCTATATGGATTGTCTAGTTTTGTTTCGATATGCTTTCTCTACGATTATCAAGTGATTTCAACTATTAGATGACATTAACATCGAAAAAATCATATACTAACAGTTTTCATGATTTTTTTATGCATAATCTAAGTTTATTATAAAGAATTTATTCAAAATATGAATTTAACGATAAGGTTATGATTTTTGTTAGATGAGACATATTCAAACTCTATGCTAATGTTGTCGTAATTAGAGTTAGCGAAAACTATTAATTCTATGACGGTTTTATAGTAAATGTGATGTCTTTCCCAGTCCATATTGCTGTTTTGTTCTCGTTGTTATTCCATATAATTCTTTCTATTTCTTAACAAAGTAAATGATCACCAAGACGGTGATGGTAATACCAATTAGTGTAGCATTAATATTCCATAATAGAGTGATCAAACTTCATGTTTTGGCCTGTCTGATGTCTCCAGTTCTTTTATATTCACGCACTTGTTTCGATAACATACAAGCAGCTAAACCCATTATAATTCCAGATAAACATATTTATTATAGACCAAACAAGATAATCGTGAACTCGATCGATCTCGCACTGCTGATCGATTATTTCTGTCTGCGATAGATCGTTTGGCGGTACTGGACTCTTGTTGTCATTTTCTGTTGTACTTGAAGAGGACTGTGGAGCAGACATGACTGAAGATTGCATTAAAAAATATGGTAACAAGTGAAAGAAACGGATAATTCAATTCAAACGAGATACATATATAAATACTCATGAGTCAATAGCGACTATTCGTGCGTGCTGCTGGTGATGTAATCTACTCGATGGATGTATGGATGATTTGCATTTGTCACTTCCTTTGACAAAATATTTTGGTCTACTACAAAAAATAGTGAACAATTATAAAAATAATGACGTTTTAAAAGAGAGCACGAGGGCAAGTCAATGCATACAGGTAGCCAGACGCCTCTAATGTGCATGTGTTTGGGTAAAACAATGATCGAATGATTAAAAAGATCGCTTAAAATGAAGCTGTTTTAATACGGTCTTAACATTATAAGTCAATGGTAACCGATTAGAACCGTGTATTAATTCATTAAATTCAGTGTTTTCAACGTAAATTTTGACACAGATATTCACGAATCAATATCTACATAATAATTCTTTCTGAGATTTACTGGTTCAATCTTGAGAAGCTGACAAACAATTGATTGTATCACGGCTAGAATAAATTAATATATCAACATCGCTGGAATATTCTAGAATAGCTGTATTTTTGTTTTTATCAAGATGCAGTTTCTCTGTGCTGTTATCAAAATCGACACAATCATCATCGAGCTTTTACTGGTGACTATCTTCAATTCACCATAATAGCTTGGTTTCATATTATAATTGTAGCCTAATTAAAAAAGTAAGTGTTTATGCAACCAAACATCGATTGAATCGTACGTGTAAATAGAATAGATAGAGTTTGAGTAAAACTAGAAATGTAAACCTTTCACATTCATAGTCCTCCATTGTTGATTGATCATTCGCTTAGAACTAGTAAGTTTCTCTGAGTACGATATTTAAATTTAAAATCGATGCTTCGAAATGGTAAGTTATAAATAAATGATTTCAGCTTAGTTTATCGAAAAATTTCTCGTCTGAAGCAGAGTGCACTCTATTTAGAACATTGCAAACTGTATATTCATCGGTTTCAGTTGAGCAAATAAAATATGATGCCATGATGTTATTGTTACTAGGATCAGAAGAAAATTCATTGCAGTACAAAAAAAGATTGGTAAGAGACGAAAACGTTTTGCCAGCCATGTGCAAGAATCTACTTTATTGAAATAGCAAATCTACGAAAGTGCAAAGAAATAATACTATGAAAAAGAAAACATGATCAGTGAAATTAGCAGTCTCCGATTTTAGTCTTTTTTTGCTTCATGACTTTTTAAGGCAAACTTCAACCAAAATTTATGCACTCGGTTTGACTTCATCAGTTGGTGCTAAAACAAACACCCGCAAGTTGAAGTATGAGTTATCACCTTTTTTCATTAAACTTGCGAATCCTATGTACCATAGTATCACTGAAGTAAATATCCCAATGGCACCACCTGCCCGTGTCAAACCGTGGTCCCATAAAAGAAAATAGCTTGCCGTAAATAAAATATACGTTAACATCAGGAAAAAGAAGAACACAATCATAATTACGTTTGCTCGAATCGATGCAATTAACATAACTAATGTAAATATTGTCCATCCGAGATAGAAAATGCCTAACGCTTTGTATTGTACAGTTACATCTGTTACGAGACTGTAAAAGCTAAAGGTATTGGCATAAAGAGCACCGAGTCCAAACCAATAACCAGCATAAGAACAGAATAGAAGAGCATGATAATTGTTTCCAATGCGTAGTTCAAATAAACCAGCCAGAAATTGAATGAGACCACCATAGAAAAGTGCAAGACCCATCGCCATAGAAGGTGATGTTGAAATAGGAACAGTTGCACCAGCCATATTCATTGAATAAACAAACAATGTTAATGCAAAAGCACAGAAACCGATTGGTGCTGCATTATGTGCTCGAGGTCCTAATGCCGAATAGCTCATTGAATTTCGAATTCAAGAAAACGCTGATATATCACTAGACTGTTTCTGTCAGCAGACATTTTTTAAATTGCAAAAATATAAATATTCTTATCTAAAGAGGACAAGATAATCAAATCGAATATTTTGTTAGTCTTAGTAAAATATGAAATCTTGTTGTAAATAATATTTTTATATAAATTGAAAATGAAAAGAATGATTGTTGTTTGCGTTATAATATACGTAGTTTTACGAAAAGATGAAGGCTTTTCTCGTAGCTATTTAAATTAAAAAGTTACTGAATTCTATGATCAAAATAAAAGAGTGCATTTATAAATAAAATAAATGTGTTCGATTGAAAGTTTCAATACGACCAGTTGCTTACAACGAAATTCGAAAAAAAGGTGAGTAGCTGAAAGTCAAGTTATTAAAATCATTCGATGAATCAATTTGATTGAAGACAATACTTGCGAAAAAAATATGATATTTGTTATGTCGAAATTATTATTGCACTATCAATATTTATTCTAGTTCCGACAAATCTGTGAAACTTTATCAAAACAAAAAATTTGTAAATCATATGTAAAACAAGATCCATCGAATGTACATTTAAGATTTGTACTACGAGAAAAATCCAGCAGAGTGCAAAGTCAGAATAAAAATATTTTAAAAATACGTGAACAATCGGTTAACGTTTAAAATCAACTGAATGGCACCATGCTATTGGCCTCGGATAGTTTCATTAATATTCTATTTTTATTCTTTAACAAAAACGGGACCTCAAAGCATAGTGTGCATTTTTTTGCATATTCATTTATCTTGCCAAATAAAGATAAAATATCATAGAAATTATCAAAGTTTAATTGGTATTTTACCTTTCTTCTGCAAGAATTTGCTTGATTTATCAAGTTTGAGTAGTCTTATTAAACTTGGCGAAGCACATCTAATCGTGTATAGATATCGAAGAAAAAACGTTTACTCTATTTCGACTTCTCTCGCATCTTACTTGAGCTATAAAATGAAACAGAAAATATTTCGATGTAAACTGAATAAAAGATACTGATTTTGCTCTTGACCGAAACATTGGTAGTTTTTTTTTCAATTGCTCTTTTACAAGAAATCGAAACTTGGACTTATAACTTCTATTCTCTTTCTTCTAAATAAATTGTCACCCGTCAAATAGCTTTTACATCACTTCGTACTTTTGAAGTAGAAGTCTCCGTAGTTACTCTGTTTGCCATTGATGATCTTAAAAGTTGTGTTCTTTTATTTTCTGTTTCTATAAGTTGAGATATTTTCTTTTCAAATAGTTGCATCTGTATCAGTGTCACAGTCAATCAATCGTGTAGTTTATTTTTAGTTTGTTTTTGTGTACTAAAAAAAAAAAAGGAGTACATTATAAAATCGGTCAGTGTGTCCGTCCGTCCGTTTATTCGATAACTCTTCACAATTGCATTCGATTGAGCTGAAATTTTGTGCGCAGAATTATCTTATCAATATCTAGGTCGAGTTCGAAGATGAGAAGGATCGGTCAAGAAATGGCTGAGTTATCGAAAAAATTGTCATTTTTGATCAGGCCATTCCTGAGGGGGAGTACAGGGATTTTTCAAAAAAACTTTTTTTTCTCAGAATTATCCACAACATATAAATCGACTCAGTTTTTAACGCTGATTCCGAATCTGATATTAGTTTTGAACTAAATCGTAGCTTTCTAATGAAACATCGCCTGAAAAACATCTCAAAATGCACAAAAACTGCATCCAGAAATCAAATTGCCTAGTTTCTCATGATAATTTTGGTGTTCCGACATTCTAGAATGACTCATATGTTCCATGCACTTTTTGCAGTACACATAACTCTCGGATGAAATCCGAAGTTTCCACATTTATTTTCCTTTTACAATGAAGTGAAAAAAACAAATCTCCCAAAACAACAACAGAAAGGTATACCCTCTGTCACAAGTGTATGAAAAATAAACCACAGGCAGATGCATTAGGTGACCAGGATTCTTTTATTAAACAGCATGGATACCTTTTGGGTGTGGGTGTCAACTGTATTGCTGATGCAGCTATTACTAATAACTCCTATTAACACTGGCACTGATGCATGCACTTAGGCACATCCACACCAAAGATAAAAAAGACCACAAAATTCATACAAGAACCAAAATATATTACTTGATATTGCTCTATCTCGTTTTTGCAAATCGAGAAAAAACTTGATGCTATCAGAAAAAAGTAATAAGACACATGTACAAAGGAATCATACGCTTGGAATTCCAACATCAAATAAATATCACTTCGAATGTATTGATAATCATTGTCGGTATTTCTGGTAGAATTCGAGTGTCGTCAACATTCACATTTCAAATTCATGCATATAACGTATCACATTATTTGAATAATGAAACATTAATTAGACGACTGATCGTAGAGGGTATTTTTGTTCTACTTAATTCTTGTCCACATGTAGAAATCAAGCACATAGCAAAACATTTCTCAAATAAACTGCATCAGTTTAGAATCGTGAATGAATCTTACAAATAAGTTTTTAGTTTGTTTCGTCGATCTGGCATATCCACTCTCAATGTTTTACTTGGAGCGTAGAAAATGTTATATTGTACATGGGAATCAATTAACTCGAATCAGTCTATGTTAAAATATCTGTCTTCTTGTATATTTCATACGCCTTGACTTAATTAAAGAATAAAACACATAATGTAATGATTTTATTGTTTTTTTAATAAAGAAAACTCGATGACAGAAAAAAAGAAAAATACCAAAAACCTGGGTAAAAAGAATCATCGTCGTTGCGTGAAAGAAAATGAGAAGGGATATTTATTTCAAATTCTAGACTTATAACAGTGCAAGAAACATCTCAGCTAAGAATTGATGATCTGCGCAAAAAACGAGTCCTACATTTCAGTTTTGCTTTTACGACATAGACTTCAACCAAAATTTATGCGCTCGGTTTGACTTCATCAGTTGGTGCTAAAACAAACACCGGCAAGTCGAAGTATGAGTTATCACCTTTTTTCATTAAACTTGCGAATCCTATGTACCAAAGTATCACTGAAGTAAATATCCCAATGGCTCCACCTGCCCGTGTCGTACCTTGGTCCCATAAAAGAAAATAGCTTGCCGTGAATAAAATATACGTTAACATCAGGAAAAAGAAGAATACAATCATAATTACGTTTGTTCGAATCGATGCAATTAACATAACTAATGTAAATATTGTCCATCCGAGATAGAAAATACCTAATGCTTTGTATTGTACAGTTACATCTGTTACGAGACTGTAAAAGCTAAAGGTATTGGCATAAAGAGCACCGAGTCCAAACCAATAACCAGCATAAGAACAGAATAGAAGAGCATGATAATTGTTTCCAATGCGTAGTTCAAATAAACCAGCCAGAAATTGAATGAGACCACCATAGAAAAGTGCAAGACCCATCGCCATAGAAGGTGAAGTGTTTACAGGCACAGTTGCACCAGCCATATTCATTGAATAAACAAACAATGTCAAAGCAAAAGCGCAGAAACCGATTGGTGCTGCATTGTAAGGTTGACCTCCTGATGACGGATATTTTTTCATCAAACTTTCGAATTCAAGAAAACGTTGATATGTTACTTGGCTTTTACTGTCAGCAGCCATATTTGAAATTGAGTCTTTTTAAATATAATAATCTAAAGAGAAAAAGTTAATCCATATAGAATACTTCATTTTTCCCAGTAAATTCTAGCTATTCAATTCGAAAAAGTTTGTCAGGGTAGGTCCATTAGATGTACTATTTCTAAATTAGCGAGTTACAGTGGTTACCAGTGTATTTAGCTGACAGAGTTGCCGACTCAATACGTTTTAAAAGCGGAAGCTTTGCTCGTTCAGTTTTCATCATAGCGTAAACTTGTATTGTTGGCAACTCTCGGGCTTCTAAGCGTTTGAAACTCGTTCCCTATTCATAGCCATTGCTTTTTTTTCTTCAATATATTGAGAACAGCATGAAAACAAAGGAATTCTATTTAGAAATTTGTTTTTTGATGTGTACTTATGATTAGAATTGATTGCTCATTGACATGAAGCAATTGAGAGAGATGGGGGTCTTGAGAATGAAATTTCATATTAGTCGATATGGTTTCTAATTGAAAAGGAAGGAGATTGATAAAGCGGCAAACTTCGTCTTATAGCTAACACTTACCATTTCCTTCTAGAATATCGATGAACTCTACCAATGAATTCAATTTTATTGCTGAGATAAGACAATGCATCTCTCAAAAAATACAAATGCGTCTGTGTTATTTTTTGTCATTTTAAACACAGTAATTCCCTTCGATTATACATTTTTAGTCTCCATCAAAAACTTCCTTCATCCTCAAGTGTATTTTGAAATATATATATGACGATTCCGTTTCTCATTTAGAATAAAAATAAAGTATTATTAATATTACCAAAGATTTTTTACATAAAGTTTTCATCTATAAAAATCTTACTCCCACTAAACGATGATTAGTCTCTAATTCGAGTCAGTGGATTCTATCTAGTCATCTAAGGTGTGTGAGAAAAAAATCTCAAACTTCATAAAGACTTTGTCACATCCTACCTGTATTTAAAATAAACTTAAGAGAAACTTCTCGATTTAAAACGAATAAAAAATATCGATTTTATACTCGACCTTAAAGAGTGTAGTTTTTCTGTCAAGTATTCTTGTAAGGGAAATTAAAATTTTGCACAATAACTTATTCTCTTTTTCACGACGAAGCTGCTGTGACGCCTTATATACTTTCTGCATAAAGTCATTTTGTTGAACTAGAAGTATCCTTAGTAGCTCTGTGTTTCGTTGTTCACAATCTATAAAAAAGAAATTACGCTGTTTAATTTCTTTTTGTATAAGTGGATATATTTAGTTCTCAAATAAATGCAATGGTTGCCTAGTGCAGCACAAACAAATAGCATGACTAAAAATAACAACCTCGAAACATTATTTCAAATTGTCATTTTGTTTTAGTGATGAAATCAACATAATAGACTTTGTGGAAAAGAATAAGTATACATCGTACAACCTTATGAAACAAATAAATACTAGAGAAACGAATAGAATAACAAGGTCTTTATTAACAAGTCATTTTTGTGTACTCAAAAAATGGGTACACTCTAGATTCGGTCAGTGCGTCCGGTCGTTAACACGATAACTCTTGAAAGCCTCATCCAATTGCCATGAAATTTTGTACACAGAATGATCTCATCAATATCTCAGTCGAGTTCGAAGATGAGAAGGATCCGTCAAGAAATGGCTGACTTATCGAAAAAATTGTCATTTTTGACCAGACCATCCCTGAGGAGGGTGTTACGCTCTCAGTGATGTCGACTGATGTGCAGCTATTAAAAATATCAGGAGCCACAATAACTGTTTATGACCAATTGGAGTAACGATAAGAATTATGACTTGGCTAAGGATACCAATGATTTATTGAACAAGACAAGATAGAGAAACGAACGAGAGTTATTCAACAATAGTTCAAAGAATTAGCGTTGAGTATGTTGAAGAACAGTTGAGAATAGAAAAGAAGAAAAAGGCAATGGAATTTTCTTCTACTATTTTGTTGACAAAGATGAATATATAGTAACTGATTTAGAAGAAAAAACAGTACGTAAAAAATACATTGATTTTTATATATTGGCGCGTCCGAGAAAAGAAACGATTAATTATACTCATATAGAAAAGAATATATATATTAATAAAATCAGTAGTGACCGTACCGTCACAGAGGGGTACAGGGAATTTTTCAAAAAAAACTTTTTTCTCAGAATTATTCAAAACATATATAAATCGACTCAGTTTTTGCAGTACACGCAACAATCGGATGCGAATCCGATGTTTCCTCATTTATTTGTTTTAACTTTGAAAGACAAAAAATTAGGCGTTCATCTCACGTTGCACGTAATCAAAAAATCAGCAATAGACAAAAAATCGATCGGTGAGATAAATGTTCATTTCAAGCGGAAAATGCCGTTCAGGTCAAAAATGAATTCTTTTCCCGTCCTGTCTATAACAGAAGACAAACTATATAAGTACGTATAAGTCAGCGTGTGTACACTAAATTCATATCGAGTACTTTTGTCGTCACTGTTCAGAAAAGATATCCATTCATATACAACGTATTTCATGCTATACAGAACTTTACAAACACCAAATATGAGTAGTTTTCATTTTCATTTTCATTCTTCACATTTCTTCTTTCCCAACGATTCATTGAAATCAAATTTCCTATCAGCTCTTTGACATTCGTCACGCATCATCACAAAACTATGACAGCTTTCGCTTATATCGCAAATGATTTTCGGCATCCCACCTTCATGCAAATTTACCCATCATTGTTTTAACCAAACTCAACCAAAATCTAACCGACTGTAAATTTTCCCAACATCCTCAGTACCGTGCAAACTCCTTTTTCTCTTATCGCGAATACCTGCATGTCCATTTCGATTGCATACGAACGCATTTTTCTCTATAGGAAAAATAATATTTCATTTATCTAAACTTTTTTCGCATTGAGTTTTTCATTTTCCCGCTGCAAATTCATTTTTACAGTGGTTTGACGTTATCGGGGGAACGGGATATTTTCGTTACTGTTTTTATGTTTAGTGTCTGTATCGTAAGTTTAGTTTTTAAGCATTTTTGACCTGAATTCCATTTTTCCGCTTGAAACGAGCATTTATGTCACCGATCAAATATTTGTCTAATCCTTTTAACACAAAGACCAGATAAAAATTCAATTCTTGCATAAAGACTAACATAAACTCCGTTCAATCTAAGCTGAAGCACGCAGTATATTGAACCGAACGAGTGACTATATTACTCAAAGATCAGTAAAACATCGAAGTTTAATTGAACAGAGTTGCAGAGCAAATTTTCCGCTTTTACAAACGAATTTGGTTTACTTATGTAACCATCGATAAGATTTTGCATGTTTATTCTTCTTTTTATTTTTGTTCATTTTAGAGAGTCACCTATTTCATTCTCTTAGTGTTAATGTCGTTTGCTTTTACCGACGTTGATCATGCATTTCACAACTTCTCTATCAAGCCTTCGCCTTCTGCATAATTTACATGCGAACCATACTATTTGTTTTACTTGTTCTCCAATGTGATATTAGTACTTTCCGTCTTTTATTCGTTTCTAAGTATACTTTATTGCCCCAAAGTACCCTCACCCCAGACCCGAGTTAATAGAAAACGTCGAATGAGTACAATAAACTAAACAGGTCTGCAGTAAATATACGGTGATCCGTTTACCCTAATATTTTTTATTACCTGAGGGTGTGAGGAAAGGTTGTAGATATGAGTTGTTTTCATGTAAAAAAAAACAGGATAAGAATCAGATGAAAATCGATTGACAAACGATTAAAACTAGGTAGCAGAACTACAGCGCTTTCAAAAACATTTTCATCTTTTTGTTACCCTCTGTTTTAAATTGAGTATGGCCAAACACACGGGTCATATATATATCAACAGTTAGATACGTATACATCATATCCAGTTTCAATATTTGGTTTGGATTGAAAGAATTAAGGAGTAGTAAGTAATCAATTTGCGATTGATTATTGAATAGTTGTTGATGAAAATCATAGCAAATAGCTAGCATGGGAACTGTGTAGTACGCCTAAATCTACACTCAGAGTCAAAATACCCACTGCCGTGTCATGCTTTTCATTAAAAGGTGTTTTTTTCGATTACTCTTGCATGTATCATGCTAAAGAAATCTCTTAAAGCGAGTGAACAGCTTGCATATCTTCCGTTCTGTAAAGATATTTGTTATTTTAACTTTACCCGATGAAATTTTTTTTCAACATGGATTTCTACAACAGTGATTTATTTTTTGCATCTATTTGTTCGCACATAATTCTTCATTTTTCTCGTCAAAGGGTACCTGTATTTATACTGTACCATGTTGTGGCCATAACAGTTCAGCGGCGATGGTGATGTGGCGAGCGATGATGATTATGCCTCCTTTAGAACTACGATTCAACAAAGCCTTTCGGAAAAACCTTCACACGCAGGCGAGTACAGTGCTGGCCCAGTCAGTCCCATTTCGGCGACTTCTGACTTCGGTTGCTACTTGAATGTCCAACTGAGTGGAAAAAAAAGTAACAAGTTATCGTTACTCAGGTCAATTGAAAGACGATATGGTCATTATTCGGTTTTACCATCACGATGCAAGACTTCAGCATGACTTTGTTGTGTTTGAAACAAATTGAAGGCATGCTTTTATAGTGCATTTAATAGGTGTGACGAATAAAAACAATGGCACCGTTCTCTGTATACAAATCAAAGATACTGCATGAAAACCGTCTGAAGAAACTATTCAACAAAGTAATTCAACAGTTAAAATGCTAAAAAGATCGCATCGAAACATTTTTAATGGGCTTTGGGTCGCACCAACTTGGCTTACGCAACTTTCGACACGCTTCACACGATATAGCAAAATATCTCGCACTGGAAGATGCCCGAAACTCGACCTAAATTGCCATCATACACACTGTATACATAAGACTTTTCCTGTCCCTTTCAATTTTTATATTCTGAATCATGATGTCAAATATGTCTTCTTTATTTTTCTGCATGCAAAAAGGATATGTGAATAATATTGCATGTTTGGGTTATTTTATTTCCCTATCTGACGTGAATATTCTTCTGAACAAGCCTTTTGGCGGTTGTCAATAAAATATACTAAAACAATACTTGCAACCTTTATTGGGAAAAGTATTTTTCAAAATTGCCTTTATGATGCTTCTAAGACACATTCAAAGGGTACCATAAAACTATTGATCATTGTAGGTTCATGCAATGAGTAAAAATATTGTAGCAGCGGAAAACAGAATGATCTCAACTATCATACGTAACCAATTAAATACAGAAGGCATGCATTTGGAAGTCGAAATTAATAACTGTTCAATAATTACCGATATGAAAACTAATCATTATTGAAGTAAATTCCGACAAATTTTACGCTCTGTCCATGTAGAAAATCTTTTGTATGATTAGATTGAGCTGAATAGTCTACTTGCAAATAATAGCTATGACAAAGATTTATTCTTATTATTAAGGGTTGCAATAACTATGAGCGTATCCGGAAAAGAAGATGATTATTGGCTACCCTGAAAAAAATAAAGGAGGTTTACAGAACCCTCCGAAAAGGTTCTGTAGATTTTCAAAATGCTCCAAATGTGTTCAAAGTCTCAAAAGAAGGATAAAAATTTTGAAAGAACCTTTTTTTGGTGTCTTTAAAGGAAAAAAAGGTTCTGTAAGAGATGGTTCTGCACTTGGGTAAAACGCAGAACCTTCAAAAGGTTCTGTCAAAATTTTTATCCTTCTTTTGAGACTTTGAACACATTTGGAGCATTTTGAAAATCTACAGAACCTTTTCGGAGGGTTCTGTAAACCTCCTTTATTTTTTTCAGAGTAGTTCAAATGAAAACGCTTTCGAACTCAAAAGTGCACTTTGTTAAAGAATTATTTCAGTATGCATAGGTGAACATTAACCTACATTTACTCATCGCTGATCATATCCACCAACGTCCTCAACCACTGTTTAATAGGATTCATTCGAAACGATATCCAAGTCATATTCATGTTATCATAAAAACATACTATGAGTGTACTCTCAAATACTGTACCTGAAAGTCTTGCGTTCGATATCTAATATGAAGAAAAATAATTTTATGATTCTCTTAAATATAAATTGGGCCCATTGTTTTGTATCAGATTCGTAGTACAAAATTTCCTTCGAGAGAACTCTTTTTCCAAACTGCAGTAGGAATTCAAGATACTTCGCTGCTACATTTAGCGACTATCAACAAGCAGAAATAAGCATTTTCGACTGCAAAACCTTCTCGCTCATGTCTAACAACCTCTCTATATAGATATAAGAATTGGAGAATTAAATTATGTAACATGTCAATATGAACTCCTCGTATTTTAAGCAGTTCCATGATCCTTTATTTGATTTCTATTTCACAACATTTTCTGGTACTGCTCTCGAAGAAGGCGCAAGCTTTTAATGAAGTCTTCAATGCCATTCACTAGTGTTCCATATTCGAATGTCACAAGTTTACTTTTTGTTGACCAATTGACTTCAATCCATTCTGCGCCACCACCTGCACAATCGGGCCAGCCTATACAATCGTCTAGCATTTGAAATTTCTCTGCATCGAAAAGAGTAACGAATTGTTCTCATTGCGCCGAAGTAAAAGGAAACTGCCGTTCAATGGTTGGATATTTTGCTTGATTCCAACGAGTTTCTTTCAAAGCAATTAATATCAATGGAATATTGGTCATATTGGTTGATCGAAGACAGTAGCCAAGACATTCTCCAAACAATGGGTGTGGGTGCCTCTTTTTCTCTCACACCCTCGGCGTTTGCGATTTTGAATTAAAATAGCGATCGTTACAAAACGAAAGATACAGGATATGAAGATTTTCATTTTTAATTTTCGAGCTTGCGACACTAATTTTGTCATCATCAGATTCAAAATAAAAAAAAACACTTGATGATATGAGTCTGGGCTTGGGAATTCTTTCACTCACTCACACTCAGACATCCATATCCACACACCCACTGCTTCCTGTTATTGTATTAATTATAGATTTGGTGATCAGCTGTATGTTTTTTATTGATCAAGAAAACCTACCAGAATTTAAACAGATTGATGATGAATTGAACAAAAAAAGAGAAAAAAATCTAAAATTTGATCTATAATAATTGTTGAAAATGAAAAAATTCTACTTGTGAATGTTTTAACACAATGCAAATAAACAATTACAATAAATAAGAACTATCCACATTGTATAACTCATCTCACTTGCATAATACATAAAAAAGGATTCAACTGAATTCTTTAGTCAACTGTGCCATGGATGCAATTACGACGAATGGTGTGCACTGGACATCCGCATCCTCAAGTGAAAACACAAATAACACAGCACGATACGTTGAGCATGATAATCGAGCGCAAGAAAATAAGATATTCAGACGATATGGAGACTCGTATTCTGAATGAGTCATCATTAACACGTGCGTTATTACTTTTTGTTCTCTGTTATCAGAATTGTTATGCTATCGTAATTCATGCGACTGTGTTGTGTACAAATATCATCAAAATATGTAAATCAAATTTTGCAATCTTATTCATGCTAATGCAAAAACGACTGAGCAACTCGTGATGAGTATCTCATTTAAAAATCTGAAGAGTTATTAAATGAAGATATTATGTTAGACCTTCTTTTTCTAAGCATACATCTAATTTCATTCAATAGATACTGCTTTAAATGGTTATCCTAAATATATTCACTAAGCACATATTATCTTGTCAACCCTAAATTACAGAATTGGATAATAAGCTTGATTCATTTTAATATAGATGATTATGAACAACAATATTTTGTAAGCGAAATATAATATTATTCAATTAACTATATCTGAGAGCTGTATTTTTTTCAATAAAAATATTAGATTATTTCAATAGGACGTGTTCATTTCAAGCAACTTCTTTAAAAGCCTGTTTTCAGTTATATTGTATTTTGAGGTCACGATGTTCTCTAAAAAGATGAAATCGCACAGCATGGATGTAATTTTGGTGACAAATGACTGCAATAATCATAATATGTGACCGCTTGCACCTCTATTGAAAGAGGTAGTTATTTAAAACGTTTTAATCTAGAAACTTAGTTCATAGTTAAGTTATACGTGATCTGAACCTAAACCATCTCTCGTAGTATCCTTATTCAAATAAAACAGCAGCGAGAAAATGAATGTTGGCAATTCCTAGCAGTAGTATATTGCATGCGTGATATGAAGGCGTCTGCCAGATTTCTTGAAATATTTTGATTGGATGAGTATGAGTTTGATAATATCATCTTAGGCAAGAAGCGAAAAAACAAAGTTGTCGATAGAAGACGTTAAAATAAAAAATAAAAAATAAAAACAGAAAAATGGTAGCTGAAATCCATGTGTGTGTGTGTTTTGTTTTTGTTATGATGTAGAAGAGACTATGACGCACAAACGTAAATTCGCGCATTTTTTCTTTCGCTTACGCTATGCACATAGTGCCTGTAGGTTTGTTCGTTTGGTCATTTTTACTGGATTATTTTAAATGTCTTTTAAAGCAAAAAATGAATGCCTACGAAAAACGTGGGGAGAGTTTGTTTTTTGCTAAGTAAGTTACATTAGCATCATTTTACAATTCCTTGGGACTCATCCGAGTACTTTGGCATATCAAATTATTTACACGGAAAGTATGGATTTAACTTATGCTGATTATGTTTTTTAAATTTTAGTATATAAAATCCTGGAAGTTTGAGCTTGGGCTCAAGTTAATTCTTTTGTGGCTGAAAAAATGGGTCAACATTTGTCAAATGTGAATTCGAAACTTGTTGATTGGGCTAGTCAATATGGGACGAAGCTTGCGCCGGACTCGATTATAGCTGCCAATGGTAAAGAAAATATCAGTCCATTTGTATCGATGAAAACACTTGCCGATGCAACAACAAATCAAATTTTGAGTTCTGAAAAATTATTGATAAAACAAATTCAAAATTACCTTTTATCACTGAGCAAAGCGAATGAATTGGTAGAGATCAATGCTGAAATTAATAAAATCCTCATGGAGAGTTGCTTCGCACCTATTATTGATCGTTATCAAAGTGAACTTCAAGGACTAAAAGCTATTGTTGATAAACAACAAGAATTACAAAAATATTTTAAGAAAACAATCAGGGAGAAAAACATCTCACTCGGTGAGACTGCTACATCAAGTGGTATCATTGAGAAATCTACAGTAGCTAATGAAATACAACACATAGAAGCAAACGAAGCTCAACCATTTTCTTGTTTTGCAATAAACTTGTTAGCATCATTATTGCTAGTTTCAATCAAAGCCCAAGAACGCATCGATCCATCGATTGCTACACAAATAATTACATCAGCTAGTCCGTTGTTCGAGCAAATCCCCATTAGAAATTTATCACCAGATGAACTATCGTCAAACATCAACAGCTTGGTGTCTAAATCATTGGCACCGTTGATAAATTATCTAAATGAATTGTCTATGTCAGAAGATCACGCTTTAGCAAGACCAGCTGTGCAAATTTTATTAACGTTTTCGATTGCGCACGGATCATTCAAAGATCTGCTCCCTATCATCAGCAGATTGATATTCAATTCTACTGACATTTATAATGTTCGAGATTTAATTGCAAAAATGAACAACAAACTTACAGAAACTATCAACCAATTTGAACAAAGCAAGGCAATAGCGAAGTCAACAACAGGTTTGTTTCTTACGCTTTTTTTCGAAATATAGGACCATATCTTTCTTTTGATAAGACATCTCAGTCTTTATGTTTCTCAAATTCTCGCGTTCCAAAAGATCAATTGGTCTAGAGTTAAATCGACGTTTATGAAAAAATATCCTTTTCCAAACTTTCTGAATCTATGTACAGACGAAAGAATAGAAGTTCCGGTTTTCAGCCTAGCCTTTCATTATGCGATAATTAACTCAACAATGTAAGAGAATAAAATTAGTGATAACAGTCATAATTTAAACGCAAACAAGAATTGTAATACAAAAAAATATTTCTAGGCGAGCTATCACTGATTTCATTGGAGTATTTAACGTTCAATGGAGTATTTCCTAATGCAAAATTAGCAGAAATAGATGATACAATATTTACTAGTGAATTTATTTCATCGGTTATTCTGGCATATGTTGACATTTACAATGAAATTAATTTAAACAAGCAATACCAAAATGGTACAACGTATAGTTCAATTTCATTTGAATTTCATCCGAATACGTTCAAGCAATTGTTTCATATTCTAGCACAATTAACTACAATTATAGCAGAAAATCCCAAACCAGTCCTAAATCATATTCTAACTGTTTGCGTCAGATTATTTAAAACTCATTTAAGATTTCTCTCTAGCATGAAGTCAACTATTGAACGAGAATTATTGGCAAAAACAGAAGATGAACTAATAAAAGTGACTCAAGACACTTCCAAAGAAAATGCGGATAATATTGATTTAGGTGCATTTGTAAATGACGATGAATTAAACAAATGGTTTGATATATTATTGCAATTCGCTTGTGATGATCAGAAATCAGAACGAGCAACAACGTGTAGAGAAGCATCAAAAGCGCTGATTTACGTAATGAATTTAAAAGCAACATCATTTACAGAAAATCTATCATTTATTCATAAATATATTATTGAAAATAAGCATCACATATTGGTCGAACAATTAATCGTTGAATTAAATAAAACAGTCACACGATGCAATTGGGTGGAAATTTCGTCTCGTGATAATACACCAGAAAATAGTGAATTGTCAACCGTATTGCATTCTTTCATCGATCTTTATTTCAATTCAACGAGTATATTGAATGACGAACAAAATCAGCAGATACAACAAGTACTTATGTCATTTCAACAATTTTTTCTAGTTCGTTTAGTACCACCTTCTAGAATGAAAAAAATTCAACTCCAACCGACGGATAATAACAAATTGGACGAATTTGAACTATTTATTGACAAGATTTCTGCATTGTTTTTCGCTCAGCATATCGCCTATATATTGAGAAATCATTTGAACAACATATCAAGATCAAATGACTTAATGAATCAAATCTTTGTTGGTCTGTGTTTAATGACGCAAACAGAAATTTTCAGTTTTACTACAGTTCAACCAATGTTCACATCGATTTTACCATTATTAGCAGACTATTTACTGATAGAGAGCGTAAACAATGAGGAAAACACTCTACACGGTCTCTATTGGCTGATGGGGAAAATGAGTAATGTATTGATTACTGGCTCCGAACAGAATTTATTGGAAAGAGAACATGCTGACGAATTGAAATTATCTTTGTTGACTGGTGGATGCGAGAAAACAGCAATCGACGATAGCAAATATCTACGGAGCTTATATGAATCCAATCTTGCCGTTTACAGCAAGACTCCATGGGCGAATCAAAATCAGCTGCTATCGTCCGATCATGATTTTTTAATGACGGTACATAAAAACACTGGTCAAGGTGCAGAACTGATTAAAAAACTGAAAATCTACGTTAAAAACCAGCCGCATTTACTCAAATCAATAGAAGAACAAGTAAATGATGCATGTGCCGCTCTATTCGCTGTGTATCTTAAACACTATCGCCGAGTTAATATAGCCAAATTGGAACTATCTCGAGCAGACGATAGAAGACCACATCATAAACTCATATCTCTATTTGAATATGCATGTCAAGTCCGAACATTATTTATCACTACGAAAGCACAAGATGGCGATTGCGATGCACTATATAAGAAAATCAAAATGAAAACATTATTTCTACTATCAATTGTGAAAGAAAGTAATTTCATTCCCATAATTCAAGAGGATTTATCACAAATAACATCGAATAAAAAAGCCATGGTAGATGTACAACAAAACGCTGGTGCCGCGTTAAGGAAAGAAAGTTCACGATGGAAAACAGCTAAGCATATATTTACAATACTAAGACATACGCTACATGCTTGCATTCGATTTAAAAAAATGATGCTAGCTAAAAGACAAGCCGTTGAACAAAATCAAGATATCGAAAGTATTTTGAATAAAGAAATCCATAGTTTTGTTTGTAGCCATCGCCATGAAAAGCTGATACCGATCGCCAGTGAAAAAACAACGTCGGAGTGTGATGAACTTGCTCAATGTATGATCAAACAATACGAACGAGCAATGACTCGATTGATGACATATCGCTTTATAAATACATTTATACAGAAAACGTTAACAATCGAAGATAACACGCGAACGTCAATAATTCTATCTATATTTTCACCATATCTAAGGAGATCTGTGGTCAATTGGTTCTATTTAGAAAATATTCAAGTAACCAACGACGAATTGAAAGAAGAAATTCGAAACAACTATTATTCAATTGGCAAAAACATTTTATCTTTAATTCTACAATCAAAAATAGGCGAACAAAATATCTTCAATTTATTGAATGTTTCGTACACGGCAGCCGACATTTATCTTCTACGTCGTCATCGATTCGTTGAAATATTATTTAGAACCTATGTTAGTTTTGTCGAAGTGAAAGATCATTCTGTTTCAATTGCTACAAAACTAATCGGATATAATTGGTTTCGACTTTATGTCTTAGAGGTATGTAGAAATGTGCAAATTGAAGAATCGAACCGAAAGATAAATGAAGAATTAATAGGAGAAGAAAATTTTCTCTTTAAAACACTGGTTCTAAACGAATTGAAAGGATTGAGGCAATTGAAACAAACATTATCAAATGATACGCAAGAAAGTATTGCAGACTCTGTAGAATGTAGAAATCATTCTTTGAATAATGCTTCCATTGGTTGGTTTATTCATGCAACAACGAAAGATCAAACAGTAGACTATTCCAAGAGTTTATCATCGAAATTTGAAATTGAACTTTGCACAAATCAGTGGCTGAGTCTTTTGCTTCGATGCATTCATTTGTATGAACATGTTCGAACGGTGTGCGGAACTATTGATTTCATTGAAGAACTCCTATACATTTATCGAAATAGTCAAAATCAAGCAACAATTTTACTTGCATTAAAAATCTTACGTGATTTACTTCCATTACTACCTGAAACTACAAATGGATCAGAAAATTCAATGATCAGCACACTATTGAATGAATTTCTATTTTCAATCGGTGACAGTTACACTTCACAAACGATGGCATCCGAAACGTTGACTGAACTAATCTACATTTATCGTGCAATCATGTCGTATAAGTCGCCTTGGCAAATGATGGCAAGACAACTAGTATTCGATAGTATCACATCCAGTTCGAATACTATCGACTGGCAATCACTCGAAACCATAAGCACAAAACAATGGAACTATTTATTAGCTGCATTATTTATCTTAGGTGGATACATTCAACCGTATGGACTAGGTTCAATTGTGGAAATCTACATGGATGATGAAAATAATGAATACGAATTGGGTATCATCATTGATGTCGATACGAATGCGTGCGATCTTGTTGCGGTTGATTCGGCACCATATCTTGTTCAATATTTACAAGGAGATAAAACTGAATGGGTTAAAATTGATAAATTGCAAGTTAAATTAGATGTATCTGCAGAGAAATTATTCGCCGTGTCAAATACTTGTGATTCAAATACAGATATAAATTCAATTCTTGATACATTAGGTTACATCATACGACTTGATACATCATCAACCGATTCGTTACATCTTTTACAACTTAAACGTTATGCTATCACGGCGCTCTACGGCATTTTAAGTAAAAATCAAATAATTGATATTTTCATGGAAAAACCATATGCTTCATGGGTTGCTCAATTGTCCATGGCTGATTCGTTGAGTGAAGATCAAATTAAACCGGCTGATCTACTTCTATTTAATAGATCGCATTTGGAACAATATTGCTTTAGTTTAGATCGGTGTGAACGGTTGAAACAAATTATTAATAATAGTTCTGAAAATGCAACAATAGAAAATACTCAAATTGACTCATCGCCAGGCGTTCACAAAAAGGCTCAAGTATATAATAACTGGAAGCGATTTGCATCGAAATTTGAAATAGAACTATATAAGGAGGGTCGAAATGGTAGCGATGACATTTCAATTGTTCCATTTCCACACAATATAGCTGATTTAGATGTAATTGAAGAGTGTGGCACTAACCACCGATTTAAAGGCCGAATTCATATGACTTCTCAAAATCAACATGGAGCCTTTCCTTCGTTTATAGTTGAAAATTTACAGTTAAGTCACGGTAATTGGTACTACTGCGTTAGATTATCAACGGCTGGTCTTGTTCAAATGGGATGGGCGACAGCTGGATTTACACCCGAGAGTGGCGAAGGACAGGGTATTGGTGATGATAAATATTCATGGTCGTTTGATGGATCACGTGGGACTCTGTATAGCAACCAAGAGTTTCAATTTTTGTCACGGCATATTCAGTGGGCAGCAAACGATGTTTGCGGATGTGGAATCGAAATTGATGGTGAAAATACGCGAATTAGATATTGGCTGAATGGTAAATTCTTAGGTACAGCATTTGAACATCAGTCAAATATTGCATCGACAACAATCAAATGCAATCTTTTACCAAATGGACCGGCTACAACGTATTTTCCCGGCATTACTATGCAAGCGCACTACGGCGGCGAACAAAGTTGTGAATTTATATTTAGTCCAGAAGATATGATTGAATGTCCATTACCCGAAGGTTACAAACCGATATTAATGCCAAAATTGATTCATAAAAAAGAATGTTTTGTTGCTTATCCATACAGTGCATATTTGGTAGGTGACGATGCTCAAGAATTTATTTATACACCACGTAGGATATCACCCACCGGTCTTCTACGTGATTTTATCAATGAACAGCATATTGAAACTAAGTTACCGATCAGTGATAATCAACTTTTATTGAATGAAGATGATGGTGGTGGTTTTCCGTTTTCCATTGATAATTCAACTTCATCATTAACGATTAGTTTTGATTTTCGAATTTTAAATACGCATAGACATGCTTCAAATGACAATCTTGAGATTCCACTATTTAAATTACAAGAAACTAAAGAATATTCAGTACAAATACCATTCAATAAAAAGGATGAATCAATACGAACTGTAATTTTAATTGATACCAAAGAACGGCAAATCAAAATCTTTATCAATAACAATTGTCAAATCACCGATGATGCATTCGATAATGCAACACTGACCAAATTCAATTTTCATTTTCTGCCTAATATGAATGCTGGGATAAAAAATTTCGCTGTTTGGAAATATGCACTTTCAAAAGATCATGTTCGGCGCCTTTTTACTAACGGTGTTTTTTATGTAGCCATGGATTACGCACAACTGAACACCTATCGTTTACAAGCGAACAGATTTACATTCATGAAAAATCAACAAAAATTTCAAAATAAATTTCTAGTCCCCATGAACGAGCCGTTTGATGAGACATTATGGGCACAAAAACAAATACAAGCTGACAACGATGAATCGAAATATTTTAAATCAATAGCTGGAACGAACGAATCAGTTGTGCAATTATACGGACATAAAAGTTATCTCGTTGCAAAAAAATCAGCTAGTACATGGAAAAATTATACACTCGTTCTTGACATTTCCATACCCGATTTTCCCAGTAGAAGAGAACAATTAACACTAGTTTTATTGAATCCTACAACAGGAATATTTGTCTCATCCGAAGGTAAACTTTTTGTTTCAACGGCAGATAGCAGTAACGAAAGTGATGAAACGCTAAACTTGAATGAATGGATGCGTTTAGTCATTAGTGTAGATGATAAATTTATCAATGCATATGTCGATGGATTATTACTATGTATGATCGAATTCAATGATGGTTCATTGTCTATGAGTACAAATCAATTTCATCTCTTTAGAGAAGTTAGTTTACGGCGCAATAAAACATTTGAAGATACGCTTCGTATTGAATGTAAATCAATTACATATTTTAGTCGACCAATAGTATCTCATGAGATGGATGAAATATTGGAATCATCAAACTATTCTTTAGAATCATTAGTTGCGCCTTCCTATTCAGAAATCTCAACAAGTCTAATTGGTATAGGATATGAATCCGCGTGGATAAAATCCGTTATGAACGAATATAAAACAAGTAATATTCAATTAATTGATACCATCATTCGTGAAAATAAAAACGAATTGGTAAAGAAAGATGAGCAAAAGCGAAAAAAGCGCATTTTAAATATTCTATCAACATTAGGTTCTTCGATAGATCGCGAAAAATTGGAATATTTAATCGATAATTCATTAGCTGATACGGACGATCAGACGGCAGCTATTGGTGAACTTGTGCTAACTAATTGGAATGATTTACAAACATCCACATCTTGCATTGTTGAAAAAGAAATTGACGGAGGTGATATAAGTACAGATCAAACAGAAAATAAATGGTTTCGACGCACAATCAATAGATTTGGTTCAAATTATGGTTTTACTGAATGGATTCAAGATAAATCCAGCAAGACGGAGAGCATGGATGATACGTATCAACTATTCGATTACAGTAAATCGGAACATGAACAAACAATAGCAGCAACTGGACTTTGTGATCAACGAGCGAAAATTAAAAAATCTATTCAATATTCACATAAGAATATTTCCTACGAAGAATATTCTAATTCTCGTATTGCTTGCGAAAACGGACTCATATCGATTTATGCACGAGAAATAATTTTGAATATATTAAAATTTGGATCAATGAGTAGATCACCACATGGATTCCCGCTGGAGAAATTGGGTGATTACCCATTTATTGTAAAGTTATTACGATCGATAGACAATCATTATACATATGCCAGTATACGTTTCGATGATAGCGTGTATATAGTCAGTTCTTTAGTAAAATCTATTCTCAAAAATGAAATGAAACAATTAATTGGAAATACTAATGAAGCTCTATCAAGCAAAGTTCCCTTATTTTATTATTTGCAAAAGGATATGATCGTACGATCGATTCTCTATTTATTGAAACTTTCGTCATCGATGGACGAGTCAGATAACATATCGGCAATGATCTACGAGCGAACAAAAAGCGAAGAACCAAATTTGAATTTTACTCTGAAAATGTTAAACCTATTTGTAGAATTAGTAACCGATAAATTAACGATCAAACATGAACAAATGGATGCGATTATGTCGATTGTCTTTCCTGAATCATTGATAAGCGCAATGTTCAATTTATTCCTACTGTTGCCAAAGCATCAATCGAAAAGTTTTATTCTCCAACTATTTGTTACGTAAGTAGAACATTCAATAGAACAATAATTACTTTCTCCCACCAATTGCGTTTACTCGTATTTCATGACTAGAAAAAATTCGAAATGATTTTTTTAGAATAGACAGACTTTCATGGATGTCGATATACAATTTGTAATATTTTCTAGTTTAATGCAAGCCAATGAAAATTTCGGTTTAAACAAACGAATACAAGATTTTATAAAGCAATTATTAATTGTACTACTATCCGATAAATCATCTATGGACAATCGAACGATGAAAACATTACGAAGTACTATTATGGATTTCGTGTTTCTAGATTTGACGAAAAAAAAACGTCAACTTGGCATAACAAATGATTTACAACAGCAATTTGAATCCAAATTATCTGAATTCCCACAAAACTTTCAAGACCTATGGATGGTAATCGATATTATGGATGCACTAATGGATGAAACCAAGAAAACGCCCTACCCTGAATTATTGTTGATACAATCGTTCGATATTTTAGATGATGATCTTAAGTTTTGTCCAGATGATATCGTAAATTTAAACTCGTATTTTGATGATACATCCGATCTACAATTGATTAGTCTAATGAACAACGATGCACTCATCGAACATTCTTTCAGTGAATTTCTGCATAGTCTAGCAATTGCGTATATGCCAAATTCAGTATATTCGGAACTCTATCCAGCCTTATCTCACATTTCACCATATTACGTACAGAATCGTGCGAAACTCTTTTATCTACTAGAGATTTTTGTCGAAAAAATTTTACCGTTACTCGATTTAAGTTTAGCTCCGAAAAAAAGTATTGTTACAGATAAAATTCGATTGGCGAAAAATTATTTATCCAATAGAAAAAGAATGGCTTGGCTTGAATACTCGTTATTGAAAACAAAAACCAATCACTATAATAGTTTCCCTACAGTTCAGTTTGATTTTGTACTAGCCAGTTCTATTGATGACGATGGTCGGCATAGTATGTTCCATCAGGGTTATGAACAACTACATACAAATGCTCATCTGCTATTTCGAAGTAAAAATGAACGACTGTGGCGCGCACAATACGTTGGCATGCATAGTAACGATCAAGGTGGACCCTATCGTGACTCCATCACTAGTATGTGCGCAGATATATGTAGTACACGATTGCCATTATTTATTTTATGTCCAAATGGTCGAACCGGTAGTGGTTTGAATGGTGATCGATGGATTCCAAATGTATTTCCACCGAATCAATCGATTCCAGCGGCAATCAAAAAACAATATCGATTTATTGGACAATTGATGGGTATGGCAATACGACGAAAACATTATCTAGATTTGAAATTCCCGCATTTATTATGGAAACAATTAGTGGATGAGCCCATCACTGTGAATGATATTGAAGCCATTGATATACAAAGTTTTGCCATTATTAAAGAAATGGAAAAAAATATAGAGAAAAATCAATTCATCGATGTTGGCAGTGATACGAATTATTTATTTAGCAGTGTTATGAGTGAATTTCGCTTTGATATTGTTGGCTCATCTGGACACACATATGAACTGATTCCTGGCGGTAAAGATATCTCAATAACAGCAGATAATTTCAAAGAATATTGTATGCGCTATCGTGATTATCGTCTGACTGAATTTCGTCGACAAATTGAATATATTCGTCAAGGATTGTGCAGTGTTGTACCCAATGATTTTATGACTTTACTTACGAGTAGTGAATTGGAAGAAGTTGTCTGTGGAAAAGGTCAAATTGACATTGAACTATTGAAACGGAATACTAAATGTAATTATTCCAATTCAGAAGCGCAATATGTTCAACGATTCTGGAAAGTTTTAAGTGAAATGTTCAATGAAGAACAGAAGAAATTATTCTTGAAATTCGTTTGGGGACGAAATACATTGCCAAGCCGAGATGAATATTTTACAGAAAACTTTTCGATCAACTTATTGATGAGAGATGAATGTGAGGCCGATAAAATGCTTCCACGTAAGTTACTTGTGAACATGTGAATATCAATCTGTTTTGGAGTATAATCTAGTTGAATATCATTAAGATGGATTAGATGAATAAATATTGCTCTCATTTTAGGATCACATACATGTTCATTTGTTCTTCACTTACCATCATATTCAACAGTTGAAGTCATGTACGAACGGTTGAATTATGCGATTACTCATTGTTCAAGTATTGACACTGATGGTTAAAACTAAGTAAATAATCATGAGAAAAACACCGAAGTTCGCATGAATTTGTCGCAGACCAAATGTTAATATTTAATATAATCTTCTTTCGTAAATAAATATTCCAGATCACCTCATAATATAACTATTATAGAAGTCAATAACTCTATTTTCGGTATGGATTAAAATGAGCGAAAGAAATAATGTCGAAGGAAAAAATAGCGAAACATAAAATCCCAGGTGCATGAATCCAACAACGGATATTATCGAATCCTATGGGATCCGACTCCTCGACAGAAACCGATAGGATTCCTGGGCACGGACCTATTGTCGGTCCCGACGGAAAAAATAATTTTCTTATTCACGATCAAATAAGCATTTTGAGCCATCAGAGCGCAAGGATGATTCGATAGAGTTGGATTCCGTTAAAATTCAACATCGGATCTGATTGGATCCAATACCAAGGATCCGACTGTAGATCCGTGTCCAGGAATCCTATAAGATTTCGTCGGTTTTATTGAAATACATATGATATTCGGTATATTCACTGTCTGGCCCTTGTCGGAATGATTCTCCTGGGATGCCCGAAAAAATTATTTTAATATTTTTAGACTGCTAAGATGAAGATTTTTTATTTTCCGATAAAATTTTTAGTACACCAAAAAAGGAAATGAATGAAGTATAATTAGCTATAAAATTAATAAAAAGAAAATATTTCTTTATGTAAAAGTTTATTTCTTTCGTTTGACGATGATAAGTGAGAAGCCATCTAATAATTGATGAGCATCGATTTCAAAAAAGCTTTCAGCATATTCGTATATGTATATGCATGTTGTATCCATTTCTTTTGCAAATCCAGTATTTGTTTTATAATGTTTCACTTTTTACTCGATATACAAAACCGTTTAAAACTATCAGAGAATTTCCGTTATTAGCGATGGTAAAAGACACACTGCTACTATTAGATGACTTCGAAAATTATACTAGATTAGCAACAAGTGACATTTAAAAAAATAAAATAAAATATGGCGTATCTTTATTTTATCAAAATATATATTTTTTTCTTTCTCCGTGCTTATTCCTTTAGCTAGATTCTACGATAATACTATTGACGAAAAGCGCCACGGATAAAAGTAATTTCATTTGTATGCATCGAGTGCAACTGCTAAGTAGATTTAGCGAGGCATGGTACTTGTGCTTTACTCATACAGAAAGCTTCTACTTTGTACTACTTGTTGAAATATAAAAAGAATTGTGTTCTGCTTGCTGGAAGTCTATTACTCTTGCTACGATATTTCCCCCTTGCGCTTGACGATGAAATGAAGAGAAAAAAGCGTTCGAACTTTTGACGATGTTATACGAGTAAACCGATGATTTCGTTTGCTCTAAAGTTTGTAAATATTGCTGAAAACAAGATTAGGTTTCATAGAATAACGGTTTTGGATGTGGATATTGTGCGATGATATAGCTATACTCAAATTCAATCCAGTATAAGAGCAAAGTGACTGCCGAAAAACGTAAGTAAAAGTACCGATATCAATTTTGAAAGCAGAAGTTAAATGATTTCGGTAGCTGTCTTTCTACTTGTCCTATCTTTACCATCCACGAACACAGTTTATGTTACTAAGAACGGAAAACTGTTTTTTTCTGAATATGCAATGCAGAAAATATTTGAATAAGATACATTGCCTTTTCATTTCAATCTATCTTACGGATGTGAGGGTGACGATGAAGTAACCACTACGTAGAGATTTCGATGAACGGTGGCAGTTAAATCTCCTCTTTGATTACATTTACAACCATATTCTAATCTGCATAGAGGGAATATTAAATTTTTCCTAATTGTAAATATTTGAAAATAGCACATTCGTTAGTAGTGTTACTCATGAAACTGTCAGTGACTTTATGATGAAGTTTGAAACAGCAAGCATCAACGATCAAATAGCGAAAGGTTTTTCGCATTTATAGAGAATAATTCAACCGTGGGCTCGATAAAATGACAAAAATTATGCTTTTTCACGATTTTTATAGAATGATTTCGGTCATAGTAGAACAGTATAACTTTTATTTTAATGTTGCATGTACCATTATCGATTTCATTGTAATCATTAAGTGTATAAATAAAGAACGATATTAATAGTATTAAAATTTTCTGGACAAAACTATTTGTTGTGAAGTTCTTGTTTATTTGATGTCTTAAATATTTCAAAATATTGTGGTACGTCCTACTTATGACAATATATTAACTTAAATCTAAATATTTAACGCATTGATTATTTATTCGATGTATTAAAATCATGATTTGATGAATGGTTTAATAGCAAATAATGATTATTTATATACTTGCATAATTCTGATAGGTAAAACTTGAATGACTGAAAATCTCGAAAATCTTTCAAAACAATTACAGTTGAAAGAAAACGTTTGTGAACACGAAAAGTTCGTTTCTATATGTTCGAGTGATGCAACGAAGTATAATAAAGATCTTGAAAACAAAAACACCTTCGATTAATCGTCAAAGAACGATGCTACGAATCAACACGGATAACAAAATGATTCATATGCAAGCGAAAATTCGATTGTATGCGTTAATATAATTTTCTATCTGATCCGTGAATATTCTTTACGACAATAAATAATATGTGCTAATATTAAACATATATATGCATAACTAATAGCATAGTAGTCAACATCATCTTCGAACGAGAAGCACATTAAGTGTCAGTACAAGGATTAAAACAATCCTCATAAAGTTCGACGCTGTACATACAGATATCTTAAATACAAATAATAAGATATATCTAGGTACATTCGCTTCAATATGTTGTTAAAATCATCGATTTATAATGATCGTCATGCGCCCTAGGAAGCAGATGAAATTCGAGACCAATGCATATAACATGCTATTGATTCTCTCTCTTTCATAGTTGCATGCACTGAAAGCATATTGCGATATGTTGCTGGTGTTTTTTTCTCTTTTTTTTATATATCAAACCATTTTTCGCCTCTCAATAGTAATAAAAAGTGACATATACAGCCAGCCGATGACAAGATGTTTGAAATTATCGATTTAGTTTCTATTTAGGACGTATCAGAGAGCGATAGAGAATAGAAACAAAATCTTGCTCAAACAAACATTAACTAGTTTCGCTTAGTAAAGCATTTTAAAGAGAAAAAGAAAGACATCGAATCAAAACATTTCTCATGCTGCTGTCAATCAGCTCGAGGTACTATTTATGTTGTAGGCTTCTGTATTAGACGATTACTCGATAAGTTACACTGTTTTTGTGCTGTGGTGAAAAAGCGAGGAGCGAGAAAGAAAAAAATCGATCTGAATCAAAGTTTTTCATAGTTTAATTTTTCGTTTTACTCAGATGAGAAAGACAAACAATAACAAAAGAAAAAAAAATGAGTAGAAACCTTGTGCTTGTAAATTCTTTTGTACAACGCTTGTCGTCGATTAAAAGAAGTAGCATCGAGCGTCGACATAAATTCTTAACAACTATAGAACTTCATCTTGTTCCATTCTTCAGAGTTTAAGTGTTGTTGATTTGTGCTCATTCACGCATTTTCGATATTGGCCTACAATCTGTCAGTAGTAAGTTTCATGTTTCTATTCTTTTTATACGAATTCTTTCAATGGATCCTATGTTTATTGTTTTATATTCTAGTGGCCTGCATTCATTTACAATCGCAAACAACGCCTGAAAAGCATCTTCCCAATCCGTGGCACAATCGAGGTTTCTGTGAGCCGGATCAATATCAAGCAGCACTCCAACGTTGTCAAAGCGGCTATGAATCATGTGATTTATTCATTAAAATATTTGAAGAACGTGTAGCTATCGAACGCGATTATATCTCAGCCATTCACAACTGGTCTCAATCATGTCAAAAACAAATACAAGAATCAAAAGAATTCGGAACCAATAAAATCGCATGGCTAGCTACACTTCAAACTGGTGAACAGGCTGTACGCACTCATACAGACATAGCTGAGCGTATTCAACATGATGCTATTGATCAAATGGTTGCATTCAAGAAACATAATTATGCAAAATCGATCATTCACGTAAAAAAGATTAAAGAATTCGAGAAAGAATTCGAAAGTATTCAAAAGCCATGGTTAAAATTGTTGTCTAAGGTCAAAGATGCCCAAGAGTCCTATCACGAAAAAAAAAGAAAGCTAGATCGAGCCGAAAAGGCGAAAAAAATTATCGAATCGAATACGGGTGCAGCCGAAGAAGACAAGAAGGAGGCTCAACTGAGTGTTGACGTCCATACTAGAGAAGCGGCTGCAATTCGAAGTAAATACGAACAATTAGTCGATGAAATGAAACATTTACGACCGAACTATGAGAATAGTATGAAGGGTGTATTAGATCGTACGCATGCATTCGAAAGAGAACGTCTGAACAAATTCAAAGAATTATTTAACGCGTTTTACAATGCTATCAATATTCAAAATGATCGTCACTTGGTTGAAATGTCTACTGCTTTTCAAAGCGCCTTTGCATCACACGATATTGAAGCAGATATTCAATGGTGGAACAAACACTATGGAAGTGATACGAACACATCATGGCCAGAATTCGAGGAGCTAGTCAATTAGACTATATAAATACGTCGAATTTTGATTCTTTTTTTGTATTTTTTATTTAAAAACTTGAATAAACTCCTTGCAGGGTCTGGTTCTACCAAAAACGTGATATTGTTTCTATCTGCCATCTTTGACACGTTTACATGAGTATTGATTTGCTTGTCATATTTTGTATTCAGCTCAGTTTCTAAAAGAAATGATGATTATTCATTCGATATTTGTTTCACATTACAAAGTAGTTGCTATCCCAATTTAGGCACAGATGTCATAATACCGTTACACTGGGTATCGTGATTTCGAAATCATAATACCCATCGAATTCTTTTTGGGGTATTACCCCTAGGGTATCCACTTTTACATAACTATATGTTTTAAATTGAGGAATTCGGAGCAGCTGCATAATTCCACATCGAATATAAACGAGATTTTCGAAGAATCCATTGATGACCATGGGCCTACTACAAGCATACCTAATGTGATGGGTCTCGCAGAACTCAAGTCGTACTGTCAGCAACGTCAGACAAGATTCTCGGAAGTCGAGGAATAATCTTAGCAATCTGATCCATGGTTTCAGTAATTTCGCGTATTCTTTCAGAAGCCTCAGACATTCGTGTAGTAACGTCCGGTTTCCTTCTAGCAGTGGCAGGCTTCCGTCTACGAATGTTACGCATTGTGAGAAATTCATGGTATGCTCCTAGGAATCATAATTTATGCTGTGCATTTCAGCCCCAGTAATATGCATGTCTAAATTCAAATTATATAAAATACAATTCAGATAAAATTATATCATTTCCTTTTTCCTGTAGTGATATCTGTACCTTAAGCTTTTCCGAAGTGTTATTAGTCAGTACATCCATCTATTATATTCAAATTCGAATTGAGCATCTTATGCGAATTTGAGTTGTTTTGGTGTATTTCTTCTAGGATATCGAAGTTGTTACACTTTAGGGTAATATCTCAAAACAATTCAAAGCCCTCAACTTAAAATATATAGTTATATAAAAGTGGATAACCTGGGGGTGTAATAGACCGAATGTTTATAAAGTATGTTTAGCTGGAGAAAAAGTCGTTACCGGGTGTAACGGGATTATGACATCGTTCAATTAAGGTGCCTACGCATCAAGTGTGAATGAAACGCAGTAATGTGTAAGTTTCTATAACTCTCATACATTGAATCATAAGTACCAAGCCAGATATATCTCTCAGTAGTTAGATTCCTATCTTTTCATTGAGAACAAAAAGTAAGCTGCAGCTGCTTTGAAACACAAGGTAGCTCGTCGGCTGACTATTTCTCATGATTCCATATTAGATTTAAAGAGGAACTAATAGATATGAAAGCTTACACTAATATGATCAAGCTTTGGGGTGTTTTATTACTTTTCATATCAAGAGTCACTGCCGGAAAATTTCCACCCCTCGACTTACATATAGGTACGGGTGGTGAATTTTTAGGTGCAGCAAATCTACCACTGGGCGCACAGACTCTCTATGGTACAGTTCGTCTCGGTCCCGGTACGAGTAATTCAGAAGACACCCCAGCAGTGATCAATCGTTACGCCGGCTATCATTATTATGATAATTACATAAATATGTTTTCACATACACATGTCCTTGGCGCTGGTATTGTAGGTTATGGTAATGTTGGTATCTTTCCAGTTCAAGTCAATAATGATAATGATTTACAACATGTCATAGCAAATAAACATGGCTATTGCAGTACATTTGAACATAAGAGCGAGATAGTCGAACCCGGTTATTATCAAGTCTATCTTGACACACATAAAACCAAGGTCGAGCTAACAGCAACAGAACAAGTCGGTATTCATCGATATTCATTTGATGATTTTAATGAAAAACATCGTGTCGTATTGATTGACAGTAGTTATGCACTACCACCCTATGGTTGTCAACAGAGTCATGTCAATATTAATTCAACAAGAAATGACATTACTGGATCCATTTTCTTTAAAGGATTTCTTTCCAGATCGTTTGGTGGAGTGACCACATATTTTGTAATTATATTTACGAATTGGACAGATTTCGGTGTTTGGACAGAAGGTCGTCTATTACAGGGTGAAACAACAGCTGATGGATGTTCATCAGGTGCCTATGTTAAACTACCTGCCAATCAACAACAAGTCACAATTTATGTTGGTATTAGTTTTGTATCAATTGAACAAGCACGTGACAACTTAGAGATACAGACAAAACTAGAATCATTTGATTCAATTCGTGATTGGATATAACAGAAATGGCTCGATGAAATGTCCCGATTCGAAGTATGTTTTAATGATTATAATAAAATAAAGTTTTCGAATTAGAAGAAATACATTGCCGATCAACAATGGCTAACGTAGTAGTATATAAAATAGTATTTTCTTTTTCACTAGGTACAGGCTGATTGGAATATTGAATCTGAAATTAAATTTAATGCAGCACTTGCTCATTCAATGTCAAGTCCGACCATTTGGGACGAATCAAATGGTGTTTATCTAGGATGATTTGACGGTAAAATTCATACAAAACCCGATTATATGGATCATATCTTCACAGATTTATCTATATGGGATATCTTCCGAACTCAAGTACCTTTTCTTATATTACACGATGCAAAACGTGCCAATGATATTGCCCATTCTATTATGCTTATAGTTGAACAAGGTGGTTATTTACCTAAATGGCCTCTTGCTAATGGACATACGAATTGTATGATTGGTTCTCATGCTGATATTATACTGAGTGATTTAATTATGAAACGTGAACATGATTCTCATCTTAATATGACTCAAGTGCTCGAAGCATTACGAATCGTAGCTAATACCGAGCAAATACATGATAGTCGATTTGATCCACCTACATACATCAAATATGGATATGTACCTTTTGATATGGATGAATATTCGGCATCACTTACGTTGAGTTACGCTTACGGTGACTGGGCTACCGGTAATGTTATGTATGCTGCGGGTCTCATAGACGAAGTACAAGAATATTATAGTCGATCTCAATGGTTTGAACATATATTTGATAATAATACAAAATTCTTCTGCCCAAGAAACAGTACTGGTGACATTCTTTGCCCAGCAACCGAAATTGAACATTTGATTCCTTTCGATTATCGTTATACAGAAGGTGATGCATGGCACTATCGTTTCTTTGTACCACATAATACATCACGTTTGGTCGATCTATTTGGTGGTGCAAAATATTTTACTGAAGAACTTGATACATTTTTTGTTCGTAGTCGAGACTGGCCGACAATAACAATACCCAATCCATATTATTGGGCAGGAAATGAACATAATTTATTTTCTGTTTGGCAATTTCACTATGCAAATCGATCGGATCTCACTCAGCTACATGCACGTTGGCTGCTCGATAATGTTTACACAGTGAAACGTGATGGGATACCGGGCAATGATGATTATGGTACAATGTCAACATGGTACATTTTTACTAGTTTAGGTTTCTATCCATTATCTGGCTCATCGACATATCTAATCGGTAGTCCTGCATTTGATCGTATTACAATTCGCCGCAATAACGGTCAATGCATACTTACAATAATCGTTCACGATAACGCACAGAAAAATACATATGTTGAACGTGTTCTACTCAATGGTGAAATCCTATCAACATATCCATTTATAGATCATATCAATCAGCTTCGATGTTCTACTGATTCATCAGCTGTACAAGTAGATTTTTTCATGTCATCTACACCAACATTCAATTATCATTGAACTCAGTTACAAGTAAACATGAACTTTTGATTGCACTTTTTTAAATTACAAAAAAATTCTTTCAAGAAAAATGATCATCGCGAGCACAATCAGTTTTTATATCAGCATGTTCACTTATTTTCTATCTTAGCATCGATAGCAATTAGTTCTATATAGATATTTGATGGCAATAAAATAAATTTGAGTAAGAAACCAGCAATAAGAGAAACGATGTCCTCTTTGAAAGCTTCGCGCATTTCTCAAACGATACAGATCAATATACTTGAGTGCACCAAGGTCAAAGAAATAATAATTTTCGAATTTAACTTGTTATTTGATACGGTGATGCTAAAAGTGTTCTTAAATTGAGCTAACAGTGAGAGAAAAACATATCATGACATAAAAATCTTTATTGTATTTCATTTCTGTAGGTTCAATCAAATAAAAGACGAAGTTCTAACGCCATCTGGAGTAGTGTCTCTTATAGTGTCTATACTGGCTGTAATAATGATCAATCACGGTTGGTGTCAAGTTTTGATGATGATGATGATGATTATTATTATTATTATTACTGCCTTAAGTTGCTATTCTATCATGTCTAAAAGGTCCCATGATAATGATAATGATGATGAAGATGACTACATGTCTGATAAAATCTTAGCCGCTGCTGCTCAAGCATCTGGTCCTCAATTATTAAATCCTCGCCGTCGTGTACCACCTCCACCGCAACCACCAACAATTCCTAAAGAAAAAACTCGCCATTTAATTGAAGTAGAACAACGTGAACAAGGCTTATCAACGGCAATCACAAGTGATAATAAAGGTTTTCAGTTATTGAAAAAAATGGGTTATAAGGAAGGTTCGAAATTAGGTGCAAACCAAGTAAATGGTTTAAGTGAACCAATAAAAATAAATATTCATCCGTCTCGATCGGGCCTTGGCGAAGTAAATGAAAAGAAAGAAAAAAGTCGTATGAAAGAAGAAATTAAAAACAAATTTAATCAACAAATTCAATCCACCTATCAAGATAATTTAAAGCAAAGATATTACTTTAAACGCGTTCGTATTGATATTGCGAAATGTCAATCTGTATGCGAAAGACTTGATAAAGAGAAATTAAGTCTCGAAGAAAATATTCTATGGAAAAATGCTAACAAAGAAAAGAAAGAAGATGACGACGACGACGAAGAAGAAAAAGAACAAGACGAAGATGATGATGTTGTATCTAAAATGGAAACTCAATTGAAAAAATTGACTAATTATTTAAGAGAAAAACATTTATATTGCGTTTGGTGTGGAGAAACATTTGAAACTTTAGACGAATTAGAAAGCACATGTCCAGGAAATGAACGAGATCTGCATTGAATTCTATTTTTTGTTTTCAAACAGTTAAGATGTGATCGGATAGATGGCAGTCAGCTTTTCATACTAAAACGTGTGATTAAATCTATTCTATGTATTTTGTTTTTGTTATATAATTAAATAAAATCAAGATTTATTCAATTCGTGCAATCATAGCATTCAACATAACCCAATTTCGTTCGCGATAGATACCGCTACACTGAGTTCCATACAAATATGGATAGAGAAGTAAAAAGAAAATTAGGTTTAACTCGAATGTAGTAATAAAATGTTACAGGCAAATCAGAAATCTAAATTAACTTCACCTACAAAAGAATAATAAACAATATATTCAATGAATAGATGAAATTGATCAACAGGAATAATTTTAATTTTTAAAGATATTGTCTAAAATCGTTGAATAAAACATTTGACAGAGTGCAGATAATACGATGCTACAATGTTTACGTAACATACGATTAAAATATGACATTTTTTTATGACTACAAGAAATAAATAATCGAATACAAATATATGTGAGATAGAACGCTAGCTGTTTCTCATACGTATTTCTCACTGATCATGTCTGACATCTAGATTATATTTGCCTGATTTATAGAAAAACATTCCATGGGTAGTAGTCATTGCTTATTCCGTTCTACGGTTCTGTTTTTCAAGGCTCGATAGAAATCACACGGTGATTATTCCCTGAAATGACGACTGTTAATATAGAATTATAACCTATTACATTTTGTCTGTGTTATTTGTAGATTATTATTGTTAAAACTGCAAAATAAAATGTACATGGTTTTCAGTAATTTTCTTTTTATCAATAGCTCCATGAAAGCAATAAAATTTATTTTGTTTTAACCGGTTATATTCAAATCTCTATTGGAAAAAGCAAATGATTTGTCGAGTTATCTACGACGTTGAATTTCGTGTATTAGTAAAAGAAAAATTAAGTCCATCAGATAGTGTTCTTGTCACTGGCTCATGTGAACAACTCGGTGAATGGACACCGAATCGTTGTATACCACTGACTCGTATTGATCGAACAGAAGATGGCGAAATATGGTCAACAAATATTAAAGTCAATGGACCCCAAAGAACTTTTTATCGATATGTTATTGCACAAATTATTCGAACGGACGATGATATGAATCTAATTATTAAAAAATGTAAAAATCTATTCATTTTTTTTTGTTTAAATATACTTATTGAATAAGAATGCTCATTTCTAAATAGGGGAAACATTTAAAGAAGCAAGATATTTAATATTCAACGAGACCGAAAAAAATGATCTCACTAGTACTGAACAACCACAAGAGTGTTTCGATGTATTTGGTTGTTATAAAAATATAGTTCGAACTGATATTGGCTGGTTAACAGGTCAGTCGGAAATTCAATTACGTTTTCATTCGAATTCTCTACAAATTTGGCCCACCAAGTTACGTGATAAAACATTCTCATTAAAAGTTTCACCGATCGATTTAAAATATCAACAAGAAAATGAAGAAGTAACATCAGAATCAGCGAATCAAACCTACACACCAACATCCAAAGTATTTATTCAATCAGCTATTTTACGTTTATCCGGTTGTGAAACAAATATTCAAAGTGATTACGGTGCAGTACTCGGAAAAGATGATTATCTCATTGTTAAAATTCAAACCTTTGAACCTGAAAATGTTACTTATCATATTGATTTTTATCTTGTTGATGAATCAACACCATTAAGAAAACATATAGGATTTGCATATGTTCTACCGGTACATTCAAATCTTGAATTAGCCGATAGTAAACAACTCAATCGAACAGTACCCATTATTGGACTCAAACATAATCCGTTCGTACTGTTTTTATGTTACAGTTTCTAGAAGAATAACGATGTTTTTGTTTTAGAATAGGGCAAATAAAAATAGATGTTTTGTTAATTACACCATTACAAGGCATTGAACAAAAATTTCTTGTTTCGCCATCAAAATATTGGCGTGAAGGTCGAAGACCAGTCAACGTTGGTCATAGAGGTTTAGGTGAGAAAGCTCGTCGTAATAAAATGTAGAAATTCATAACAGGCACGATATGAATCCTTACTTGATTATAAAGGAAGAATTGAATTAAGTCAGAAAAAACAAGAATTAGTAGAATTTCAATTCTTTTTTTTCTCAAAAAGATTAAAACTAACTGAAACTTATATTTTAAATTGGATGTTTGGTTTCGATATCGAATCATTCTGTAAAATTTTAATTTCAGGTAAAACAAATACTGAACATATTCCATTAAAACATCATTCAAACGATATAACTCGTCTTCGTTCAAGTGATTTGCCACTCACTGCAATAAGTAGTTCTTCGCCTCTATCATCGATGCCACCAACAACACGACCAGTTCAAACAAAATTTGTCAGCGAAAATACGCTAGCTTCATTCACCGGTGCATTTCAACTTGGTTTTGACTTTGTTGAATTCGATGTACAACTGTCAAAAGATAAAATACCTGTTGTCTATCATGATTTTCAAGTTGCTATTACGCTTAAACGTAAATTTCATCAAGCAGAATTATTTGTTGTACCCGTTAAAGATTTAACATTGCCGCAATTACAATCCCTGAAAATTTATCATGCCAGTAAAACTGATGTTATTAAAATTGAAGACGATATAGATGAAGATGAACCAGTTGGGCAAGAGCAATTTAGTTCATTATTTCCGACACTACAAGAATTATTTGAACAGTTGGATCCTCATCTCGGTTTTAATGTTGAAATAAAATATGCTATGCAATATCGGCATGGTGGTTCTGAGCAAAATTATTTTTTTGAAAGAAATGAATATATTGATTGTATTCTTCGTTGCCTGATCACTTATGGTTAAGCGAAAAAAAAATCTTTCTTCTAATAATTTTTTCTTTTTAATTTGAATAGCTAATAAACGTGTTATTGTGTTGTCAACATTTGATCCTGATTGTGCATCGATACTTCGTCGAAAACAAACATTATTTCCTGTGCTTTTTTTAACACAAGGTGAAAAAAGTGATTCGCCACAATTTTTAGACGTACGAACATGGTCGATAAATATTGGTTTATGTTTTATTGTTGCTGAACATTTATCAGGTTTAGCTGCGCCAGCAATAGATATTATTGCAGATAAAGATTTTGTTAAACATGTTAAAGATAATGGAAAATTATTATTTATTTGGGGAGATGAAGCAAGTCAGTAGCTTTGTTTCCTTCCTGCAAATTTGAGGAGAAGAATTTATTTTAGATGATAAAGATGTATCGAAATGTTTGATTGACTTGAAGGTGGATGGTTTGATTTTTGATCATGCAGCAGAACTTAGAGATGAACAGTCAACAACAGAAAATCTTTTCATTGGTAAGACTTGAAATAATGACTATTTATGTATCTGCAGGAGATCAATGAGTATCTAGTACTAAATGACTTGAAGTAAGCGTTTAGTAAACATTCTCAGTAACACGACAATAAAAGGATTTTCGACGAATCAAATTGAGTAGAAGAATTAAAATGATTATTTGCGATATTTCGAAAGTTTATCTGACCTAAAATGATGTTTACACCGTCAGCAAAGAATTAATTCGTGCAATCGTAAAAAAACCTTCTTCCTCGGGATATTTTTATTGAAGTAAGCCGTGTGTTGATTTAAAACTTTCATAGAACTACTCGTTCAGTTTTAAGCAAAGAGATGCGCTGAATTGCAATGAAAGATTTTTTATTTTTATTTTTATTTTAGCTGAAGAACGCGAAGAATTAGAAGTTCTCAATAGTTTTCGTGAGAGACAACTTGAAATAAGACATCGCCAACTGTTACAAGAACTCGAAAGTTTACAAACAGCACGCGAAACAAGTAACTCATCAACTGCAGCTACAAATCCACCAGCCAGATCATTTGGAAATATTTACAGCATATCAGAACAATGCGCCATAGATTCTAATTTTAAAGATTTTATGTGACGAATTCGCATTTATTTTTCACTAGAAACTATTATTTTCTTATCTCATGATAAAAATCGAATACAATTTGACGATATAATTAATAAAATATTCATATCTTTATTTTTTTGTAGATTGTAATAATCATGATAGTTCATTTCATTAATGTTATACTGGGCTTTTTAACTCGACCATATATTGCTGTAGAAAAATATTTTCTTCTTACATTTCAATCATATTTACCAACAGATTTTGATGAAAAATCATGGTGTATTCTATTTGGTTTAATGAGCATAGTTGCAATAATTATTGCATACACACTTAGTCGGTATGTAACAATAAAAGATGCCGATGATGATCCTGTTTATCAACGAGCAAAATTATATTCGATTCAAAGAAAATCTCAGAAAATCAACTAAAATATGTCTAGCTGTGTATTTGGTTTTTGTGTCATTTCTTCTAGAACCCGTCTCATGGAATGAATAAAAAAGAAAGAAACCGATGTAATTTACATCATTCTCACAAGATTTTCCTCGCGCACTAATTATTGTTGATGTAATAAAAATAAATCTCATTTTCGAATGATGAAACCCGATATATATATTCAAATCTCTGCCTATTAAAATTCCTTATCTCGTGCTTAACGATTGTTATTCTCGAAGTCGCGGCATCTTCTCCATTAAGTTATATTCATGTAATTCATGAGATAGATCACTCGATTAAATATGAAAGAAGACATATGTACTAAACTGACAATTCTTTTCTGAAAAAAACCAAAGTTCCCTTAAATGAGTTAGTGTGGTTTTGTTCACTGTATCGAATTTTGTCTAGAAAATTTTCAGTGTAAAAATGAATCACAAAAATCATCAACATCAATAAGAAGGCCGCCATGTTCTTTTTGCTTCAAAATAAATGGAAAATTGACTCGATTATTTTAATATGAACTGCAAGAGCTTTTGATAGGCTTTCTGTATCTTTGCAGCGTTCTAACAGAGATGGAGAGAAATGAACGAACACTTGCTCCAGAATGACTAACAGATGGTAGCATATAGCTTTAGCATGACAGCCGGTAAAATTTATAGATTCAGTAATAATATTGATTTCACTGGGCGAGACATTTTTCTATTGAATATCATTAGTATAAATTAAACAAGATAAATTTTCTATAAAAAAATATACTCTTTTTATCTAGTGCATCTAAACTATAATAAATCAGATTGTCAAATATGTCGGACTGTTTTTAAAATTTTCAATGAAATGGTCGAAAAAATATGAGTTGTTATATGGAACGACGAAATCAATCAAGAAATAGAAAACGAAGCACGGCAAATCAATTGAGCAGTTCATGTCGACTGTATACTGATTGCCGTTGTTGTTGAACCTAGAAAAGCAACGAAATCAACTTCAATATAAAAATGAATGCCATACTTGTTTTCTCCATTTTGATTGTTCATGTGAAACTAAATGCAATACAATTGACGAGCGTCTATTAGGTCGTAGTTCGTTATCGGTTGGTTCACTAAATACACATTCTTGTGTTGGATTTTGTAGATTATTATCGGCATGTGCCTGTCCTTGGGCTTGTCTTCCATGTCGATGTGTAGTTGTCTTGGGCTTTGCACCTTGATGCATTAACGGCTCAAGACAGAGTAAAAATGCCATGTAAATAAATAATAACGATATAGCAACCATAATAATTATAACAACAACCTGATTAAATAACAAAACTGGAAAAGAAAAATTACAAATTTTCTATTTTTACTTGCATTGTTGTTGTATTTCGTACTTCATAATTACAAACGCATCTTAACAATAGAAGTCAATAAAATTTGGTGTATTTTATGGAGGCATTGATTTTACCTTGGACAAAAACGGTCTTGAAAATTTTGTGATGCTTTTACAGTATGAAATACAACACGATAACATGTACAATTATCTGGTGGAACAACATCGATATAAACGCGACGATTTGTTTCATTCACTGATGGATCTTGTAGAACAGTAAGAGATGGACAAACACATTTACAACGATAATCTTCAAATTCGTCAGCACTGAAAACGATGAATGGCGATGAAAGCATCATCAATAGGATCGGAATAATTAACATTACTCTGTTGTTTTTCTTACAGATAATATAGAATTTTTAATAAAATAAATCTAAAAAAGGCAATATTTCATGTGGCAATAGATGAATAAAATATCGAAATATTACTTATTTATAAGCTCTATGAACCATGTCGTTGTGCCTATGGGCTACTTGCATTAGATGAAAAGAAGACATAACTATTAACTTTCACGTACGAGATATGCAATTATTCACAAATTTTAATAAAATAAAATCCAGCTAATATCAATTTTCGTATTCTATTCAAATTTTATCGAATGAATATGTATGACTATCTTGAGAATCAAGACTGCTGGAGCGTCAACAAAAAAACAGCGTTGTATTATTCGTCTAGTCTACAACGAATCACAATTATTTCGCAAAACGGATTTGTACCTATAATGATGATTCGTGTTTTGTATGTAAGTCATCGATGTTCGACTGTTTCGATGACAATATCGAACTGTGATCTGAACTACTTACAAATTTTGGTTTTATCCCGTATGAATAACTTCTACGTCTTTGAAATTCAAGCATAATTTCGTAGCCTATGTAATGCTTAGAGAAAAATATAATCTCAAGTTCTGCTGTTTGCTTATCGCACAACAACAGTCGTCTTTTGATTGTTGTTAACAAAATAAAATTTCGAATCTAGATGTCACTTTTTCAAAGGAATAAATTACTTTGCATTGATTTCCAAATAAATTTTCTTTAGCTAGTGACTAGATTTCTATTAAATACAGGACATAATAAATATTAATGAAGAAGAATTAGAGCTTCATCAATGACGTCAACTGTTTTTATATAATTTCATTGAAACGAGCAGAATCCTATTCTTCATGAACAGAAAAATGGTTTCTCATCAGAGAATATGAATCGAGCATATAAAGTCGTCCACTGAAATAGATCCGTCTTTAGTCACATGTGCAAAATCTAACTGCTGTCAGATACATTTAAAAAACAAACCGAGAAAGAAACAGAAGAGACGGTATGTATAGAAAAGGTTGAAAACAAAATGTCGAATAGTAAAAAGGAAGAAAAAAAATGCCGAACGTCGAAAAGATCGAAACAAAAAATGTCAAATGATAGTTCGGTTGAAGAAAACATGACGAAAATTTTAAAATAAGATAGCTTGGCTTATTCAAATGTAAATGACTTTATTGGTGCTTTAAAAATAGAACTCGTTTAAAATCAGACCTATATGAGTGTGGGTGAATATGAGTGTGAGAGTGTGGGTATGGATGTGCGTATGAGTGAGGATGAGGGCGACTGTGCGGGTGAGAGTGAGGAACAGGTGAGCGTGAGGGTACGGGCGAGGATGTGGGTGCTCTTAACGGCAATGCCAACATCCGAACGCTCTAGATCGTCGTGTCATACACTAAAAAAAGACTAAGTTTCATACTGAACTTGAAGGTTCAGCAATGAATATGAAACCTAAAAAGGTTCTTCCCTCGACAGAGGAGAAGAATCTTTTTGAAGGTTTCGAAAAAATTCTAAAAAGTTTCGTATCAATCGACGGAACTTAAAATAGTTTCGCATGAAAGTACAAATTCTTGAGGTTTAGTGATAAGCCTTTTAAGGTTTTACACAGACCCTTAAAAGGTTCTGCCCGTGTGCCCGAGGGAAGAACCTCTTTTAGAGTGTACAATGAACAATCAGAAAAATATCAGAAAATAACTCCAGCTGCCAGCAGGATACAATTCAATGCTAAATTGTTTACTTAAATCATTCTCGACTTTTTCGACATTTTTATCTTTCGGTACCATTCGAAGAGACATATGAATCGTTTCGGTACTTGCTAAGTTTAGAAACGATTTTTTATAAATTGAACCACGATCAAAATAATTGTCGCATTCAAAGATTATTTTCTAACCTATGATTTCTTATACTGATTGACGTAAATAAATGGCATGCTTAAAAATTTTTCCCACATATGGAAGATATCACAAAATGTGGCATGTGTCTGCCAGTATAGAGATCCATTGAATGGTGAAGTTTTTCATGAAATCGAATGATACATCTATTAATAGATAAAACGTCCTGATTTACTTAGCAGATTACTGAGAAATATACAATATACAAAGAGATGCATTTGTTACAAACGGTTTACAGGATTTACTGTCCATTGATTGAATAACTTTTTTTTCAATTAGCGTTTTTCTCGTTTGAGGATTTACTGTCCGTTGACTGCCTCGAAGAATAGAAATGAACAGAAAAGCTATTCAGCGCAGTCCCTTTGGGGCTAAAATGTGAAGCTCACGTATGTCCTTGAAGCCTCGATAAACCAATAAAAATGTGTAAAATGAAAAATTTCTCAGACTACTGATTTTTCAAAATAATTGATCATCACAGCAAAATCTCTCTGATTTATTTTTACATTTTCAAAAGATTATTGTATTTTGGTTGGCACCCTTTTTTTCTTTTGCATTGTTCCTATTTTTTCGTTTCTACTCGTTTTTTAAATTTTTATTCTAATTAATAATTAGTTTTTAAAGTCTGCAATGGTGGGCATGTCTGTAAGGGGAGGAGGAGGGGAAGCCGTAAAATTCTGCCCCTTAAACTTACACTCACTATTTTCTTCAAAAATATACGTGAGTTCCACAAAGTATCTATCGCAATCAACTATGCATATTTAGAAGGAAAAAAAAGAATTCAAACAAAAATATGAAGCCTCATTAAAATCCCAAGAAAAGATTAACTACTCAATGATATTTTGTTTTCTACATAATGAATAATTGGTTGTTTATTAGATACGCATAAGGAAAAATGGCATCCAATAACTCTTGGAAACGTCCATCATCATCTGTCAGGCGTCTCTGTCTTTATCTCAATGATAAAAAAATAAAAATAGGATACGGATATAGTTTCTCCCATGTTGATATAAAAAGACAGCAAAAGAAAATAACTCTTCCTAAAAGACAGATCGTATTAATATAAATAAGTCTATTATGAAGCTGTCATTCATCTTTGCTGGTTTGACTCTTATTTGTATAGTGCACTCAGCAAAATTGGTAAATCGAATTCGATTTGAATTTTCATTTGAATAGAATTTTATTTACTTTTTTGTACCTCGAATAATAGTTATCATCGACACGTCGTTCATTGATTCTACCGGATTATTCTGACGAAGACGGCAGCGAGGAAAATACTGAAACTAAATCAACAAAGTCAGTTTCGACAACTCCAACAAGAAATCGTTTTGTATATTCAACTCGACCATCATGGATGGTAAATAGTTCGAAAATCAAACAACTATTTCAAAATAATGTTTATTCTCTACGTAGATGCAACGTACATCATCAATGACAACAACAACAAATAGTGATGATGAAGTTGTTGATCTAAATGATAGTGAAAATTATTTAACAAATATTCGTAAATTCTTCAAGAAAACACTCGAAGATCTGAGAAAACTATTGAAAAATATTACTGGATATGATATTGTTCAAGCAATACAAAAATGGTTCAAGAAAAAATCGAATGATTAAAAACAATATTTAGTTGAGAGTATTTGCTTATTTAATAATACAAGAGTGTCTAGTATTGATATCATTTATTTCTAAAATAATAAAAAGAAACTGATCTATATTATCCTTATATCAGATAGATAATGCGTAACGATGATTTCTGTCAACAAATGCATATACTATAGCGTTATGCATAGTTTATGTTCTATTCGTTTAATCACTTAGTTTATAATGTAAATATTGAGATTATCAAATTTGAGACTATGTTCATAGGCGTGGTACTCTATCGAAAAAGTGCAGTGCATCATTTTAAAATGGTTTGTTATATACCTTGAAAACTAAGTGTAATGAATTTTATCGTAAATCTAGAGGACACCGTTTATTTGTACATATCAGCGTTGACTAAACTGACGCAACTCTCACTTTCTCTTTTGGTAAAGCATGAAGGTTCGATTTGGCCATCGGAGTGATACAGAAATAGGAGGAATAGAAAATATGATTGGGCAATATGAATAAAAGGATGTGCGCTCTTTTTCTTTTATCGTATGTCCGCTTGTTTCATCAATTGAACTCGTAGAATAGCTTTGGTCATGGGTCAATGCTTTTCTTGCGTGATTTTTATATTGCAATTGCCTGCGAAAAGATGGTTATATATGCAAGAGAGTGTCATTGTGAGCCATTAGCATTGCTGCTTTTAACTTATGTATATAGACATATTAACAAAAAAGAAATACTGAGTGGAATTTCCATATTGCAACATTAATTAAATAGTATTCATCAAATTATGGCTACGTAAGTTGAAAATTATTTTCATATTAAATTCTTGTAATTTTTCGGATGACTTTCATCTGGACGATATACTGTTCTACGTCAAAAGAATCTTTATTTGCTACAAAAAAACATTTGTACAATAATTTTTAAAATTAGCATGTAGAATCAGTAGTCGAGCACGAAAATCATAGTAGCGAATGTTATAGCAGAAGTTTTGGTAACTTCGCTCGATCACAGGCTTGTAGCAATCGAAAAAATATACGTCGGAAGTGTTTGATTTGCGTCCATGTCTTTCATTAAATCAAAAGGAAACATTTTGCGATTTGTGACCAGATAGTTCATTAATATAATTCATCGTCAATAGAAGAAATTCTAATTTTTTATGTAGTAATAATTATTTTACAACCATTTTCTAAACAAAATGAAATGATGGTTAAATAAGCAGTTGCAAATTAATTTATTAACTTGCCACATATAATTCGAGATGCATTACAAAAATATTTCTATGCATCAGTGAATAGAGTGACCTGCATATTTTGATGATTAGGTTTTCGTACTTTCTCAAATCATTAATTGGTTTTCATCATACGATAATAATACACATTTTTATAATTGAGGCCGCAATGAATACGAAAAATTACCTGCTTGATGATATGTACGATTTTGAATCCGAGTCAGTTACTCCATGCTTATTCGCTTACTTTTGTTCATGTTTTATTTACTTGAAATATTATTCATAGATTCTATATGATTATTGTTTTTTTTATTGTTATCTGATCACCTCAGGTTTCGCTACAGTGAGTTTCTATTAATATGTACTCATTTTTTTCATGTGTTTCTGAATACGAAAACCACAAACAATATCGTCGATCGTATTTTTTTCTGTTTTTCTCGTGTATAATAGATGTTTTTGTTTTTTGCTCTAGCTCTCAACCTTTCAGTAGACATATATCTAACGAAGAAAACACAACAACAGCATCACCAAATCGCCAAAAAGTTAATCAAATATTGAACGAATTCGGTCTTGATCCAGCTGATTATATTTTCGATTCATCGTTAGAATTGACATCTGATTTTTCTTCGGCTTTACCCAAAGACCTAACACAGTCACAGCAATTGAATATTCAACTAAGATCATCAGCGCGACAACATAAATACGTGCAACGACCACCACCTCCACCACCAATAGTTAATCGTCAAAAATCTCTATCACGATCATCAAGCGGAATGAGTCAAACAGATTTTCCCGCACATCGAGCACCACCACCACCACCACCACCGCCAGCTCCTACTTCTTCTTCATTTCCTCAACGAGATTCAGATAAATACAAATCCAATATGACAACTCAAGATTATTTACAACGAATCGACACAGCTGATAATCCGCCTGTGAAAGTAGTGAAACCAAATACACAAGACCTAATCTATAAAAAAGAGATTCGCATTCGCTATTTACAACCTCCGACACCTCCACCACCAGCACCCATTATCATTCGTGAAAAACATTTACCATCAGCTCCACCGCAATCGGTACGAAGCAAAAATGTTTCTTCTTATAAATGTGCTTGTATTGTTTTTGTTCTCGTTTTTAGCCACTTCTTATTCGTGAAAGAAAACCAGAGCCAGCCACACCACCACCATTGACCATTCGTGAACGACCACCAAGTCCACCACCTTTATTAGAGTAAATAATAAATGTACATTCTAGTTTCATTGATTTTGTTTTTCTTTTGATTTCATAAGACCTTGTATCATCGATAAAACTCTGCCACCACCACCGCCGCAACCTCGTCAAGTGATTATCGAGCGTTTACCAACTCCACCACCAAAACCGCGTACAGTCATCTTTGAAAAATGGTTACCCTACAAAAAAGTCAAACGCCCCATTCTATTAGAAAAGGCTCCACCTCAACCGCCTGTTCCGCCAACGCGAAACGTCATCATTGAATATGAGCCACTGAAAGCTTATACAGTTCGACGTGTCATTGAAGAAGGCTTATTTCGTGTTGATCCAACACAATATACAAATTATAGTGCACAAGCTGATGGAAATGTACGTATCGTCGATCGTATTGATGATTTACCACCACCAAGTGAAGCATTAATGCGCATATTGAAAGAATATAGCCAAAATGATGTAGCTGATTATAACACAGAATCATTATCAAATATGGAACAATTGATGCAAGTATCAAGTTTATCAAGTGCATCATCTCACAACAGAGAACGTGTTCTCTCATCAGGTCAAAATCGGTTGATCCCTAGTCCAGTCTCAGCACCACTTCCATTTAATCAAACGAGAAGTTCGAATAATTCATCACGACTTCATACACCTATTAATAGTTCAACATTAAATATTGAAGATGCGTATTAATAACAGCTGCCATCTTTTTCTTAAAACACATAAAGATGAATTTTTTTCAACATTTTTAATATTCAAGGATCAATTTTTGACTTTTCTTTTTAATAAACATATCGATATTGAGACAATATGCTAAAAATTATCTATACTTGCATAGAAACCAGTACGTGATGGAACTGTTTGTTTTCATGTAAATAGTTTGTAGAACACGATTCAACAAAAAAAAATATATATATATATAAATTACGTCATGTTGATTTTTCCGTTTTAATAAAAATTTTAGACACCGACGTCATTGTACAAGTGAAAATTTAACCAATATCGAAAGTGACTCATGTAAAAATCTATGAATAATTCATTTCAATAGAAATATAATATTGGCAAAATATACCGAAGCAAAATAATCAAGAGATAGATGCAAAGAGGAGAAACTTATTGGCAATGATGATATTAGCTGTTGAACTCACTGATACTACTATTCTCGTATTTCGAGAACGATGGAAAGTTGGGTTCGAGTTCCAATATTTGAAATCGTAGAAAAATAAAAATTACGCTAGCCATCCATTTTTATTGCAAAATAACATAAATGATGTCTTGTTTCTTTTTTTAAATAGACTAAAATTAATGAACCATTACTACTAAGAAAATAGCGGTTGAAATTTCTATTTATTATTTTTTAATCAATATCATTAAATTTAAAAAAAGAAGAAGAACAGCAAGGAAAAATCACTATGAAATAAAAATAAAACACATCAAATAATTGATTTAAACCTATGAAAAACGAAAATTAGAGGGCAAACAATGCGGAATCGAAGATTGAATCTGACTTGCATAAATTACCATAAAGAAAAGAAAAGAAAAACACAATTAAAAATCAACAGGTATTCAAATTTGTTTCTTATCATCCATTGATGTTAGACTTCGATTATTTGATTTACCGGACGTTGAGATATCGATATATAATGGTGATGTTTTAATCGAACGTACACATGTTTTACATACTGGCGCGAAATTAGTACTATAAAGACCGGGTAAACGAATTCCATGTTCAATACAACGTATACAAAAATTTTCACCGCATCGCCAACAGTTATACTAGAATTTACATATAAACAAGATTCAATTTTTTACATTCAATATTTGTTCCTTACTTTTCGCTGTGCAGAATCGAACGGTGACGAACAAGCACAATAAAGAGGTGCATGATAAGTACGCCAATCAACTGCAATTGAATTAAGTTCAAATGCAATACGTTCGATTGTTGGAATATCGTTGATTTCTGAACTTGATTGATGTGGAAGAATGAACGATGGCGAGAAAGGTTTAGTTTTCGGTGAATAATCACTACTAATACCACTTTCAACATCAGATGAATTAAGCAGTTGCAGATACTGATTGGATTTCGGTGGGTCAGATTCGGCTGTTGTTTGATTTAACTCGTTTTCACTTGAACCACTATCATGTTCAATAGATGATGTTGCGTTATGATTTTCTTGGAGTTCATTGATGTCTTCATTAGATGTTGGCGTTGTTACGCCATTTTCAAGTGAGAAACGAAGTTCTCGAATACGCTAAATGAAAAGAACATATTTTTCTTGTTGTAAATCAGTTATCGGAATGGTTCTAGAAAATACTGCGGGTGTCCGAAGGAAAAATATTTTTGAATCATAAAATTTCTCTATCTATGTTACTATTAAAAAAATAATATCAATCTATTATATTAATTAGATTTCATCCGACAGTCACAGTACACTTGTACATAGTTTAGGATGAGCGAGGGACGGGGAGGGTCCCCCGCTCAAATTTTTTTCCGTTATAGCTTTCTCCCTGGAAATTTCCTTTGCGACTTTGTAGACGATTTTAATTTATTAGTAGACTGAATAAAGCCTACCGAAGGCAATCATCTAGTTTCTCCTTTATACCAAGTTATTTTCTCTTTCAGTCCGAACTATTTTTTACATTGATCTATTTTCATTTATATGATATTGTTCAAAACTTTTTCATGCGTCCAGGAAGAGCAGAAGCTCGCAATATTAATATATACATTCAAAACGATTATGACGATAGCGATGATGAGCGATAGGCAAACCATGGAATAATTCTTCCAAGAACATTAACTTTGAAATTAGAAGCTGTGAATGTAAAAAGTTACGACTAGAAAAACAAATTTTTTCTCGTTAATCTTTTTTCACATATTTATTTACAAGAAAGCAGCAAAAAATATTTTCTTAATTGAATAAGAAGTCTTACAAACTCGAGCTAATAATATTTTTTTTTCTGAAAAAAATAATGCAAAACTGTTTCTCTCTAGTTTTGGGAGACTTTCTCTTTCAAATCTTCCGCCGCCCACCCCCGGCTAACCAAAAACAAACGAAAACTATGCACTTGTAAGACTGTATGAACCTGTCCGATAAAATCAAAACAGTTAGACTAATCAATTTCGCCAATTATACTTATATTCTCTTTTAGTAGGCAAGACAAAACCAATTACTTTTTCTAATAATCGTGCATGATCATTAAGAGCTATCGTATGATCAACAAGCTGTATTAATGTATTTGCAGTATTCTCTTTTGGTAAAAGTCCACTCTCGAATCGCTGATACATATTTAACCAAAATCTAAAGACGAATAAATATAGTTTATTCCGCAATTCGTTTTTTTCCTACTTTAATGTTTGAGGAAATATGGTTGGTAAAAGAACTTCACTTGCATACGATGATTGTGGGCGAAATAGAGGATTTCTAAAATCATTTACATTTTGTAAGACATAATTCCAATAGGAATATGTCCGGTCTTTAACACTAGAATAAAACACGTTTTAAAAAAATTGAAAAACAAAAATTCAACAAACCCTAAATCAAATCGATCTTTTTCACAATTTCCAATGAAATTCCCATATTGACATGAATGTGAATGGTCATGTAAGGACATGAGAAAACGCTCGTTGAATTCAAATGCTGTTGGATATAATTGTGTCAATTGCCAAACACCTTCAATAAACTGAAAAAAGAAAAGAACGCTTATGAATATTGTTAATTAGCGAATTTTAAAAAAATCGATAAAACAAAACGATTTCCTAGTACTTCAGTAAGTTTTAGCATACTGTATATCTGTTTTGGCAGTAATTTACAACAAGTTGTATAGAAGACACTCTATCGGCAGTAACTTGATAATTAAACTTTCAACTATCTCATTAGATGCGCCCACAGCACGACGGTACGATTTAAGTATATTTTTTTCTTAAAGTCTAATGCACTTCGGAATGTTCGACTCGTACATTGCTTACGTATTCTCAATAAATACGAATATTCTATCATCTATTTCAATCTTAATAATCGGATGCAAATTTTTTTATATTAACCTGAAGAAAAACCGGCGATTGTTCTTTATTATCACTGGTTCGTATGTGACCACATCGATCAGAAAACTTATGCCCAAATGAAAACCATTCTTTTTCAATCAGCATCTAAAATAAAGAAAATTCATAAGAGGTTTTTTTTCCAAATATTTGAAATATTTACACGAAATCCATGTATGGAACGATAATATGGACTGAGAAGAAGTGAAGATAACGAACAACATTGTGCAGTACGATCCCAACCGTCAGAGCAATGCACAAGAACGTTTTTCTTTTCAACGTCGATAGCCTGGAAGAAGAGATTTCTTTTACAAAGTTCTCGAAATTTCAATGGAGTACTACTCGAGCAATAAATATAGCAGCTTCTAACACAGCTTTGATATGTTGTAACCATGATGTATTATCAAGAGCATTTAAATATTGATTCATCGACGGATCTTTCAATTCACACGCTGAATGAATGAGATTAGGAATAATATTGAAATTTCTATTGTTTTTGTTTTACAAATACCTTCAAGTACTTTGTTTAAACTAGAACGCATTATATGTATATTTTCAATTGGACAAAATTTAAATTGCATATTTGAATAATTAACTTCATTTTCATAGCCTTTGCCTGCTGCACGGTTTGCCACCGCATTGATCTATCATTATTAAATAAAAATGCTATTTACATAATGATTGAAATTAAGAGTATTTCTATGCTTGCTATTAGAATTTTTTTTTTCCAAAAGACAATTCCGATGTTTTTATTCAATGTTACAGTGAAATATTTCGTTTGGGAATACAGATCAAATAAAATAAATATGATTTCAGTAGAAACTATCATAACCTATTTTGAGATCTTAAATAGATTTTTCTTTTCTCTAAGAATACACTCAGGAATTGAAAAACGATTTCCTCTAATGCATGGTTGTTTGCTTGATGGCATCATGAATGCACGAAGTTCAAGATAGCTTTACATAAAGAATCAATTACCAAAAAGTTACTTTGTCAAATAGCCTTTTTCTAGTACGTCTTAGGATTTCAGTCAGGCATTCAATAAACAATTATTCGGTTTTTTGCAGTATCGTATCTTTAGAAAATTCCGGTAGTCAAGTACTTAAAATATAAAAAGTATTTTAACAGGCTTATGAAATTCATTTATCCTTCGAAAATCAATCTTATATCGAATAGAGTAAACATAGATTTATTTGAAAGATTAGATCAAACAAAAACGCCTGGAAGAGTTCTTTCTTTTAATTATTTGCCTGAATGCGAAGAATAAATGATGACAAATTTCATCCGTGAAAAAACTCTTCAAACAGTGACTACCTAGTGATAGAATTGCTTTTAAGGTTATTGTAAAAGGCTAAATTAAAAACAAAATCGACTCTAACAAATTACTTGAGCTTCTCGTACTATTTTAAGTATATAAAAAAAAAAAGATCTTGTTAGCATGAAGCATTTTCCAGGATTCTATCATGTGCAATGAGAAAGGCATAAATAATATAGAAGGTTTCGTAATTCTTTTTTAAAACAACATATACGCCAAACAGAGAGCATTAAAAACTTTCGATCCTTATTCGAGAGACTTCTATTCATCACTAAGACAACTTCAATCGCAACTTACACGAGGTCTTGTATCAATAATATACATTGTATTCGATTGCGAATTTGTTTTCAGTATGCATTGAAGAAGTTGTTCATCTTCAAGACAACGTGCACTAAACCCGGACAATGGCTGTGCACAACGTGTTATCGATGCCTATACAATACAAACGTAGGATTTTAGCGAAAATTTTTCTTTTTAAATTTTTTTTCACATACACCATTCGGATGTAAATAGGACAGTACAGGTAATCGGCCTCGACTTCGAAATTTCGAACTACCAAGTAACATTGACTTTGTTGTTGATGTTGGTACATAAATTAATGGTGGATATGTATCACACATGTCAAAATTACTATTATTATCTTCAACTTTCCATTCAGGATTTGGTACACCCATTCTCATATATTCAGTAGCCAATAGAAATGGATCCCAAACTTTTTCGAGATGATTTGGTGCTTGATACAGAAAACAATATAGTTTTTCATAAGAATCTAACAAAACAATAGACTTAGAATTTCAAAAATATATATATATATATATTCGTTCGCTTCACCTGGTTTTAATTGACTTAATGTAGCATGTAAATCAGAACAATCACGTTCTTTGGGAATAATAAATTCAGCGGAAAAGAAATGTTTTGTACGAATACGCAACGGAGATCCGTACTGTGTTATTGGTAATCTATCAACAGTTGATATCAGAGAATGAAGTATCTATAGAGAAAAGAAAATCGTCGTCATGATTTATTTGCCATTTCAATTTACCCAAGTTTCTCGCTTTCCTTCAGGATCAACAAAAATTAAGTGTGTAGAAGTCAAAAATATTGTTCCTAGAAAATAGAATATGTAATTAATAAAATGAATGAATGAATGAATAAAAGCAAATAAGACTCTTACCAATTATTTGTGGACGATTATTAAAACGATCCATCAAGCGTACATTCTCAACCTAAAATTATTGTATGATGATTAATGTTGTTTTTGAAGAGAAATAAAAATTCTATCATCTTTAAACAAATTAATCCACGATTAATATTGAATTACCTTATAATGACTATTATGAATTAGGAAAGTTTTTAATTGCTCAATCTTCGATGAAATCTGTCGAAGAAATTCGATAAATTTTTGTCGATTCATTAATCCGAGACGTTGAGTATACGTGAATGAATTGAGCAGGAAAAAAAACAACAATAATTTGCTCTTCGCGACACTTTCTCAGATAATTTTTCTTCTCGTTTCTTTGCTCTTTTCCCTATTCTTGTCTTCTCGACGCGCAGTATAGGATATGTTTGACTTAGAAACTCTTGCATTTATTCAACTATGAAACACGAGTAGAAGTTATTAACATTTCTTACGACAAAAACGAGCGCAAGTACAAGAAAGAAACCGAACGACATCTTTGCTCACTACACAGTTCATTGCAAGAATAGATAAAGAAAATAAATAACCCCACGATGTCACATACAATAGAAAACCATTTGTATCAATTTGACAATCAGAGATTTCCGAACATAAGATAAACATTTGATTCATCCTATTCTTTTCATTCTCGTTCAAGTTATACTTACAGAACGTAATGAAGCAAGACTATCAGCAAAATCCATGACTTTTTTAGGTGTGATAATCAAGATTTTTTTATTACCAAATTAAATGGAACAATATGATTCATTATCAGATGATCAATTAACGAATTAAATAATGTATATAAAGAGTTATTATAATTTTTTTTCCTATCCGACTTCACTTTATTCAATGTATAACACATCGATAAATATTTTTTATTTATTTTTTCTCAATTTTATTTCCATAAATTTTTCACAGATGTCACTAGACTATGTCAATGTACTGCTCGAAAAGAGCGATAGTATTTTTCGGAAACGAGGGAATTTCTATTAATTATATTGTGTAGGATTATTTTTTCAAAGATGTGAATAAAATATTGCAAAAAAAAGCAAGAAACATCGTTCTTCTTCTTTTCATATAATTATTTACATTAGAATAAAATAATAATAATTGAGAGCTTACCTTAGTATCAACGAGTATTTGTCCTTCATTGAAATGAACTGTTAACCAAAAATTAGCAAACATTCAAACTAGCACTATCTTCTAATAGAGCATTATTGATAGAGCCTTTTAATCTAATCTAATATTCATCTATAAGATTAAAAAAAAAGAACGAATATGTCACATTCACATATCGTTATATCCTTTCAGATAAATTCTGAGAACAATAGCAATAGCAACCAGTCAACGTTTGTCTAACTAAATCATGTAATGTGCAATATAGTTTATGAAACTAATAATATAAAAAAGGAGAAAAAAATGAATCGCTCTAGAGTAGGTTTCTTGTTCTCCCTGCACGCTTCTATATAAGAGCATCAAATCGAATGCAGGAAGGTCGACAGAGAATTTCTATTGTCAGTCGTCGTCAAGAGAAAAAGAGGGTAGGAATGCACGCATATCAAAGACAAAATCTAGGACGTAAACATCGATCCAAAAAAATGACGAGAGGTCTACAATAAATATGATTGTTGTACGCATGAAGAACAAAGGAATTTTCTTTAAAAAACATATATTAGCAGCTTGGAAAATGAATTAACAATTCGTGTTGTTTTCCACTGAAATGAATCAGACGAAAATTGTAGCCGCCCATGACTAATGTTTTTCTCGGGTTTTTTCACATAGCTATTTATGTGTAAATTTCTATCTAGTGGTTCCGTGTAATATGCATAAAATACAATAATTCTGTTAAAATAAATTGAATTACTCATCCATAAATCTATTGTCTATAGTGAACAATACTACTTGTTGAAGTACAATAAGTTAAGTATACTTCTAGTTCGTTCTCACGCACCAATTCATTAGCTAATCGATGTTACTATATAATTCCAGCTTTTCATTGTTATAGATAATATTCAATGTCAAAATGACGTACACAAAAGAAAATCTTTCAAGTATTTAAATAATCTTCTATTTTATATTTAATAACTAACCAAACAAAGAAAATACTAGTCCTATAAAGCATTTAATTAAAATACAATAAAATAAACACAAAAAATACTATTAACAAATTACATTTATGATAATGATTATAGTAATTAAAATAATTTAATCGACAGTAATAGATATTGTTAGTCATCTTTCGCTAAGGCTATAGCTGGCGAGAGAACATCCATTCAATTGATTAAAAGAACATACGATGCAACGTCATTAGCATACTACCAATGATGAAATATTTACAAATCGTATTTTTCATAGTACAACAGTAGACGATTATGTAATAGAAAAATAAAAATTTCATACAAAAATACAATTTGATAACATATCGTCTACGCCTTGTTCAGATATTCTTGAATTGAATTAACTAATTTACCTATTCTATGCGTCGTAGTTCTCTTGTCACTTTTAGCTTTAGCTTTGTCAAATTTTGTGTTAAAAAAAAACATTTTTCATTATAGCTCAATATCGTTAGCATAATGACTATAACCAGTTGACCATTAATATTATGCACTTATACTTCGAGAATGGGGTCACTGAATCATCGTACGACCTATTTTATTTGTGAATGTTATTCAACAAGGTATTAAAAACAACTCAGACAATATATCAATAATTTTTATTTTAAACGTCTACTCTTATATAGCTAGCTAGCTACTACTATTTATGCAATATACAAGATCAATTTTTTCTAATTATATATTTGTATATTGCCAACATTTTATTATCGGTGAGATATCTTCATTTGATGATTCACTATGAATTTGCAAGAGATTATGATTAATATTATCAATTTAAGATCTATCAAAAAAAGTGTTGAAATATCATTGATTGAAATAGTTCTAATTACTTTTGCATGAAATATTACATTTTGAAGGTACTGTAGTTGACGACCAAGAAAACTTCATAGAAGATTGATCACGCTACATATCTAACTATTGCATCATATGTTAGAAAAAATTTTCCCTCTCTACAAAACTCCATTGACATTAGTTGAAATCTTACATTAATCAAATCTATGTACCATTTAGCTAATTCTTCTCACGTCACCAAATTAATCGATGCATGAGATGTTTCGTAATTCTATATATATATAGATATACTTAATTAGCTTGCCTTTCGTGTTTAACAAAGACTTGAGATAATAGTTTCGTTTTTTCTCGAAATAATTTTGTGGTAACATAAATAAATTCTGATAAAAAAAAATATTAATCGTATCAAAACGATTGATCCCTGGAAATTTTAATGATACCCTTCGATCGTGTGAGAAAACAATTTTTCAAAGGAAAAAGAAGAAAAACCTGATGATGATTTATGTCTCATACATTTGTTACATACGACTCATGGTTTTTCTATTCAGTTCTAAAGTTTTATGAGTGAGAATGACGAGAAAAAACTTGTGCGCCATTATTATTTTCAATTTAATTGATCGCGTGTGTGTGTCACATTGAATCAATGCACGTTCAGTACACACATACTCGAGGATTGGATGGTCAAATGACAATTCAACTGACTCTTTTGTGAGAACACGGACGACATTTATACAAGTATAGAAAATGACGGTTTTGAGCGCATATTTATACACGTGTATATGAGTTTAATTTGTTATGAATGAGAGAAGACGACCTCATTTTGATAAATAAAATACATATCATTGATCAATCGATCACAAAAGAAAAAGCAGAAAAACAAAACAAAAGAAACGAAAAAATTTTCCGTTTCAATAAGTAACTATTCGCCTGATTAATGTTATAGGATGTAAGATTTAATCCATTACTTGTATTATAATATAAGCATACAGGCCAATTCCATCACCTGTCCATGCAAGAAAAGCCGATTGAACTAGTTCGTGTGTGTGTGTGCGCGCGTATACATTCAGTCAATAGAATGCTTTCAACTGTTGATAATCTTTGTATGTATATCATTGTACAATGAAATACCCGAGGATAATGGTTAAAAAACGAAAAAATTTATGAACATTTGTGCTAGAGGCATCATTTAGTGCTTTCGACCGATACGTACAAATCAAACGAAAGAAAAAGAGAAATCATCGTTCTCTTATATTCATTCTTTGATAAAAATACGGATCATCTATTTACAATAAGGATGGTCTCAACACTGAACTGTATGCTTAATCTCTAAAGAAGACAAGTATCTTACTTTCTTTCTTTAGACGCCGATGTATATGTTTTATTTTTTGTTTGTTGATTATGATGATGATGTCATTTCACTTCTTCAATTTTTGTATCTCTCTCTCTCTATTGTCATTATCCACGTTAATTATTTATTGACATTCGACAATATTCGATACGACAACAATATTTTAAGTTGTTGTTGTTATACTCCCATATTAGTTCCAATCATTTGAAGTTGGAACACTTGAACATATGAATATGTCGCGTCTTTTTCACTTGGTTGATTCTAATGAAATTGAAAGGAGTGAGAGAGAGAGAGAGAGAGAGAGAGAGAGAAGAGAAGAAAAGACTAAACTATACATTAGACGCGCATACACATACCTTAATTTGTTCACATCGTCTCACTGCTGGTAAATGAGAGAGAAAAATTCCGATGACATTCATTTTAATAAGAGAGAGAATTAAAGTGTCTAAAACGAAAGTGTTCACATACATATTGTCAGTATGATTCAAAGTGATTCAATAATACAGGTATACTATAATTAACCTTTCTTTTTTTCTACTACGTGAAAAAGATCATTTTCTAACGGAAGTCTCGTTTTTATCTACGTAACCTATGTATTAGATTAATTATTTAATATATAATTTAATGTTTCATAAGCGAACATCATTTCTTTTTTGGTCTTCTCCAGTCGCACATGTACACTTTCACATAAAAGGTCTATTTTCAGTCATTATTGAAAATTAATATGTACTACTACGGTTTCTTGATAAGTCATGCGTCTTCATACATGATCTTTTTCTTGTTCTTTTTTTGTTAAGTACATTCAGACAGTCTTTCACTTGAAATAGCCGACGACTACTACTCAAATTTCGTATTCATAATGATGAACTAAAAATAAAAATACAAAGATTAAATTCGTAAGCACGTACATTAAACAAATTTTCTAGAGTACCATTCAATTCACTTTATACAACAAGTTCATTATTAACAGATGAATTTACAACCTCTACAGATGAAAAAAGACTTCCGTTTATCACACTCGAGCTAAACATAACAATAAAAAGTAAGAAACATGATAATCAATTAGAATATTGACCTTCTTACGTCAAGGTTGCCTTAGGGTATCTTGTTCTATCCGAATATTAGTGACTAGTGTATTAATAGAACATGTTCCTACATCATTATTAAAGGAGAAAAAAGACTGATCATATTTTGTCTACAATCACGATGACATGAGAAATTTGAAGATCATAAGTAGAATCTAACCATTTCTATCATTGTTTGAAATCTAATACGTTTAGTTAAAGATGTCTTGTGTGTTTGATATTGTGCAATAGTATCCTGATAGTTCTACAATTTCTAATAATAAGATGACTGATGCATGCATAAGATTGATTTAGCTTGCCGGTAATAAACAACTAATATATACATATCTATGAAGAAAAAAAGTGAGAGAAAATCACGTTTGTACTCTGTTAAAACAATCATTTTATCTACAGGATATAAATCATTGTTGAAATAGAAGATGAGGAAAGACTTGGTTATTAGTTGTAATCACGTAGAGAAACGTGCAGCTCATTTATTTCTATGAGCTTGTAAGTCTTTTTTTGGTTGCTAGTGGAACAAATGGACAATTGCTTTTCTTCCTCTATTGAAAATGACACAAAAGGTATATCTTTCTTTCTTCATGTCCTCTCTCTTCTTTTTCCTCTCCTTCTTTACTCAATGATCATCATCATCATTGGTAGTTGTCGGACATGCTCACATATAAGAAAGGAAAAGGTTCCGTGTAATAACATTTGCTAACTGTACAGTGTGTGTACACATAAAAACATACATTGAAAGACAAAGTATGTATACATACACATGTATGTCCACATTGATTGAAGGTGAAATTGTATTTGAATACATTTATTTCAGATGTTCATAGTTCTTCTATTTGTTTTACTTAATATAACTTCAATTTATTCATCAACTCAAATAATTAGAGTTCGTGAAAATGTTAATGTAACAATAACATGTGATTTTAATAGAATAAAATCAGAATTAGCTACTAATCAACTTTCATCGATACCATCATTAAATAAATTATTCGATAATAATCTATCCGACAATATTATACTCTGGTATAAAGATGATAGTCAAGTTATTGGCGTTACAACTATATCAAACGAACCAAATAAATATTCTGTAAACGAAATTAATACCAATACATATGAATTAACAATTATTAATGTTCATTTGGAATCATCGGGCGTCTACAAATGTCAAAATTTTACCTCAAAAGAAGAAACTCGTTTCCAATTAAATGTTATGGGTATGCTAAAACAAATTTTTCACTTAATATAATAGAAAGAAGGCGAAGAAGAAAAAAAACAATAATAGCAGTTCATGTTCATTTAACAGCGTTTATTTCCTCTTTAAGGAATCAAAGTAAACATCTGTTGCTAAGAATTATTCATCTATTGAGAATAAATGAACAAGACATTTACCATCATTAACAAAGGTTACAAGACGAAACAGTCGTACAATCAATTATATTATAGACACAATGAGTGTATCTGTTCAGAGAAAATATATAATCACCCGGAAATCACAGATAAATAGATAGATATAACGTAATTTATTTCCTTACGTTTGAGACGATGTGAACATTTTCAATAGAAAACAAATTAAATCAATTGCTCTTTTTCTATTGTCATATGAGAATAGATAGGTGAATATTCATTAGGTACTTTGCGCACCTTGAAATAATTATAAACAATTGAACATGACATAGTTCACACGTCCGGTGTTTTAATAAGAGATATGTTACACTTGATTTGATCCTTTTTCTTTCATAGATTCATCTAATGAAGGAAAGTAAAATGCAAACTTGTAATAAAACAAATGAGAACAACAACACATATGTATAAATGTGAACAATCAATCTTTAAAAATAGAATTTCGTGGGCTGAAGAAGGAACAATAAGCTCCTAATAGAATTTAACAAGAAGTTATTAATTTTATGTTTTTGAAGTGTTTTATGAATTAGTAAATATACGAAAAGTAGAGAATTTGAATCGCTACCTCAGTGACCTTTGCACATCGCTATTCTACCGACAAAATTTGTAAAAAAAAAATGGAACTTCTTTGTTGTTTCAGTTCCACCATCACGTCTTCGGCTTGTTCCATCAGCACAAATGCCTATACCAGATGGTACATTAGTCTCTTTTAATTGCACAAGTGAACGTGTTTATCCAAATCCAATGTTTGAATGGTATAAAAATGATAAACTCATTCAACGGTATGTAGTATTATTATTATTATTCTTTCTTTCTTGTTTGATCGTTAGAACGCGTTTCTTTTATTAGTTCAATCGGCAATCAAACAGGTTCAACACTCTTTTCAAGTTCATCGATTTTAACACTTTTACTAACACCTGCTGATCATAATCATATGTTACGTTGTCAAGTATCAAATGAAGCGAGTATTCATGAATCGAATGTGGAGATAAAACTAGATGTTTTATGTGAGTTGAAAAAGAATATTTTCTTAATCTTAATACGATTCCTTCTTCTATTTTCTTTGATAGTTAAACCAATTATCAAGATTTTATACAATGCAAAAGAATTGACCAAAAAATTGAATATTATTGAAAATTCTATTGAAGTAATTCGTTGTCAAATATCATCAAACCCATCGATAATATCAAATATTGAATGGCTTAAAAACGATCAATTAATTCGAGGTAGGATATTACGCATTGATTAGATAATTGAATTGTCTGATGTCTATTGTTTGATAAGACACACACACATTTTTGATTGATAATGTGTTGAAAACTTGATGATTAATCGATATCTTTGTTTACTTTTTTTTTCTACGGTATAGGAGAAAATCAAGAACAATTACGAATAAATTTTACTGACATCAAAAGTTTATCCTGTCGAGCAAAGAATAATATAGGACAAACAGAAAATCGTATCGATGTTAATGTTCTTTGTAAGTTTTGTCTAATAGATAGATGTTTCCATTTTTCTCTTTGGTCAATTCTTAGATAAACCAAAATTATTTATGATTGAAAATATAACATTGAATCAAGGCGAAAATTTACATTTAAAATGTACAATTGATGCCAATCCTTCATGCCATGATATTCGTTGGTTTCATAATGATAGAGAATTATTGACTCAATCGTGTCAACAAAAAAAAGCAGACGAATATGATATACCGAAAAGTAGCCGTTCACATGCTGGTAAATATACATGTGAAGTAAGAAATTTGTTAAATACAACTTTTCGAACACAACAACATGGAGTATCACGTGTATCAACGGATGTATATTTACAATGTAAGATATTATTTTATTGATAGATGATGATTTGTTCTAACAGTAGAACTTATTCGTTTTTGGAACTGTTCTGCTAATAGCTATTCATTTAGTAAAACAGCAGTTTGCTAATTAATTGATATAAGTTTCTCTTCTTTTTTTTCTTTCTATATTGAACGAATAGGCGGCATTCAATTTTTTTCTTTTATGTAACATTAAAATAGTCATACGGAAATGAATCATTCATCCATTATATTATTTTTACCTCCTTGTTCTATATTACTATATAAAAGAAGAAATAAAGTGTCTAAGAATAATAGTGTCAATGAACCCGCTATTCACCAGCTCATTGAGATATGTAAAACTATTAATAGAGATCGTTTTATTATTTCTAATTGTTGAATAAGTCATAGAAGTTGAATATTTATTTTTTGGTTCACATTTGTATGTGCATTTGAATAGAAGATAGTCATCCACTGAGATAAAATCAACTAAAATCGGTTTGGACACAATTCGTCAACGATTAAAATGAGATCATCTATCTTGATTGTCCATCAAGGATACATTGAAGGTCGACGCACTTATCACGCTGAAGATGTTTTTGGATCGTCTGAAAAATAATATCACCATGTTTGGAATAAACTCAAGTTTTTGGTTCATTACTATGACCATTAAGTAGCTTAGTTAAGACTCAGTTCTAAAGACAAATGAGAGAAAATGTTACCAAGATTTCTATGATAAATATAAAATCACGATTCATACTCGACAAAAATATCTTTGAAAGTCAAAATCGGTTCAGTTTAATAAATTAATAAAGAAATATTTTGTTTTATTTAGATGCACCGTACATATTAAATTCCTATAATAAAGTAACAATTTTGGAAAATTCTAATATTACAACAGAATGTGTTGTTGATGCTTATCCAAACGCTAATGTAATCTGGTTTGGACCATTTGGCCAAAGATTAAATGTGTTCAGTAAAGAATACATTATCAACAGTACGGTGATATCATCTAAATTGGAATGTAAGTTCGCTTTTTTTTCTAAAAATTTTATTTCTTAATAAATCTATTTTTTTATTTTATTAAAGTACCAACATCGTATGCATCGATACCAGGATTATATCGATGTTTAGCGACGAATATCTTCGGTCAACACGAATTTTCCATTCAATTTCAACGGCCAAGTTTTCCTGATCCACCCACTGCATTGCAAGCGATCAATGTAACTCATTCTTCGTTTATACTTCAATGGCAACCAGGTTATAACGGTGGTTCCGATCAAATCTATCATATTATCCTTAATCATAGTCATACTGAAGAAAGATTTTCAAATTTTAATTCTATACAATTTAAAGAGTTGAATGAAAAAACGCGATATACTGTAAAAATTCGTTCAAAAAATAAGATCGGTTTTAGTGATTATTCAACTAATCTAGTCGTTATAACAAAAGAATCTGCGATTCGATCAGAAGAATTTCCAATGATTAAAAAAGCTCAGTATAGTACTCATGATCGTCAACTACATTATCAATTAAGTCCCATACGGTCTATGTCAATATCAATCGATCAATTATGTATTCAATATTATAATATGGATGAAATATCACCATGCATTCCATTGAGATCAATGCGATCGATTGATGATGGAATTAAAATAAATATTGAACAGACAAATTTACGTGTAAAATTATGCTTAATCAACAAAACAGATACATGTTCCAAATCGGTTCCTATTTCACCGCATACTCCATTCTCAAATCATTCGTCGGAATTTCTTATTATTTTAATCGGTAAGAAAATTTTCACGCTTTGTTAATTAGAAATCTGTCAAAATTCATTTTATAGGAGGTGTATTAGGCTCATTTATTGTCTTTGGATTAATGATTTTATTTGTTTGTATTCATCATCGAAAATATAAACAAAAATCTAGAAATAGTTCAACAGATACATTAAAAATAAATTCAGATAATTTTCATTCTGTAGCACCAGTGCGTGTTAGTAATACAAATTCATGTCTTTATTATCCAACGAATGAAAACCGAACATTATATTTCAATGATGAAGCAATTGGTATTTATTCAATTCAAGGTAAGAAAAACATAAAATTGATTTTGTGATACAAGCTTGCTGTTGATATATTACGACAGCCTGTTAGACTTATTAAGCAGATTTCATAAATCTATTGGTCGACATTCACTGACGTATCCCCTTCTGAACCAGGTGGTACAGTCTAACTTAGTTCATCGAGGAGACACAATCATGAGTTCTGCTTCAAACATCTAATTTTCGGATCGAAATACTCAATAGAACAAATTTAAAACCATCAATTAAAGTTTATTTTACTAAAACATCTTGCTTCGTTATATTTAGATAAGAAAAATTCAATTTGTTTTGATTCTGGTATGCCATCAACAACATCGGATAATTCTGATTCAGCTGGTTCACAAGCATTATCATCATCGGATTTCTATGATCGTTCTGATGGCGAATATCTTGTCAATGGGCCAAGATCAATGAATAAACTAATTGTATCTAATTTATCAGCATATACAACAGTAGGAACAGGCCGAGAAAGCCATCTGAATGTTTCCGCCAATCAACGGGTATCATCAGAAGAAAAAAGCGAATTTTCAACACTGAGTACATCTCAAAATGGAAAAAAGCTTGTATATGAAGTCGTTGTGTGAACTGCTTTTCTACAGACGTATATTGTATTTCATCTATATTTAATTTTTTCTTTTCTTTCGTGTATGTTTGTTTTCTTTTGCTAAATAAGATAATATTAATAATTACTGTTCGTCAAAGTCGATAAGAATGCGCAATATTATTAACGCCGACTTACCACTTGAGCAATGTTTTAGTTTCTATAGTTGTTGGTTAACTTGAAAAATTGATTAGGCAATATTGCACTTTTCTTAGATCGTGAGTATACTTAATTTATACACTTCAAAACTATTTCAAGTTTTTGCATCAGCCAGTATACTCAGAAAAATTTCATTACGGTGATATGCATTCAATCGAGCACGTCCCATCTTACGACTGATTGGAAAAATTTGATCATAGTTTGCTTTTATTCATTGAACAAAAAAGCCAACCGACACGAGAAATCTCCAAGATGACTTCTAGGTAGTGAAAAATGTACGAATTCGAGATGTGTGCATGTCAGTATCTATTCTAATTATTAAGCAGTATTGCCTAAACAAACTTACTTTGACTCTGTGACAACAATCATACAGAGAAATGTTGCCATTGAAGTATATATTATTTCCAGCCAAGCAATGCGTTTACTATTTTTTCTTTATGTTTTGATTGTAATAAAATAAAGAACGAATAACGTAACGAAAATATGTCAAGTAAATGCTATAGTTCTGTAGTAAGTGTAAAATATTCACGCGAGTAAGAGTAACAGACAAATTATTGAAAATGTTTTTAGAGTGAATAAACTCTAAAACTAGTTATCACGTGACACGACGTGTTATTGTGAGACTAAACTCTCTGATTAGGTAATAGGTATATTTTTTTCGTGTCACTAAATCTGTTTACTTTATATTAGCAAACAACTGATGCATCATGGGACATGAAATATCTTTGGTTTATTATTAGATTGAGTTTGATAACTATCAAGTCTCGTCATCTGTAAATAAGTAACATTTAAGCGTTTCTATATACACAGATCTGCATATATATATATATATATAAACATCCGTCACGTAACAATCGTCTCAGATGCATAGCAAATGTTTCTTTGCCCTTTCTTATTTAAAACAATCTTGTCTGGTCAATCAAAAAAAAAAATCGAGAATCTGAAAATGGAAGATACAATAAAGTCAAATAGCGTAGCTAACTATTTATAGATAGTAATATTGAAAAGTAAAAATAAAAGCACTTTTATATTTATACGAACTTTGAACGATACCCTTCTCTTGGTGCATATTTTTCATTTCGATTTTGTCCTAATTCTTCATTATAGTGCGTTATAATCTCTTTTTTTTTGCACCGTTCTCTTATGATTTTTTTTCTTCTAATATGATGAAAACTTTGAGGGATTCTTTTTTTCTATAAGAATAACTTTGTTTCAATCACTTAATAACGGAGCATATAAAAATACAGCATCTGCATGTGTGTATCATCGATAAAAGCTATTCATGGGAGAAGGAAACAAATCTATGTATCAATTTTTTAATAGGCATAAGATACATGAACGCAAAAGAAGATATACAAGAGTTATATTGAATATTGCATTGTATGACACATGGATCTGCAAACTGGATTATTAATGAGTTTTTTCGTTGTCAACAAAAGAAAATTCTCTAACAGGTTGCTACTGTTTCAATACACTGTCCTTACTTAGGTTTCAAGAGCACGCTTTGGTAGGCTTCTTGTCGTCCATTCCAACCAGCGTCTTTGTACGTGACTAGTGTAATTGTATTTGAAATTAACAAAGAAGAATTATTCTCGTTCTTTCTATAAACAACTCTCGTGAAGTTTTCTTCCTTTTAATGAAATTGCGTTGAGATTTTTCATTGTTCGTTTCTGTGCACAGCCGATATTCACAATTGTAGAAACATTAAACAGTACACTGCTGCTCTTCTTTCTTATTTATATTACGAATCAACACAGTCTGATGAATATTGAATCAAGCAGCAGGTAGTTTTGTTTGTCGAATTATTTAACTAATAAAAAAATTTATCTTTCAAAATAGTGAAAAATTTGTTGCTCATCCAGTCCTTGATGATCCAGCAAAGATGATGCGCATTATAGGTAAAAGCTATTTATGCATATTTTATTAAGAAAATCTTTTTTCTTTTGTTTGCTGCGTTTTTAGCCAATCCAGTTTATGACAAATTAACAATATCACGAGCAGCTCATATGCGAAGGCCACAATCAATCAAATATGATCGTTACTCAACACAATTGTATGGAACAAAAAGTAGCACGAAATCTACACCAATGAAATCATTAAATACTGAACAAGTTTCAACAGCGGTATATTATATTTTAGAAACTCATATATACTAAGAAGACTTAGTACAGTCGATTTCTTGTTACAAAAAAACAGAAATATTAACTTGTTTATTCTGTGCTGCAAAGAATAATTTATTCTTTTTTGTATTTATTTTCTTTCTTCGTAGTTCAAAACATATCTAGAAATTTCATGAATATGATTAGATTAAAGTAGTAGCTGAATATTAATTTTTATTCATTCGTTTTTTCTTGAAATTTAAGATTGAAGGCAAGGTTACTATATAAAAACATGCAAATTTTTCACTTGAAACAACGAAAATATACTTTTTCAGGCAGTATCGAAAATCGAAAATGAGATTTAAACAAGTTGACAACATAGACAATTCGAATATTGAAACAAGATTTTCGTAATGAAATCTATGAAAAGTAGAATGAAAAAATATTAATATAGAACAAAAGAATCAAGAATGAACGTATTTTTCTATTGATAGTCTACGTGAAAAGACCTACTTGATAAACTTTCAAAACGTCCTACATGTGAATTTATGCGGTCAGAATTCTAGATCGAGATAAAATAAATATCATATTTGAAATGTCTACTAGATACTATTTTCAATAGTTAGAAGAAATTTTGGAATCTCTTTGATATTATTTTCAAATTATCTGATCCATTAGTTTCCTTAGTAATACACATCCTTCTCCGGAGAGTTGAATACGTCACTAAATAGCAAACTAAGATTCATAACGCTTCTTTATTTTGTTAAAGTTTTACTCTTTTTTTTTACTTTAGCCATTACCCACAAAAAATAATTCAGCACGATCAAAATCAATTAATGAACAACGTAAATCACCACCACTGCATCTCCCTGCACTTCCTCTAAAAGATGAAATATATCCAATAAACACTCAACCAGCTATTCGTACCCGAAGTCATTCAGTGGTATCATCAACTGTAAAAGACGATAGAAAATCTACACATGACAACAATACTGTCCGTTATGTAAACGGTCCACATGGCTTTGAAATACAACGGCATTCGTCGGGTAATTGGTTATCTGTTGACATTCTAAGTAAAGATGCCTGCGAAGCCAAAGAACGAACGTTTCGTGAAATGGTTGAGCTAAAAGAGAATGATGATCTAGTAACACATAGTATTTACACATCAGAATATTATCGTAAACGTTGGCGTGATTCATTAAAATCATGTAAACAAGGAAACTTAACACATCTTGAATGGGCTGAACAAAACTATAAAATAAACTGTTCAAAAAAATATTATTCGGAAGCATCTCAACGAGAGCGATCTCTTATTGAGTTAAATGAGCAAAAGCAACGTCGAAAACGTGCTCAATTGGCATTTAAGGAGTGGAAACAAACTAAAAATGAACCAAATCTTGAACATACTCAAGGCGAATTGCATATAGAGGATAGTCTTAATTCAACAGATATTACATGTGTTACATCGAATCCTTCATTACCATTTAATAATACAAATAATCAAACATCAACGCCAACAAGTACGAGTACTGGATCGGAAGAATTATCACATTCTCAATCAAATACTTCAACAAAGTCGACTAAAAGTGTTTTGTATATGTTAGATGAACAAAGATGGTCTTTACAGGCAATGCTCAAACGTATTGTTGGACTTGCTGAACCTTTACAACCATCGCCACCGAAAATTATCAATTATCATAATTCACCATTGGCAAGTCGTCGTTATCTTAGTGGATTTGAATCATGTGTATAAAAAGTTTTTTTTAAATAAACGCCATTTTTATAATTTAGTAATCATTTTTTGATTCTTTAAGAGGGTGTGAGTGTGGTAGATTTAAATACGTTAAATGTCTTGTATGTGGTACCCAAACATATTCTGTTCTCTTTTAAAAGATCACCAATACAGTACACACACTTTCATCGCAATCCTCTTCCACATCTAATTAGATCGTAGACCTCATATGCATGGGTTTCGTATATTCTGTTACTCTTGATTATTTAACATGACTTGCCACGAATTATATCTAGCTTAGCATCTGCTATTACATAGAGGTTTAAGTTGACAAAGTAAAAAAAAAACACAAGAAATAAAAGCAAAAAAACGGGAAAAAAGCATCGATTGGGCAAATTTCATGCAGTTACTAATATCTCATGTTCATTAACAAAGTGGTATAGAAGATAAGTTCATTCTCCAAAGAAAGTAGTAGTATCACCATTATTTGAAACCATCGTATATAACCCCAGCGCCGGCGTAGCCTCCCGTAGCGCCTCCGATAGCTCCGGCGCAACCGCCACCAAGAGCTCCTGGTCCACCAGGCAGTACCATATTTCCGGCCAATGCACCTGTTCCAGCTCCAACTACAAAACCGACACCACCACCGACCATTTGACCACATTTTTTGTCATTAGTCAGAATACCTGTCGCTCCGCCGACTACACTTCCAGCAGCACCGCCAAACGCACCACCGACTGCAGCGCCCATTGAGAGTGGATCAATGGCCATTTTTTTGCTTCACCTGTTGAAAAAAACATTAATTTCAATGAATTAAAAATGAATAATAACGTCCGTGTGAGTCAATAATGGACACTTAGTTTACAAGTCTGGAATTCTGGTAAAACAAGCGTGTCTCAAGATGAAGAAAACTACACGATGAACAGTCGTTTTATGTTCGAATTTTATCATTTTTTTGTGCTCATGGTGATATAGCATTCGCTAAAAAAACGAGAACTCATTTGGAAATGATCCTTCCTCAGTCAATCTACGCCAGCAGACAACTTCTGAAAGCTTGATTAGTACAGTTTGTCTAATCTGACTCATTCAAAAAGCTTTTTTTAGTGATCTACGATCAGTGATAGAAACAGTTAATTCGTAGTATCGAATAATAAAATCTGGCTACGATCTACTTGATCTCAATGCATCTTTAATTCTGAACATAGGACTAAACCAGATCTGATACGAGTGCTCCTCACACTATCTCAATAGGGAAGTACTTACTTAATGGTTAATCGTAAAGTAAATCTTCGTGATTGTCAAAAGGAGACGAACTGTATTGTTTCGAAAAGATTTACCAGCTTATATACATGGTTATCAGGAACTATTGTTGGTTTTTTCCAATGTACTGTCTACGATGACAGCGAATATTCCATCATGCACACTATCTGAATCACTGAAATTCCAGCGCCCAAAACATTTATTTGCTATATTATTAACCAATGGGATATATATCTTTATGGTATTTCATTATCGTACATTGTCGTGTTGGAATCTTTCAACTTCATTACAGAAACAGCACAAATAACTAAGCAATATGGGGTAATTATATGATATTTCTTCTTCTTCTTTGCCTGGGTATTCTATTCTCTGATTCAACTTGAGCAATGCGCATCTTTTCGTTTCTTTCTGTTATTTCTCTGTCGTCCGATACGTTAAGAAATCGAGACGACGAAAGATGAAAAACAATTGCAGATAAGGATTAAAAAGAAAAATACCATTCAGAATATAAGCAGTTTTATGCCAACCATTGCCGAGAGAAAGAAAAACATTTTTTAGTGATTCACATAGTATGCATGATGGAATATTCACTGTCATCGTAGACAGTACATTGGAAAAAACCAACAATAGTTCCTGATAACCATGTATATAAACTGGTAAATCTTTTCGAAACAATACAGTTCGTCTCCTTTTGACAATCACGAAGATTTACTTTACAATTAGCCATTAAGTAAGTACTTCCCTATTGAGATAGTGTGAGGAGCACTCGTATCAGATCTGGTTTAGTCCTATGTTCAGAATTCAAGATGGACTGAGATCAAGTAAATCGTAACCAGATTTTTCGTTTACACTACTATTTAACTATTTTTATCACTGGTCATAGATCATTAGAAAAAAAAACTTCTTGAATGAATTCAAATAGATAAAATATATTTATGATACATTTCATATTAAGGTCTAAATTACTTTCATGAATGTACGACTAATCATTTCAAAAGCGAGGATCAAACAACAATTTATAAAAAATACTCTTGCGGTCTATGTATACATGCATCGTGTTTCCTCTAAGTCTTGAGACACCACAAACTTATTTTTACATGTAGATAGAAAATAATCTCTAACTGAATTTTTTATATCAGCATTGAGTACTAGTATCAGTCTTTGAAAAGGCATGCTATTGAATAATATCTACTTATTTTCGACAATCAATTAACTTAATTCGTTTTTGTTCATTGAGTTTTGCCTCTAAGAAGCTAACGCTGAATTCAGAGACGTATGACCAACGGAAAAACGATAGGAAATATTAAATAAAAAAGTACGAGAAGAACAATTTCCCAGTTTTAAACAGATGACAACTAGATTGTACGAAGAATGAAAAACAGTAACTTATAATGTTTGATAAAAATTTCTACGAAACTTGACAAATGAGTAAAACGTGCCGAATAACAAGTTTCAAGATAGTTAAATAGGATTTTTGCGTAATCACATAAAAATATGTATTTATAAAATACAGTATCTCGATGGATTACATAAAACTTACCTTCGCACTCCCATGCTTTGTATTTTCATTAATGTAAGAGTAGACAGTATTCAGTAGTATGCGATTTGAAAGACTAACACAAGTAGTCAATGCTCATGTTAAAAGATTCGATTAAAACTTATTCTATGTCTGCATATGCAACAATTTTTAGTCTGCGTCAAAACCTATGAAATATATTACATATCGCTAAGGATACTTGCTGTTTCGTGTAAACTAATATGTAACTTTTTTAACAGGTTAAAAACCGCGATTGCTATGAATCCTGTGGTATGGGGTGTTGTAGTAGGTGGTGCTTCTGGCGGTTTGTCGGGTGGAGTCGGTGGATTCATCAGTGACAATAAACCTACGGGCCAATTGGTAGGAGCTGCTGTTGGCGCTGCTGTAGGTGGAGTTGCAGGTGGATTCACTGGAGCTATGGTGGGCAGTTCTATGGGTGCAACAATGGGAGCACTTGGTGCAGGTTGCGCTGGAACTATATCAGGCTCTGTGGCAGGATATTCAGCTGCAAGCATGACTTATGATTGTGTTGGCGAGAAAAAATAAAAGTGTTCATCTCTCTCCACTGTAATAAATTCGTCCTCTTTTGATTTTTTTGCTTCTTGCTGGATGGGATTGGGTAGGGGTGTAGATATCGAGAGAGCCAAACATTTATATTCTCTTCATACAATGCCAATGTTATTTCCTTTTATAGCTTAAGCAATATTTGTTTCATGGAGTCTATCGAATGTTTTTCTTCTAAACAGTTTATCTTTCATTGGAACAACTTAACGCAAAACTTGTTAGAAAAAGTATCGGGTGCAGCCGAAAGATTACAACATTTAGTATTTTTCAAATACTTCAATAAAAATCAATCATGCAATCTTGATTCTTTTTGTTAAAATGTGTACCGCATCACTAGCAGCACTGTATTGGCAATTTTCTGCAGTCAAAGAAAAACGTCTTTCAAGTATTTAAGACAGTGTGACATTTCACCATCATGTGACCTATTCATTTTGAATATAAGGGACACCACTGAAACATGCTTCAAAACAAGCAAGGTTATGCAATTGATCTTTGTTGAGATATTTGAAAAATACTAGATGTTGTAATCTTTCTGCTGCATCCGATATAAGCCAAAATTGGAACCAGTGAGAGTTTACGAAGCTTTTTCGCGTCATAAAGTTGATCGTACAGAGAAAATTTTGATTGCAAATATATTATACACAGTAAAGGATGAAGTAACATGAACAACTTTCTGATACGGGTAAAAACCATCCGGCCGGTCCCAATTGTGACATAACCTCAACGTTAACCGATATTCTCATCGGTTTAATGACGAACACTCATTGTCATACTATTTATCATTTACCAATGAAATATATAAAATCTAATCAGTTTTTATTCTCCAGCCCGATCGCCTGAAAAAAATATGTCCGAGTCAAAAATCCTATTTGACGTATCGATAAATATATATAAATGCTTTACTATCCTTCATCATGTATAATCATTTGTCACAATGATTATTGACTTATTTTCAAGGAGATGATGGTCTTTCGTATCCTCCTATGTGGTTTTGAGAACACATCCTTTTGTTGTTCGTATGCCTATTTCCCCACTTGATACAATATTCGTTTATAGCGATTGAATAGCTGTGTCAGTTTTACGGTGAATGCACAATAGTGATATCGATGCAAGCTGGCAGGCACCTTTATTCTATTTTCACAAGATATTTCCTAATATTATCAATAACTGATCATGATCGATTTCTGAATTTGTGAGATTTCAATAATAATGGTATGATACGCATCAATATTATCTGTCAAAATATTCAAATAAATCGTTAATATGGAGAGGATCAGGATACATATATATTGTCTATCCATGGTTAGTACCTATGATGAGGGGTAAAAAGCGACATATTGAAGAGCGGTTTTGAATTATATTATTAATTAATGTTCATTGATGATTCAAAAAAATAAAGGTATCGAATATGTAATAGTACAAAACGAAACGTACAATAGGAGATAACGATTATTTATTATTCTTGACGTGTTTAATCCAAAGTAGAAGAAAAAAAGGCAATGTAAAAACGGTGATGTGATTGATGATATCTTTTTTAAAACAATTGCACATTTTCTCAGGTGTACATATGAATGTCATATTAAAATGTCTCTTTTGATTTATTTTGCTTATTGTCTTTTCCTTTTTGTGCTCATTCTTAATTATATGTTGAAATGTAACTCTGCATTTTTTTCTTGTCTCTTTTTGTTATCAACACATTAAAAAAGATATTTCTCGCAGATTTTATTTGATGGGTTTGAAATAAAAATGACTACGTTATAGATCATTCGATCAGTCATAGAATGTCAACGTTTGCTTAACCTGTGGCCTTTTTGTTTTGAATTCTATCGCTAAATTACGAATAATTTGATCAAACAGGTAAAATCATTCATTGACTTTACGCAACGTATAAAAACGAATCATTGGCACATATGGAATAGCTAATATGACTTTTTTTTGCCTTTTTAAGATCCATTGAAAATGAAACCTGCGAAACTCAAACATAAGTTTCTTCGCGATAAATCCATACGATTTCATATTATTGTTCTATATTTTATTATCATTTGGTTGATACTACTATGTGGATTTCTTTTTACTTATTTTTCTCGTTCGAATCGAACGCATACTACTGAATTAAATCTGATTAAACAACGATTAAATGAATTAGAAATAAATGAAATAACGATTTCGTCGTCATCGACAAATGAATATGATTCGATACAACGACAATCTAGACATGCACGTACTACCAAATCACATTTAATGCGTACGCAACAAAATGTACATGAACCAGATTTAGTTTTTGGCTCAGTACATTTTAGAGTACCGGTAAGAAGAAGATAGTTCAAAAACAGATATATAACTCAAAGACAGTGTTCTATTTAAAATAGCCGGTGGTAATGGCAACATATTGTGCTAAATCAGTTGACTATTGCAAAACGATTGTCAGCGAAAACGAAGGTACATGACATCAAGTATTGTGTACTTTTTTTTATGTACCAATGTTTATATATATATATATATATATTCTTAGAACTACGAGGTCCTAAAGGCGATCAAGGTGAACGCGGTTTTCATGGAATGCCTGGTCCAATTGGACCACAGGGTAAGATAAACATTATAAAAAAATCTATATATATATTTAATCATCTATGCATATCGAAGGGCCTTCTGGTGCCATGGGTTTTACAAGAGCAGCTGGTACTCTAGGACCTAAAGGTGATCAGGGACTTTCAATTCGAGGTCCACAAGGTAGTTATTTCATTTGAATAATCAAGATCTATATTTAATATTTGCTTTTTAAAAGGTCCTCCAGGTAATACAGGGCCTCCTGGTTATCCAGGTCCATCCGGTGAACGAGGTCTTCCAGGTCCACCTGTATGTTTAACAATATTAGAAATTAATTCTATTTGATATAAATCTTAACATCATTAGGGAACATGTATATGTCCTTCTCAATCATCAGTTCAATCAGCAGCAACATTCAGTATAGATCAACTACAAAGTATATATCTATATTTCACTAAATAACTCTCATAATTTTAAATATTTCTCTTTTCATCGTCATTGTAGATCCCTCTCGACGTGACGGTGAATAATTTTTGATTAAAAAGTTCTACTTCTATTTCCTATTTCTATTTGTTCATCTCGGTAAACAATCAAACAGGTGGTCTTCGTCGAGCTCAACGTAAATCATGGATTGTATTTATATTTCAAACATCTATCTTTTTTTTATAAATTTAAGGTTGTATATTTTCATTTATCGGTACACCTGTTCTAGTAAAATCAGAAAATTATACATTTGGTGCTTGGTTTAAAGATCCGATGTCTAAAACTGCTAATGGAGCTCAAAAAATCTACGTAACCCATCATGTTACTGGTACATTGCTGTATGAATACAACAATGAAAATGATTTGCTTAATAATAAACCATATCGTATCATAACATTACCCTATCCTTATTCTGGTGTAAATCATATTGTCTATCAAGGAAGTTTCATCTATCATATTCTAAACAGAAATATGATTGTACGTATTGATCTCGTATCGGAAACTGAAGCGCAAAGCGTCGAAATTCCCATAAATCGTGAACCACTCTATAATACACCACAATCGGGTTGGCTTGATTTTTCCGTCGATGAAAATGGTCTATGGTTATTATATCGTGAAATAAATACAAAGAATTTTATTGTAGCTAAAATAAATCCTGATACGTTAGATGCACAAAAAAATTGGATTCTACCATATAATCCGTCAACTTTAAGTCAAGGCTTTGTTGCATATGGAATATTTTATGGTATACAAAATTTTAATAAACAACACTCTTCTATTGATGTTGCTTATGATATATATTCAAGTCTGGCATTTATAACAAAGAAAATTGAATTTACAGTACCATTTCAATATTTAGTCCAATTTACTTATAATCCATATGAAGGAAAAATATTTGCGTGGGATAATAGACATTTAATTTATTATGTTTATAATATTCAACGCGATAAAAAATTTAAATGTTAAATATATCGATGTGTGACAATAGAAATTTTGTGTCTCTTATTTTTATTTCTTTTTGTTACTCAGTTGTATTGCTTATGTAAAGAAAAAAAATTATATCAACGTGTGTCTGCCTGTCTGTCTGTTTATTTTTCATTTATCGTAGTCGTCATGCATGGTGACTTTGAAGCTTAATATGAATACATATATTTGTGTATATGAACTTGAAAACGTGGTAGAAAAGCCTTGGATGTATTGTAACTGATTTTAATCTTTCATTGAAGGCCTCGTTCTAAGATGAGGATGGTTAATTTATAAATAATGAAGAGCAATATTCGACTATATAGATCGATGGTAAAATATTTGTATGGGCACAAAAAAAGACAGACTAATAACCGATTAAAATTTCAAAAAAATATAATATTCGGAAAGATAAGAAAATATTATTAAATAGAGTATTTCACTAATTTTATTTAAGCAATGTGGGATATATATATATATACATATATTTCACTTGCTGTGCGTGTAAAATATAGTACATTAATGGAGTAAATCAAGTGCTTAAATATACATTGATTTAGTTCTTTCTCTATTGTTTTCATTGTAACTTTAAAGTAAATTAATAATTGGACAAGGGTTTTATTTTTTGATTGAGCAACTTCTTTGTCATTGAAAAAAAATAATTATTTTGCATTGATCATTACCATTAAATATAACAAGAGAACAATATACATTGGTGTTTTTTGTTTTGATACTTATATCAAAATGAAGGTTGATTCACGAAGGCCGTGTGTTCTCTTTATATTATAAGCTAATATTGCTGTCCTTATTGATTTCATTAGTTAACATACACGAAGTCAAGATGTTCGGCAGCGGATTTACTTCAAATTCGTTTTCATCATTTTCTCAACAGCAGTCCATTATGTGTCCATATGATGTGCCTGTTCCACAGCCGTATCCTACTCCTGTTTCAGTACCACAACCGTATATTCAAAATATTGTACAGCCTATTGATATGCCTGTTCAACATACATTTCAGCCTGTAATCGTACCGAAACCATACGGTGTACCTATTTATCAACAAGTACCAGTACCAATAGATCGTCCGTACGGTATACCTTATCCGCAGCCCGTACCTGTACCAGTAGATCGACCATGTGCTGTACCATATCCAGTTCATGTACCATATGCACAACCGGTGCCAGTACCGCAACCATATTTCGTACGAGAAGAGGTACAAGTGCCAGTTCCATATCCAGTAGTACAACAGGTTCCAGTAATACAACAAGTACCAGTAATACAACAAGTACCAGTAATACAGCAAGTACCAGTAGCAGTACCGCAGCAAGTACCAGTAGCAGTACCACAGCAATGTTATGATACATGTGAAGTATGTAATGCATAAATTTTATGTTAAAACAATCATAAGTTTTTGTAATGAAATATATATATAGGACATTTCATAACATTATATTTATTTTGTCTAGGAATATTGCTCGTCACCATCATATCGTCGCGTAGAATATATTCTAGAAGAGCCCGTGCGTATAAGGCGTTGCCATCGACGACGACGATATCGATCGTACTGTTCTACTCCAGCGCCTCCAGCACCTATTGTAATTCCAGTACCAATGCCAGCGTGTGCTCCACAACAACAACAGCAACAACCTCTTCAAGTCATGCAATATGTTCAAGATATTTATCCACCAGCACAAGTTTATGCTAGCCGAGAACCTGTAGTATGTTTGCTCATCAGAAAAATTTCTTATTAAAATTATCTTTGTTTCCTATCAATTTCAGGGTTATGCAGGTCAGAATTCGTTAATACAATCATCATCATTTAATTCCCAGCCAATGACTGTTTTACATCAAGGACTAAACATATTATCGTCAGCATCATCATCCCAAATACAACCACAAGTTATACAAAGACTACCAAGTGGTGAACTAGTTCAACGGCCACTTAATATGGGCCGTGGTGGTTTTCAAGCGGTGTATTTATAATAATCCTGATATATCTCCGTCCAATTGAACTGGTTTTTATAAATACACTTAGGTTTAGTACACAATTCATTTCCTAAAGCGTTTTCAAAATTTTCTTTGGCTATTAGAAAACTATAAAAGAAAAAACTGAAATATTAAATCATTTTAGGATTGATTGTGAACACTTGTATTCACTCCAGTTTTTCTCGTTTATTTTTCATCTTGCTCTACTGATGACACTTATTTTTTAGAACGATTACTTTTTACATGTTAATTATCTTCATCGATTCTTGTTAATAACATAGCATGAACTCGATAAAGAATATAACGAAGTTTTATTAGAACTATTTTCTTTTCTTATTGCGCACATACTGTAATATTGAGATACCATCATATCTCTCGAATACTATCTCATTTATCGAACGCTAATCATCGGCAATCTTATTGTTCGAATAGGAAGTCTTCAATAGAAATTATTTCGAACACAATTTGAATCTGTTTCTATTGGCGAAGATCACATGACTACCTGTATGATTCAATTCTGATGCGCTTACCTGAATATATACAACTGTATATATATATATAGATTGACCTTATTGTCAAGCATTCAATTATTCAACGAGACCTAAAAATAGCGCAACTATTAATTAAACATTATTCTGTCTCCGATACCATTTCCAATGAAACAACAGACCGTAAAAAAATGTCGTACTACTCAGTAATCAAGTTCTATGCCATGCAACTACTTCAAAATTAAATTCTTTTTGTTTGTTTGCTTATTGAAATATAATTTATTTGTAAAATTTTGTTTTTCTTTCGCTCACAAAAATATGCGAGAGCAATATGATATAAATTTAATAGGGCATTTTAGGTAAATGAAAACGTGGAATAACTTTTGGATACGCTTTGGCATTGAATGTTGGCACTAAATGAAATAATTAAATAGAAAAGTATAAATTCAGACTACTTAACACTTACAAATTCCATTTGGTGCATCTCGATCAGGTCTATAAGCATGACGACCATGATCATTTTCTTCAATATGTTTCAAATGTTCTACACTTTTAACAGTTGGATGTTGATATTGACGTTGGGTTTCAGTGTTTGTAACATATTCAGGTGCTTTGTCATTGCCCGTAACTAATAATTAAATAGCATAGCAGACGAGAATCATATGTATATAAAAAAAGAAATATCCAATATTTCTATTACCTAATTTATGAAGTAGTGCTGCTTCTTCTCGAAATATACTAGATGTCCAATTTTGTTTTACTAGACAAAAAAAAGCAAAGTGAAATATGGAAACAAAATAATCTTCATACGTATAAATTGATTGTATTCGCCTGGTTGTTCATAAGAATGATGATCCATATTGGGAGATTCCCAGCCGCTCATGTTTAGTTCTTGATGTTTTTTATTATGTCAGCAACTAATTGTGTCTGTTTTCTATCAAAACTGAACTGTTCTTTTTTTTTCTTCTAATAAATGTTTGTAGAAACGAACTGAGTAATTCCATTAAAATACCATAGTTTCACTCTTCGTTGCGTTCCTTATAACCATATGTTTTTGTGATGACTAAATGAATTTTCTTTTCTATGTGGTCGAAATAACAACAACTTGTAAAGACGCTTGATAGAGTTTTTTCCTTTTTTCTCTCTCCTATTAATGTTCAAATGCATTCAACTCAGTTTTACTTTAAAATTCCTTGATTAGCATCATTTACCTTTCGCCCCGGAGAATTTTTAAGCGTGTTTCAAGAGTATAAACTCTATCAAATAGCATTCTTAGTGCTTAGCTTTTGTTCGTTTATTCATGTCGATCGTAATTATGCATTCAATTAGCTTTATTCTATCTGGGAGAAAAAAACATGAATAATTATAGCGGAAAGTCTTGAGTTATTAATGTAATGAAACTATACTAAATTAAAAAATATGCTCTCAAAGTGTTATGAAGTAACGAAAACAAAATTTTCCAATCGATACTTTGTAAGTTTCTCTTCATAAAACATTAAAAATAAAATGGTAAAGCAGCAATCCATTGAAATTAGATACAAAGAAAAAGAAATATATTCTGTATTATTTTGATCAACGACATACTCGTAATGACATATATGAAGGCTTCAATTCCTGTTCCAGCAACTAAAGTGACTAAATGCATGTAAAAAAGACCTGTCATTTCTCACATCTGATATTGGCATTTTTTTAGTGTCTGATTCCATTAGAGATTTATAAGAGAAAAATATTCTACTAGCATCACTGAAGCTTTGTAGTCGAGTTGGAAGTCTCAATGGATCAAATATTAAAGTGACATTTGTTGATAAGAGTTATCAAATAAAAAGACAAAATTGTTTTGCTTTCTTTTTTCTACCTGGAATATCTATGAATCAAATCTACATGGAGGAAATTAAGAACTTTAATTATGCATCATGAGTAAGTGATAAGTGATTCGAATGAAATACAAGCTGATGCCAGTCATTTAAAAAAAAAGAAATTACAGCAGCTCAGCAGGACTTCAAGCTTGATTGATGAAACGAGAATCGAAACACATTCGAACGGCAAGTTTATATCCTGTGTTTTAATAGGAAAAAAATGAATTCGGATATCACTCGCCGACTTGCAAATTTTATCTCTGTCATTTTACTAATCCAACTTGTTTTTCTCTTTGGTACAAAAAATGAGAGCTGAATATTTTCTTGTACAATCTTATAATCGAAAAGTTAATTACACATAAATAAACTACTTGTCTTATTAAATATGAACAACACATGTTTTGTTTTGTTTTTGTTGTTTTCTCAATGGTGGTACCGAATAGAGTACATAATGAACGATGAGTCTTTATGAATGGTACCACATTATTGATTTGATACCGTTAACAACCTGATAAGCAATGCAATAAAATAGTCTGACAACACTTCGCAGGAGTATCTCTTGATGATTGAAAATTTTTCTATTCACGAGATAACAGTACCCATCTGTCTTTTGTTAGTCTTCGCACCTGCGAACTGCCAATAATTTTCTTTTCTTTTTTGATGCTTTATTAGATTATCAACATGCATAGCAAGTAATAACGTGAAGCCAAACGAATAACAGAGAGAGAAAAAAGAACAAGAAATGACAGAAAGTATCGAATGGGAAACGTTTACTTCCTCACATGTGTGCAATACATTCCCTATCACAGCAGTAGTAGTTTTGTGCCGACTGTCTGTTTTCTCTCTTCTTTAGTGAACATGTGTTGCAGGCAATCATCATGCGAATAAACTAGTCAATGATGACGGCTGCTGTATACATGTATGTTAGGTGGCTAGAGAGAAGAAAAAAAGAATGGTAGCAGCAGCAGCAGCAGCTACCCATACGGATGTATTAGACGAAGGGGAAAATAAATGTGCGTATGCCGTTTATAATACAAGCTGCTAAGACATAGCCAATCGAACGAACTTCGTCTTACTGCCATTTATCAACTAATAGAAATTGACAAACTAAACGTTGATTATCTATTGATGTCATATATTCAATTGCGAAAAAAAACACAGCATGTCTGAGTAAGTAATCAATTTTGATTAAATTGAAAAAAACCGAGATTAATAAATAGTTAATCTTCTTTAAATTTTATTAAAGTATAACAATGTTAAAACTCAAACCAATTGAAATCGATAGCAATCATGTTGTTATTAGTACGAATACAGTTACACCAGCAATTCAACAATCAAACCCAATAAAACGATCTCGTAAATCTGCTCATCCATCGAAAACAATTCAGACATCAACTGAATCTTCTTTTATAAGCTTGCTAACAAAAAATACAAAAAATATTTCAATTAAAGAATTGATTACTACTTCGACTTCTACAGATGATGATTCACTTAGTTTACCACATTTTGATGAACAAGAAAATACGAATGACGATCCTGATACTGGTAGTGATGACGAAACTTCAATTACATGTCAAAGTGTAACATCGAAACGATCACGTTTGACTTCTGATAAACGATTAGAGGCGAATGCACGTGAACGTGAACGTGTTCATAATTTAACAGCAGCATTTGAATCATTACGTCAACTTATACCAATGTATGGTGATCAACAGAAATTGAGTCGTTTGTCAATACTAAGAATTGCTTGTTCATATGTTCTTGTACTGGGAGCATTGAATGAAATTGATTTTAGTCAAGAACAAAATGCTTACACATTTAATGAATGTTTTCATATACTATCGAGTACAATTTTAAGTGAACTTAAACGAAAACAACCTAAATAGTTCGAATGATTATTGTAATGCATGAGATGTTTTTCGTTATAATATGTAATTTCAAAAGAACAGATAATGTTTTGTTTATATTTAAATATATGGATTTCTAATTACTTCTGATTAATAAAAACTCTATAAGAAAATTTTCCATATTTCTAATAAAGTCAGAGAACCTCAATAGAATAAAGCAACAGTATTAAATCTTATTATTTTTTGTTTTACTCTTCAAAATATCTCTGATTCTTGCATTCTCTATCGAAATAAGTCAAAATATTATATCCTTATAACTTATTTCTGTAGATAGACTGTATCGTGTCGCTTATCATGAAAGTCTGAATTTCGACGTGAAATTTTGTCTAGACAAAAGTGTTGACAAGAATAGTTTCTTGTGCATATTTCTGATTGTGTCAGTGTTCGTATTGCAAGAAAAAGGAAATAAAACTCATACGATGAAATATATGAACAGAGCACTGGGCTATTTAATTTTACTTGACAGAAAGCAGTCAAAATACAAACAATGAAATTCAAATTTAGTACAGATCTGAAATTTCATTGGTTTGATTCATTCAAAAAGAAGCAATCGCGAAGACATATTGATCTACTTTGAAAAAGTGTTGAAAAAGCTTTTAGAACTTTCTTCAAAAGATGGCAAGATATTAGATCTTGCATTGACATATACCCATATAGGAGCAATATGGTCTGAATTAGGAAACGGCAATAATGCGCTAAAATATTATGAAAAACGTTATCAACTCGAACAACAAATGTTACCATTGAATCATGCACCGATAGGCATTAGCTGGAATAATATTGGTGTGGGGGTAAGATGTGGATGTGGATGTGGATCGAGGTGCGAAGAAGATTGCTTTCCCATCGACCCACGCCCTTATATGTAAATATTTACTTTGATTATCATCCTGTGTAACTTATATTCATCCGTGAAAAAATCACGAGCAATAAAGAAAATCTGATCATGGTTTATACCCATGAAATGCAAAATGTGATAATGAACAGCTGATTGAGAGTCATCATCGTTGGCTCACTTGAAGCTGCAGTAGGTACAGCTGAGCCTGATTCATAATCATTATCGCTTGTTTGAGTCAAGTTATGTGCGAAGTCATTTTGACTGCTCTATCTCCTTCTGCCAAAATAGCATATATTTAGCAATAGCCAGTTAACTGCAATACGAGAATCAATACGTGAGTTACACCGTCGTTGAAATAGAATGTAAACCTCAATGACATGAATGGAGTAGCTGGTACGCTCTCTCAAGATGAACGTCGTGTCTGCAGTCAGTCAAAATTCCATTGAGCTCGCAGTGATAAATGGCATTATCTCTCACTTATCGGTTTGCCTAAGATAGCTGAAGGTGACTAAAATTCGTTATGATTTCCTCTACGTTAGGAGAAGATTTGGAAAGAGCAGATGTCGTATAGTATTGTATTCGGATAGTTTTCGGACCCTGGAGTCACCTGACGCTTTTAATTGAGCTTAGCTCGAGTGGAGGTCTAGTTGTTATTCGTTCTAGTCCCATGATGAATACAAAGAAATACATAAAAATTACTAAATGCTTACGTATAGTGTGCAGATGTGTAAGTACATGTTATTTTAAGTGTTTACTTTATTCTAATGTTATTATCATTCATAAAGGTATAATACAATGGCAAAACAAAATCAAATGTAGGATTAAAGACCACGTCCCAGTGTCAGATTACTGCATTTTTATCCTTCTACCGCGTGAATTTAAATATTTTGATATTTATATAGCTAACATTGGGTGTTGTTACTTCAAAACATTCTATAATTTTATATTGAAATTATGCATGGGTGGTTTATGTAAATAAATTGGCACTCGCCAAAGGATGTAAACACGTATTATGGCTACTTGGTGAGAAATTATATATTACAGAAGTTGATGCAATGCTGTCATGTGTTCGAAAAATACATTAATCTTCAAAAAAAGTTTTATTTATTCGCAAGAAATATTGCTGAATCTGAACAAAAAAAAAATCTTTTTCATTTAATCAAAACTTTAACATTTATTAAACCAACATTTTACTCTTTATTTGATCAACATTATCATGCATCCCACTATTGCACATATCAATATAGTGATTTTTATAACGTCTATTTTTGTTTGAAACATTTGATTTTGGGGTTCCAACGAAATCATTTTGCAATACAAGCAATCAAGGTTTTCATCTTGATTCAATATTTGTTGCTGTTCCATCAATAATTTTTCTTCTTGATATATTAGTGTTTCTTTCTGAGTAATTAATTGTTTTTCTTGATCCAACAGTTGTTACTGATTTATAATTAATTTTTAATTTTGACCTTCTATTATTAAATATTGATCCTTTAATTGTTGTTGGTACATATTTTATTTTTCATTTTGATCGTCAATTGCTAATTTTTGACCCGTTAATTGTTACTCTTGCAATTTAATTGTTTCACTTTGAGATATTAATTCTTCTTGGTGGTTCTGAAATTTTATTTCAGCGAGTACTCAAAACGTACTCACGCTAGAAAATGCCTCGAGAACTCATAAGTGGTCGTGCTAAGATCTGAGTACGCCTATCGAATACTCGCTCTGTAAGCTCGAGTGTTTTGCGAGTACTCATCATACATTGTCTGAGTACTCTGGTGGATTTTTGTAAAATACTCATACATCTATATTTTGTTCTGCATCTCTCTAATGCGTTCAATTTATTTTATTTAAAAACTGATGATAGAACAGTGACGTACATGATAAGGATCTCAGAAATAAATTGTTTTATAACATCTTACAATGCTTTTTACTTAGGACATAGAGATAAAACATTTATCAACAGAATGCAAGAAAAAACTAAATAAAAATCTCTATTAAGAGCATTACAACATATGTAAATACAAACACAAACAAATGCGAAATAAATTATGGGTCAACTTAAGATACGCGATAACAATATCCATTCACTTTATATCGTTACAAAAAACACGAACATTTTAAATCGAAAACTATTATCGTTAAGTAACAAATAAGAATGTAATTACGAACTATCTTCTGTATGATAGTTTTATCTTCAGAATATTGAATTTCATGCTATTGGAAAAATTTTCTCATTCGTCTTATTTTTCATTAATTTTTAAACAAACAAATTAAATTTTATCTTAAACGATATTTTCATCTTTGATTTAAGAAATTAAATTTAAGAAATAATTTTGTATTTTCAAATAAATATTGCATGTTACCCGAGAGGTGAATAGCTGCAATGAAATGAATTTGCTTTTCTATTCTTTAAATAGTCAATTGACTACGGCACATGAGTGACGCATCACAAAATATGGAGGATGAAATTGATAATTTGTTTAAGAGTTTTTTTCAAATTTTCGGTTCATTATACAGTTGCTATTAATTACGCAATATTATTTTATTCTCATGCATCTTAGTGCATACATGTTTTGCCGAATGCGTTCCGAAAAACGACGATAAGTACTACCTCGAGTACTTGCATTTTCGTGTACGAGTAATTCTTAGGGAGAAAACTCGTTGGAGAGTACTCGTCAAAGTACACGAATAGTATTGTTACACATAAAATTCATCGAGTAATCTGAGTACTCATGTTGCAAAGTTGTACTCGCTGGACGAGTACTTTCACTAGGATATTAACTTCTATTTCAACAAAGATTGTAAAAACACTTACTATTTCATCCGTTGTTTCTGTTTTGTCACTCACAAATTGATCAATCTAAATGAAAAGAATTATTTTTCATTATTAAAACAGGATGAATAGTGTCTTACAATAGGTATATCCATCATGATGCTAACGTTTTAATCAAGTAGTACAAGCGAATATGAATTACTCAACACGCAAAATTCTAACGATCAACGATGTACTAAGACTTACAATGTTTTTTGGTTTAAACATACTAGAAGAATAATGTAGATATTTCTAGAATAAAGAGTAATTGTGCATCTATTTATATATCACATCGCACACATACCTGACGAATGAAATAAATAAAACACAGTCGCACACTTAAATCCCAGGTCAATGATTCCGGAGAACGGGTACTGCGGAAACCGGCGAAAAAATGAGGGGAAAACCACCGTATCCTGTAGGGAAGCACTGGAAATTGCGGGAATCGGAAGCAGTATTCCGGTCGAAAAATTTCGGTTGTTTTTCAGTGATTTTCCAATCGGTTCCTGCCTGAAAGCACAGAAAATCGTTGGGAATTCACAGGAAAATTTCTGAAAATTTCCGACCGGAATACTGCTTCCACGTTCCAGCGATTTCCGGTGTTTTCTTGCCGTTTCCCGCCGTACGAGTTCGACCTGGAAACGGATTAAACATTATTTGTCTCCGACTTGGCTGTATATACATTGTGTTCGATATCGCTGATGATCACGGAAACAATGAATCAACGTCACACTCGACAAAAAGTTAGGTATAACAATGGACAACACTTGCATCTATATGTGGACAATATTGGAATATTGTGGTATTAGTTCATTGCTACAAGCCAAACATTTATCATCTATCTTACATTCATTCCTTGCTTTCTGTTTATATTAATAGTCTACTACAAGACTAAACCTTGCGAGTGTGTTCAACTGAGCGACCTCTCTTGATTTTTCGTTTCGGTCATATTATCACAACTATCCCCCGATGAAATTGATTCGTTCTTAATGGAACTTCTTTGTTCAGTCCTATTCGATTTTCGTTGGCATTCAAATATCAACCTTGTCAAATCGTCAATAGGATGAATACCATAATAGAAAAATTCAATAGTGAATGCACTACTTATTTAAATACCGAGTTAAATACTCGTCTACTTGCATTATCATTGACATCAATCGATAAAACAACATCAGAACATTATCTAAATGAATACAAGCAATGCTTAGATGAACAAATGAATTTTGTCAATTATATTAATGAGCAAATGGAATCATTGAATCAATTGAAATCATGTGATACTGCTATTGATACGTTTCTTGAGCGTTTGAAAGCTATACATGAATATGAATTGAAACAAAATGAAATTTTTGAACAAATTTTAAATGAATTAACAAAAATAGTAAAATGAAAATTTGTTTAGATATTTTCTAAGATGTTTAATTTTTGTTTTGTAGAATCCATCGAGTAAAGAAGAACGTCAACGACTTCTAGAACAAATCGATGAACTTATTGCTTGTAAAACAAAATTAACCAATGTGGACAGCAATGAAAAGTCAACAACAAATAAATTACAACCCAATTCAAGTGATACATTCAAAATTATTTTATAAGTGCTCATTCATTGTAGAATATAAATACATAATGACTGAAGTTAGATCATAGTTTTTATTGAAATAATAATAAAAAAATAAATAAACAAGTACTTTCGTTTTCTATTTCCGTATATGACAAGAGATAAATTTTATTACAATTAATTTCTTTACTCAAAGTATAATGGTAACACTCATATCAAAAAGGTCTATCGGCATAAAGATAAGTTGTTCAAACGAATACAAATTTTTTTTTGTAGAATTCTAGTGTTTTACAAGGGATATGTGCAAGTGTTTTTCAATTAATATTAATTTTGTGAAAGTGCAGGTGGAAATAAATATGTAATAAATGAGTATAGCACTGCAACAAAGATCATATTTCAAATTTCTTTGATATTTTTTTTATTATTTTATTTCGAGCTTTCGACACTTTTCAATTGTCATCATCAGGAAATAGTAACACAAAAAACAAATGTAACTATATATATATCAATACATAAAAAGGAATGTACATGTGGTTGTTTATACATCAAAAGATATCACACATTTACAAATTGAAATACATTTATACATACATTTAAATTAATTAATAAAAAAATTTTCAAAGAGATTTGAAATATGATCTTTGTTGCAGCGTTATACTCATTTATTACATAATTAATATTAAGTCTTATGTTGGGAAGATGAAGAGAACATGGATTTGGATTGAATCGTATTTACCTAAGATGCTTTTTAATCGGCTTTGTAATAAAAAGTGCTGGTAGAATGTTTTCTTAGGAGATAAAATAATAAGTAAAATAATTATTTTTCATATTAACCGTTTGAGTGGTTTGAATAAAATAATCTTTAATTCCTTTAAATATCTCTGTAGAATTTCTGCTGCTTTGCACATCATCGATTAGTGTTTCAAATGTATACTTGATGTTCAAAAGTTTATTTTAGTTTCTATTTCTTCTTTATGTAAAACCTACAGCCTTCTATAAAAAAAAAAGATTCACTATGTATAAAGCTGAGATTATAGAAGAACAGCATTAGTTTGTACACCAATGACGTATTCAGATGCCCATCGGTCTACTAAGAATGAACAATTAGAATTTAATTAATAGGCCATGAATATTAGGATATGTGCTTAATTTATCTATTGATAGCTGTATTAATTGGCGTGCTTCTGCTTCCTGTCATTTTATTAATAAGAATTAATCTACAGAACAGTTCGAGCTTAAACTTGAGCTTCCTTCTTAATCTATGATAGGATTGCAATTAAACTTCTATCAATAGGCTTCTAGCTGTTCAATTTTTGGAAGATTAAATTCAGTTAACTATACAAATTATTTGTTCACATGAAAATAAAAATCTACATTCATCATGAGTAACTATTTTTTCACATTGGAAGACTCAATGAACGAGATTAATCATTTTATGAATCTAATGGAATATTGCGATGGCTTATCTTGGATTTTAGCTACACAAAAAAAAAACTAGACGGCATCATCTCTTATTTGTTTAGTTTTCTGCTAGTGTTTCTCCATGTAAAAAAACAATATGCGATGCAATTTGGACCCATTTGCTGTATTTTCTGCGGATAAGTCAAGCGATTCTTTATTTCTCTGACTAGAATAGAGATCACAATAAGTTGATAGATATTACCAAAGAAATCAATTGTTCGATTCAATGCATGACTTTCGATAAACCACTATAATTCATTCCACATTCATAAAAGAAAACTTCGATAAGAAGCCAAATGATACTTCTTTTTTATTCATTTTTTCATGGATGAAAAAATCATGTCGTATGTTGTGATAACATTTTTTTTACATTTTTACTCTTCAATAATCAACAGGCAACATTTTGTCCTTTCATTAGGGATGTGACCTACCTTCTAGATTTAGTATATCATCAACGACCTTTGGTTCATTATCTTATTACTAGGTAAAGTCATGTGAAAAAAACATGGAAGCTGTTTTTCAAAACAAAAAAAAGATTGTTCATGTATTGGTTCCCTGTGATTTATGATGCACACAGTCACGTTTAACATAAATAATTCATTTTTTTCTTTTCTCTTCAAGATGATGCTTGAATAATCACATGAAGTATGTTGAATCTTTCATAGAAATTGTCTATTTCAAGTGACAATTAACTTCGAAGATTTGTATATCGTAGTTATTTCCACAGTAATATATTGACTAATTAGCCGATTGAATTAATCGTTTACTCACAGTAAAATAGCAAATCTTATTTAAAAGAAAAAAACTCTGATTCAATAACGATTCATTAGAATTATTCGATGGTCTTGAGTCCTGCCAATTTAATTGCATTTAATCTTTCTAAAAGTGCTATATTAAGTAACTTACGACATTGTTTCTTGAATTAAGGTAAAATCATCCTGCAAAAAGCAAAACCTGGAAACACTTCGAAATAATAAATTCCTTGGCAAATATTCATCATCAACGAATTGAACAGTAAAATTATGACAGTTGTCAACAATAATTGCTTGAAACGAAACAAAAAGTGATATACAGTTACAATTGTTTGTTTAATATCGTTTTTAATTTGCTCCTTGCTATTATGCTTTACGATTTCATTGTTGTGTATTTCGTCGTGTTATGATTTTAGACATTATTTTTCTCATATATGATGACTTTATCTCGTTCATACAGGTAGAAATGTTTGCATGAAAACACCCAATTCGAAAATCATGAGTCATGACTTTCGTTAGTTGATGATTTCAATTGATTCTTTTTGATAATTTTCATAAGAAATCTGATGAGACTAAAATTTCATTCTTAAGTTTGCAAATCTAAAGGACTAAATAATGTTGAGTTAGCAGCACTACGGCATATATTCATGATATCAGTACTAACTAACTCCAAGGCCTTGGCTATTTGCGCTAACTTTAGTGATAATAAAGAAGATATATAGAATTGCGTTTAATCTGCGAAATAACTTAAGAAATAGAGAAACGAAAACGTTTTGAGCGTATATTTCCGTTGAATATAATTTTTCATAGGAGAAAGAAATTGCGTGAATAAACGAAGTCTAGACGATGCTTGCAATTCAGCTCTTTTTTCTTATCCAGAATTATCCATATTTCTCCAATTTAGAATAAAAAAGAACATCTAATGTAGAAATACTATTGATTAATTACAATAAATATTGATCTAACATTACTTATTGCATTTGCTGGTACGTGACTTTCTATATATCATTTCAACTACAATAAAAGTGACAGAACATAATAAAGAAATAAGATAGTCAATTATCTAACAACTATAACGAAGAATAATCCATATAAAGAAATACAATTTCATGGTAACAGAAGAATTGTTTGGTTTTTCTCGAGCAGTATATTTTCTTGCTTAGGTAGATCAATCACTAATATTAGGAGTAAAATAAAATATGACGTAACATAATGACTATGAATTCCAGAAGAACTCTCATCCAATGCTTGAAAAACATAAGCCTCTTTGATTTTCATGCTGGGTATAAAACAGGCTTCAACGTTGCTCTGTTCAATCTCAACCTATCAACAGTCTATTATATTCTACGTGAGAATAGAAGAAAGACGGAAAAGAAAACTAAAACCTAAACAGAAGTGCTTGAGAGAGAGGGAGAGAGAGAGAGAGACATGTTAGTAGGGTCTCGTCGTTTATTATGAGAAATAGAAGAAGAAAAACATCTTTCCCATCTATGTGCCATCGTCATTCAACTAATAATCAATGACTCAATTTTTCTACATGACTGCAGCTGATGACAGGAGATGGAAAGGATACTGAGCGTCAGGAGAGAAAGACGAAGCTCTCATCAAATATAGACTCAAAGAATAAAAAGAAAATGAGAAAATAAAGTAGTAGCAAAAGAGAACGCCTCACTATTGAAGAATACACATGAGAAAAGAGAAAGAGAGATGTTGATGAAAATGACTCCTTGAGCACAAAAACAGAAACGAGAACTCATATCTACAATCCTTTGTTTCGAAATAATAATAAGTTAACAAAGTTCAATATCATTTTTGTTATACAAAAACATTTCTATTAATAATATACTAATCAAACAAGAATATAGACGGTAAATATTGTTGTTCGTTTATGCAAATAAAGCAAAAGGTAACAAACCTATTCTATTCATACTATTTTCTTATATAGACTTTATTTTCTTGTTATAACAGGATGCTACCAAAGATCGACTTTTGGGAATACTTAACTGCAATTATATTTTATTTTTTCCTTTTCATGAAACCGGTATCAAATCAAGGCATAGCATGTTATAAATGTATGACAACTAACTTAGATAATGATACTTGTCGAGATCCATTTTCATCGTTAATGAATCCCGTTCATCTGAATTGCCAGGTAATTATTTTGACGTCCTTTTGACTAAATGCACAAAGAAATAAATATATGCTATTTCAAATCATGAAGCCGATAAAAGAAATTAAAATAGATGCATCTCTAGACGCTAGTAAAACAGTTTTTGCTTTTGTAGCTTGAAGAAATCTGTAGCGAATTGCCTCTTTAAGAGGAAACTTCCTTGGGGTTCAATCTTGTGGAAATTTTTTATTGTAGATATAGCTTATGTCGTAGAGCCTATCCTGACATTTTCGAATTTTTCTCTCGTTTGATTCGAGAGATATTTTGTGAATTATTTTTTAATAACGCGCCAGATGGAAAAGTCAAGATTTTAGCAGTATGTTTATAGTAGAAGAATTTTGTTTTCACTGAAATTATCGAGATATTATCTATTTTTTTGTATCGAATTTCAATATTTGTCTAGGCTACGTCTATGGGGAAAAATGGAACGTTTTCAGCTCGATTCTGTGCTAAAATTAGTGGCCGTGTTACAAGTGTCGACGGTGGTGCGAATGTTTCTTACTTACATAGCATTTTTTACTATCGTACATGTATTCTTGATAATATAATGGATTCAACTAGATCAATGGAAACATCAGGTAGTTTTCGGCTAAAAGGATTTCAAGGTATGCCTGGTTCTATACGCCTTCAAGGACATATTGCACTATGTACATTTGATGGATGCAATCGTTCAAGTGCATTATATTCATCGCTATTAATTATTATTATTGAATTGTTGTTAACTATTATTTATGTTAGTTGTTTTTAGTAGTGACAAATGTCAATATTGATATTATAAATAAAAATGAACTATTTCTGTAAAATTATCTTTTTTAACACTTCGCATAAAATAAATAGCGCTTTTCATTGAGATGATGGATATGAAATTTTCATCGTCTTCATTTCGGTGAAGCATCTTTGTTTTCTTGTTCTAACTTACTTGTGAAGAATCAGTTGATTATGAACATAGATTAGACGACCACATAAAGCAACATCCAATCATAGCTTCATGTCAATGTTTTTATTTATCGTGCATTATAATAGTAGTTTACACAGCATCATCCTCAAACTTTTCAATAGATCATGCTCAAGAGAAAGTTTCGAAAACAAAAGTTGATGTCACAGGTACATCATGTAACGTCAAAGTGATTCAAATGCAAATTGAAGTTCGTTAAACACTAAAATATGCTTTTTGATTTTCCAATTATTGTATTAGGTTTGTCGTCGATTTGCGTTTCAACGAGTCATAATAATATAAAATACATAACAATAGTATTGCAATTCTCTTTTAATCTATTGGAATAAAACACATTTTAGATTCAGAATGGTAATGAAAGAAAAGCTCCAACAATATTGAAGGAGAGATAGAAAAACTCACGATTGTAATGAATAATCATTTTTTCTACTCACATTAAATTATACGTACTATCAATAGTTTATCATTTCTACTTCTTTGTATACATTTTTATAGTACGAGATGTTGTTTATTCGTTAGAATTTACTATACATTGCAGATTTTTATCTCTGACGAGGGAACGTCTCCAAATGGTATCAACCATTCGTGTTCATATTGTGCTCATAAGTAGGACCCAGTGAGACTAGAAAAAGTCTAAAAGATTTCGTGCCATTAGGCCTTCCTCTCAAAGTTATGACCGTTTTACTAAATTTTCGAAAGTTTCAATGAAAACGGATGCATCATTCTTAAGATATTGAATATTGAAGAGAAGTCAATTTTACGACATTTTTTTGAAAGATGGCCGTTTTCATCAATATCTCAGGAATGATGCATCCATTTTCACTGAAACTTTCGGAACTTTCTAACATCGATGAGACCTATTGTTAGGAAAAAGTTCAGTTCGAAATTACTTCATTCAGTTTTTCTATAAATTCCTTGTCCAAGGTCGAAATTCAGTAAAACGACCATAACTTTGAGAGAAAGGCCTAATGGCACGAAATCTATTAGACGTTTTCTAGCCTCACTGGGTCCTACTTATGAGCACAATATGAACACGAATGGCTGGTATCACTTGGAGGCGTTTCCACGTGAGTCTAAAAACAGCGAATTCGTTGATTCTTGTTTATGAAAATGAACCTCTAATGAAAAGATGTTAGCACAATCCATGTGGGATTAAAATATAATATACGATGCGGCTATTGTTGCAAAGCACACACAATTGTTTTATTCAATCTATTTTGGGACATCTTCTTTTTGATCATTTTTTTTTGATCATTATTTTTATCGAACCTTTCAGAAATGTGATAAAAGAAAATAATGAGAGTTATAAGAAAAAGCACGCATCTCCAAATTTCATAATTAACATACTTAGTTTTCATAGATTCTGAACTCATTTTGTCTCTCAAAGAGCACTCAGTGGAATAATGAAAACGAGGCATCTATTTAAATAATAGTACGGACGCGCAACGGCGGCAATTTCATCAAGTAATTAATAGAGTAGAACTTTTTTTAATGTTTTCTCACGTCGATGTATACCTAGGCAAACTTGGATAAATCATATGTTGTGTATTTCACATATAAATATTAGTTAAAAGTAACATTTGTTTTATATAATTAAGATTTGACTTGGAAAATTATCCAGTATACTATTACAGCATAGATGTTTTTTTAACCTCTACAAGCGTCTATGGGCAATATGCTTTACTTCATATCGGAGATCACCACCGGACAGAACTTTTTGTCTTTCTCTACCACGAGATATGGTTGGTTAGGTATGCATCTGATCTTTCGCTTCTCTTACAGAAGTTCAGAAAATTGTTTCGCTAATTCACGAAATATAGATGGAGTCATTTGGGATTATTACACATTCATCAGCCGATCCGGTAGACTATGTCATTTCATTGATTCAATGCTAAAACAGTTTGTATCAAGATAGATTAACTGAATTAACCATCACTATTGTGCTCAAACATGATACTGTAATTTGAAATAAATTATATTACTCGACACGAAATGTTCGAATAAATAAATAGTTTCATAGCTGAACTTTAAAGTCAAAATTCTTTTAAATAAATTTGCATATATTCGACCACGTTTTTGTAGCTTCGATACGAACAATAATCATACGTTCAAGAGATAGCTTTGATCAGAAGAATGCAGTTCCACATCATTCCTTCTTTGCATGGCACGTTAATTATTTGTAGCAGCAAATAATTGACGATCACATCATAATAATTGTTCTGTGTCGATTTTCGAGAACGTTTTCCTTTACTTATAGAAGATATTCAGAGTTGACGTATAATCGTGTGAAAAATGAGCATTACTAATTTTCAACATTATCACAGTTCTCTTCAAGTATTCAACGAGCTGACGAAGACTGAACTTTATATTTTTCAGATTGACCCATTGATTGTGACAAGGAAACTAAGTAAACCATTACTTACTGAAAAAATTAGGTAGAAACATGCACTTTTAGTAGCTGTTCGTGAGGAACCAATGAAAGGTTTATCACTCATTGTGATGAAGGTATATACGGCTGGTAGAGACTGCGTTTATTCTATACAGATATTTCAACGATCTCTGAGAGATGTAGCTATGTAAAAATAAACTTTTTCACTATAAAATTGATGAAGCATGAAAACTGCATTCAGGAATCTTGAGGATGTGGTTGAAGATACGAGTCAAATCCACACTATCAAGTACCGTTTGAACTATTAGATCAAATTTCAGAAAAACAAAGGCTTAAATGTTTATCGGGAAAGAATGATTCCATCTGGCTGTGTTTTATCTGGTATCGCTATATGAAAGGAGTAAAGTTATCCGAATATCACAAATTCACATCTCATTTTAAATAGATGTTCACAAAAACAACAATGCAACTGCTCTGTAATGAAAAGCAACAATTCGACGCCAATACTAGGTGCCAATCAAGTCCGAAAACTATCTCATCGATTACAAGTTAGAAATGTCAAAATTTGAACTGGACTTTTAAAAATATGCCATCTGTAAGAAGAATATAGAATATCAGCAGAATCAATCTGTTCTTTTTTTCTAGTCAAAATGTATATCAGCATCAGTAAATTGAATAAAAATAGTAGTGAAAAATCAAATGCTTATCACATATTTTCCTATAATAAAAGAAGAAAGTTCAGAACGAATTTTTTCATTATCTACCACTAAGGTATAAAGACAAAGTACTGAATTACAATCTACCTCAATTTTTCATTGACAGTCTCGTAATCTCTGATACTGTGTTTTTGAAGGATAAAAAAGAATCCATCAGTCAATCCAATGATGAAAACTTACTATAAATATATTACTTCTGGATAAAATGTTGTTTTTTTCAATCTCTTGCCAGCAAGGCTCACCGCGTAAATTTGGATATTTTTGCATTGGTCCGCATGTAAGAGAGAGAATAAAAAGTTTACAAAAGATTGTCGTTTGTTTTTTAGAACGACTCACACGTAAGTGAGTATATCCTCCATAGTCTAATATGCAGATTGAAATTGTGATAGCGAATTCTAGTAGATGCTGCTTTTCTGTTACTATCCAAATTTATTCATAGTTGGCATCTACGTTTCGTTTTCTCCTTTTCATTTCTTTCGTCATTTTTATTCTGTGAACATAATCTTTTCTTTTTATGTGAACGTGTATATTTCGTGTCAGTATGAATAAGACAAGTATATTTCATTGTTAATATATTGACCAGTCAGTATGAGTCAAAGAGTAATGTTGTGGAAGTGTTAGGAACATTTCCAATGCTTGTTTGCCCTTCAAAAGCAAACATTTTATTCTCACACCATGAGCTGTACATAATTTCTGCTGTTTGTTTCAGGCTTTATAAGCCGGAAAAAATAACAAAAATCCATTGTGTAGCATCTTTGAAACCATTCTCGTTATACAACTGAATGCTATTTTCAAGTAAAATGGCAGACGTTTTACATCATACAAGAACTAGTATTGGTGATTCTAGAATTTTTTAAGGAAATCTCGAAACAGTTATTCGTGTCTCTCTCTCTCTCTCTCTCTCTTTCTACATCTATCAAGACTGAAAACAGTACTCTCGTTTCTTGCTCTTTTCTATTATTCTTTAGCTTGACTCATATTGAGAGAATCTAGGTGAGCACTTCCCCTCCCCGCCCCCTCCCTCTCTTCTATGTTGCTTCTCACCGCCGTTCGATAATGCCTAGCAATTTAAACATACGCTACGCAGCAAAGATGGAAAAGAATTATTTCATAATTATTGTGTTTAACTGTACTTACGCCGTAGCCACGGTGTACGAGTCGTCAGAGATTCAAAAATATTTTTCCCACTTTCTATATTCATAAGCTTTGCGACAAATTATTTATTGTTGTACGCATTGCATTCAACATCCACCATGAAGAAATATCGGGCAAAGATTTGAAATCATTCATACACTCTAAAAAAAATGCTTCTCATGATCGTAACGAAATCGTGAGTGAAGGACAACAAAGAATGAATCAGAAAGGAAAACATCAGCGAGCAAATATAGTAATACAGTCGTCACCATTTTGACAAAAATAATCTATAATTTTTGTATTTTTATCACTAATTTTTCTATGATCTGAATACATTACCATAGATTTTTAAGCAGCTATTAGTTGTGACGCAGTCGTAGTTTGAAATATACTCCATGACCAGTTGTCTCTTCTTGTGACATATTATATCAAATGAGTCGTATAAAACAGTCACCGAGTATTTAACACACAACACAGTATGGTGTCACATGATACAGAGAAATTCTCACTATCATACTTGTTTTTCATTCAAAATTGAATCTCGTAAATGTTGC